ACGCGTAGGCACCTCAAAAAAGTAATACCGAAAATAAACTTTAAATTAAATTAAAAACCCTCCTAGCTCTCCCTTTATACCTCTATAGCGATTAAGTACCTCGAGCTTAGTACGCTCTCCCTCCCTACGTAAGGTACTAATCTCCTAATAGAGTATAGCGTTCTTTTATATAAATATATTGTGGGAAAGGCGTAATTTATTCTTAAGCTTTTAAATACGAGCGAGTAGCTAGTCGATAATAAACTAGGTCGAGCCCCCCTAAATACTAATATTTCCGGTTATAGCGTTATTTTAATACCTTTAATTTATCCGTAATAAAGTTAAAGTAAGTATATAACGTATAACGAATCTCTATATAGAACCTTTAAAAGGGATACTGGTTGAAGGTAACTTTTAACAATTAGTTCGGTGCAGCTAGAACAATATACGATAAGATGTTTTAATATAAATATTAAATACCGTAAATATAAGCTTGAATTGTATACTGCGGAACTATCTATCTACACCAGCCAGTTCCTCCGTATATATAGACCTCGTGCCAAGCCCTGATCATAGTGATTATTCCGCTCGTTCCCAATGATCATAATGATCGCTATGATCCTCCGTGGCTCCCTATTGGTTGTGTTGCCGCGATCACTGTGTCTTCCCAGTCTGCTGTCCATAATCGCGTATCCTTGTCCTGATTGGTCCTGCTAGCGATTGGCTGTGCGTCTTGTGCCCCGCACACGGTCCGTCCTGCCTGTTTGGCTTAACTGTGACACTCTCCCGTGACACCCAGATTATTACTTAGCTAAAAACTACTATCATCAACCTATCAACCTATCAACCTATCAACCAGTCCTATCCATCACACTTTTGACTGCATAGCGAGTATAATTTCCTAAGGTTAAGGGCTATCTATCACTAGTTTAATCGATATCCATTTCCGGCTCCAAAGCTATTAAAATATCACGGACACCTGGCACGTTAAGCCAACCAACCCGATCTCGAGTTGTTCGGGAGAGGAAATCTCAGGGACGGTAGGCTGTGTGGAAAATGGAAGCTACGTAGCCACGTGGTCTCCTGCAACAGTCTTGTAGCTAACAATTTACTTTCTTTGGTATAAGGTTTGATCGATGTACAGAGGTGGCCCATATATTGAGGGACGCGACGCCGGTCGGGAGCTTCTCGCGCCGGGCCGGGATTTGATACCGGGGCTAGGGCACAAATCCGGCGACCTCGCTCAGATTGCGGAGCGTCGTCGAGTTGGCCGGATTCCAAGATTGGTCGGTGCATAACATATTGATTTTTCATCCACCATACTGCTGCTGCTGCTAACGTTCGTCTCAGTAATCATACCACCAGACGCCCGGAACCCCATCTTTTTCTTGAACCTTCCAGGAAGGATCGGATTGGCGATGCAGGTAACTCTTCCATTCGTACCAGGCCCAGAGAAGCTCCGTGGGACCGAGCCTGAACCAGCCTCGAAATCCAGGAGGAGAAAATTGACTCTCGTCTCGAGTCATATACCCCGTATCCAGCATCCAAAGCCACGCTTTCTTACCCATGCGCAGGTACTTGAGCCATTCTTCTCTATCCACTGCCGTCCTCAGCGGGGGCGTCTCATCAGCTAGTTCCTCAATCAGCGAACGCAAGCACTCCTCGTCAACCACAAGGACACTGCGAAATCTCGGGTCGTCATGGCTCTCGTTGGGCTCAAGGGCGGGATCAAGATCTGGATCGTCGGTGTCGTCGTCGTCGTCGTCGTCGTCGTCGTTATAATTCGGCGGAAGGTCTGGCTGCACGCCCACGCTAACCAACCACTCCCGGAAGTAGTCCCTGAGCTTAGCGAAACCCTCGGCGTCCGATTGAGTCCCCGCAAGCCTGTCCTTGTCCTCTATCACGTCGCAATAGAACCTCTTTGCCAATTCCTCGTTGGGCTCCCCGTCGGTCACGGCCTTGCTTTCATACGCCTGTCCATATTTCGGGAATCTGCCCTGGTGGGGGCTATAGCGTGCCCACGCGTCCAGCCGTCGCATGGCGATGGGGAATAGAGCGTCCGATTCGGGCGTGTAGACTGTCCGTAGGATGGTGAATCCCCACAGGTGCTGGGCGTAGGTCGTGTGGCGGCTAGCTCCAAGGGCCTCGAGGCGGAAGGCGGTTTCGTTATCGCGCGTTTTGGGCCGGCGCGGATAGAAGAGCGACCTGGGAACCGGGGGAAAGGTTGGAGGCGCCATCTTTTGGGAGACGTTTGAATGTTTATGTATGTCACGGGTAGCACAGGTTGACAGGTTAATGACAGTAGTATTCAGCTAAGCTGCGGTCTGGGCTCTATTCCGTCAGGTACGGGCAGGCTCTATTGTCAAGACGTAGCTCAAAGAGCTACAAACAGGTCTCGCGGCAGCGAGATGCAAAATCTTTCTAGTCGCATTGGCTCGTGCTCTGCACGTGCCAAGCTCCATCAGTGGATCAACGACGGTCACGGTGCAGCCGCCGCGACATATACAGGGTGGCTTTGCGGGTGCTGGCCTTATACCGTACGATCCAGAGAGGGTGCTTTTAAAGCTAGATGTGAAGCTTCGTACGCCAACACCTCCAACTCACGGCCCGGCACTGCACAACCTTGGGTCTCCCAAACACCACACAACCCTCGAGAAGCCAACTCACAGTCAACGCTCATCAAGACTCGCATTGCTAACCATCAAGATAGCTCCCCGACTTCAATGTTAGCTGCGGTAGACTAGCTTGCTAAAGGTACAACGGCTATAATGCACCAGGTGGCTCTCCTTCGTGCAGAGGTCTCGTCGCTCCGTAAGGCCAATGAGGCACTAAGTAAGCGCCGGAGAGCCAAAAAAACACACGTACGGCTTGGAGGGTCACTTACTGTACAAGAGGCACAGGATCTATTGGATCAGAAGGCCGTGGATGGGGAGGAGTGCAAGAAACGCAGCTGGATAGTAGTAATGCAGGGGGAGAGCGTGCGAGGGTTCGGTGCTGTGGTGTGTGCGGCAAGCCTGGCCATAACGCGCGCACTTGCCAGGAGGCCGGGTGTCACAGTTAAGCCAGCAGGCAGGACAGACTGTGTGCGGGGCACAAGACGCACAGCCAATTGCTTGCAGAACCAATCAGAAGGAAGAAGGATGGACCAATAGGAGGTGGATCATCCAGGACACAAAGGAATCATGTGGGGCACCAAAGGGCCCAGGTTTTCCCAGACCCACACCGGTTTGCTCTTGGGGCTGGATTTTCTTACTGTTTTCTTTTCAACCAACAACCAACTACTGTAATACTAATTTGCTTACCAATTTTGGCCATTTTTTGGCCTCATTTTCGCCGCCGGTGACTTTCCTAGGTCGCCAGCCCAACAAATCATGAATGATTGATTCCTGGGACTCAGTTATGATCCTCGAAGAATAGAATGATCCAGGGCTTGGCACTAGGTCTATATATACGGAGGAACTGGCTGGTGTAGATAGACAGTTCCGCAGTATGCAATACAAGTAACAATCGTTGGTATCTAGCTATTGTGATTGAGACAAGCCATTGTTGTACACTGTTTAGCTGTACCGAACCAGGATTGTTCAGAAGTGCCTTCAACCAGTATCCCTTTCAGAGGTTCTGGATAGGGGTTCATCACACCTCTTGACTATGGGACCAGAACTTCAGGACAATCAGTCGGAAGGCTCCCACGCTGAGTCTCCCATATTAGATTCACGTTCTGACCCATGGGCAGACAGATAGGCCTCACGTCATCTCTGAGGGCGCCCGCGGAGAGTCTCTGCACAAAAAACCACCAGCTGAGAGTCTTTCCCCGGCGTCTCATTACTCCTTTGTTACCTTTGTTGCTTTTCTTGCCTTTGTTGCCTCTGTTGCCTTTGTTGCCCATGTACATCCCCGCAGCCGTCCGCAGCCGCCCGTTTCTCCGAGCAAGGTACTGGCTTCGACCCAGGACTGGCCCTTCCGGTGCCCAACAGCAGTTACTGGCGTCAATGTCACGGTCCACAAGACCTCAGAAGCGAAGAGGAACAGACCTCAATGTCGCAGGGGGGCACCGCACCTCCAAACCGCTCATTACGATACAATCGATGAAGCCGAAGCCGAGCTGCAAAAATGCGCAAGGACCGCCGGATTTGCTGTTCGGCGTACCAGATCCAAGGCCAAGCGTCCGAACTTTGGCCCTACCAAGGTGGATTTCGTGTGCTACAAGGCCCAGGCCTACGAGCGCCACTACACACTGGCGAGGCGCCCAAATGATCGATCACTTTGCATCTCTGTAGGCTCAATCACACCGGCTGCATCTGGAGCGGCCGCTCGTTGTTTCTGTGTATCAGGTGAAGTGCTGATCATCTCAACAAGGAGGCCGCTTGAAATGCACATGCGAAGGCGCATCGCCCCCGGCTCATCCATGTCTACCCTGCACCGTCAAAGTCCCTGTTCTCGAGCTCCACTTTTAGAGCCCCCCCGTCAAAAACCAGCCGGAAACACCCTTTCGCACCAGGCCCGATACGCTGGGGGGAGGGATCGAGAGAGATTGAAGCTTTGGAAGCGCTTAGTCATGACAGCTGGCGCTCTTCATTCTGCCTGAGCATGGTCTCGGCATCAATAGCTTCAGGCAGCCTTTCTCAGTTATCGGACCTTATTGGGGCTGATCGCCGGAGTTTGTTTAAATTTACACCGAGCTGTGTATCTAAGGGTTATTGATAGCGCAGCGGGCGGGTTCGATAAATCTACCCCACCTCCAAGGGAGTATCAACTATCTCGTTCAACGCGGCCGACCTGCATACACATGATCCGGGACCGACGGCGCCCAGCAAGATCTGACAAAACGCTTCGCATGGGTGTGACAACCTGGAATACTGCAGGCTCTGACCTTCTGATTCACACAATCGGCAGTTAACGCTAAAGTCGTTCACACAATCGGCAGTAAACGCTAAAGTCGAATTTCGTGGTGATAGGAGAGGGTGTTGAAAATGATGAAGAGTTATTTTCCCATGCCTTCCCCCCTTGTCTTTGATGCGGGGTAATCGGAGCAGACAAATGCATTCGAGGCCAAAATCGGAAATATTCGTGTGTCGTGTGTCGTGTGTCGTGTGTTGGGTGGTGCAAAATATGAATGAGCCAGAGTGGGGCAGGATTGGGAGACTGTGGGGATGGGGATACTGTGACCACTCCCCCCAACACAAATACCTTTAGCTGTGGGACTGGAGGACGATATGACCGCGTCATGCATTTCGCCGGTAACCCGCCTTCCAACTGCCCATCCTACAGCTCATCCACCGTAAAATCTTCAAGGAAGAGGCACAGATCATCAAGAGTACTTTCAAGCAAACCGCCATCAACGCCAGCGAGGCGACGCTCATGATAGAGGAGCAGGTGCCGGAATCGCTTGTTACCCGCAAGGACGTCTACAACTACAGGGCGGGTCTCAGACGCAAGAAGGCCGGTGGTTATACTGCTGTTGGGCGAGATGTTCTTTGGCCTCATGAACAATGCAAGAGAGGAAACTTTCTTCTTCGATTCCATGAAGCAGCTACTTCAAGAGCTTGAAATCCCTTAGCCCGGCGTCATCATCGCGGATAAATGTGACGAGGCTAAGAATGCACTAAGCGCCGTTTCTCCAGATACCCAACAACAGATCTGTAGATTTCACATTCTCAAGAATGTTCTCAACAACACCAAGAAGAAGTGGATAAAGAAGAAGAAAGCTGCTGATGGTACTGCTGATGAGGAGAACGAGGATTGTGATTACATTGAGACAAGTCTATTGTTGTGGACCTTTTGGCTGCACCGAGAAAAGTGACCTTCCACTGTTATCCCTTTCAGAGGTTCTGGATAGGGGACCGTCACATTTATACATTCACGACAAACTGAGCTGTCCGGGATAATCGAGCTCGGTTTCCGGCCTCCCGCAAATCCCTCGCTCCAGCCCCGTCACCTAGTTGTACCTCCCCTAGTCACTGATAATCGATCCCCAGAAGTGGCCTCATGGCAGTGTTAGGTGGTGCACTCACTTTACTCCCGTCCCTCATCAGATTCTAGGTTGGAGGTTGCTTGTTTGCTAGGTGTGCCGCCACAACCGTAAGCTGTGTACGTAATAGTACCGGGAGATATTAGATTCAAGACCCAATCGTCGATAAGCCTCCCTGCAAGAACTAATCTTGAAAGCAAGACACTCTGAACTTGGCTGCTGGCTGCGTATAAGTCGTGTGTTATGGGTTGAGACCGGGAGCCCCTGTCCATGACAGCCCCTCCTTCACTAAGCGGTAACTCCGGAGGGCTGGAGCCAGAGCCTTGAATTTAGGGAAAGGTGGGGTACTAAGTGGGTCCGGCTGGCGCTTAGCTCGTTGAGCTGATCAACATCCGCCAAGGTGTGCTGTCAAGCCATATCGTCCCGAAGCGCCGCTGGACATCTCAACGGAAGACACCTCAAAGGCCCGTATACCAGCCACCGGCCAGGTGGCCGCAGAACACATTGGTTCAATTCGATCCCAAGCTTACCATCGAATGCGAGCAGCTACCCGAAGCCCATCACCCCCAGCCCCTTATTTCCCGGTTCATAGCGTCGTGTATGTTCGAACAAAAGCCTCCCTCGCATCCTCTGACTAATTAATGAAAGCGTTGGTTTTCTGATACGTCGGTACCGAAAATAACCAGGCGCCGAATATCCGAAGGTATTGTGCAGCGCGATATGCATATCACATTTTGCATGATATCTTGGCAGAGCAATCTTGTGGTTCTGCAAGGCTATAAGTTTACAATAATGATGCAGCCACATCCAACCACCCGGCATTAGGCACACACATCTTCACCATTAAAATCCTTGTTCAAGAGACTACTGTCTCCACCGTGAAGATCCCTATTAAGGAGCTCCGCAGAAATCCTGTTCAAGAACTCCTCCCTTAAATCTTGCTAAAGAACCTATCGAAAGTCTGTGCAAGAGCGTCACCGCCAAAAAATCTTTGCTTAAGAGCTCGTCTTTTTTCAGTGCCATGAAGCCAGACGAGAAAGCTGCGAAAATCCTTGCGGATGCACTTGCGCGTTACCCAAATAATGTGTCGCTTTCGAAAAAAGATTTCAGTCGGGTCTACAAATTCCTTGAGATGGTATTTATTCCGGGTGTCCTCGGAGATACCACAAAGAGACGTTGCTTCCAACAGCTAGAGCATGAAATACTCCCTGCCGTCGGGGTCCTCCTTAAATCGAAGGATATCGCCGACAACGCTACATCGACTCTGGAGGCATTTTGCTTAACTGCTCCGAAGCATATCGAGCCGCTATATTGGCACAACAGCCCAAAGCTCTGGCAAGCCTGTCTGGGGACTGCGATAAGTGACCCAGCATACTTGACATTCCGGAAATGTAAGCCTCCACAGTTTGTTAAGTTGTATAAACTAACAATAGCCTAGTTGCTGTTGATAAGGTCCGACCGCCCTTGGTTCAAGCACTGCCCAGTTCCAATTCTACCCAACCTATTACAATTAGTTCGCTGCTACAAGGAGGGGCTGCGTCTCAACAAGAGGTGGACACAAGACCTTTACACAGTAAGCTGGCATAATATATTGGCCCTGGGTCGTGCTAATATATCGGCTTAGCCGTCTCTATTAATTCCTCGAACCAGCCTAATGGGACGTCGTCGAAGTGGGTAAACGATTCGAGGCTCCATAGTGTTGCCGCCCTGGGCGACTCTGCAGTGACGATTCCGCTATCCCAATCGCAGACTACTGTTTCGCCATGGACAATGACTTGCTCTTTATGCAGCACAACGGTGCGCCTTCAGTGCGCCTGCAAGCAAACGATTAAGGGTAAACCTTTAAGTTATAATTTATCTTACTTCCACCTAATTAACAACCGGAACCTCAGGACCCTCTTCCACAGCGAATCCGACGACGACTCCCACGCTATCAATACTGCTGCCGGCGACTCGCACCGCGCCCGGTGATCGGTCAAGTCAACCTTCCGATAATAACCCCACGAATGCCCCGCCGACGCCCACAGAGACATCAAGGAAGCGTTTAAGAACCGGAGGGTTGGCGCTAACCACTGCTGTTACTATACAACAATCCGCTACTGGCCAAACTCTCACATCCCAGCTGGATGGCACCGAGTCCTCGGGCCTCTATCGCAGCGCAGCCAGGCCGTTAACTGTTCGGCCAGACCAAGTTGTTCCCGCTCCTCAATCAATTCAAACCTGCAGTAGTTCCACCGATCCTCCAGTTAATCACAAGCACCCGATCGAGGACTTTTCCACTTTAATGCGTAAGCATTGCATTGACTCGACAAACAACATTGCGCCGCTGCCAGCAAATCCCACCGCGTCCGGTGACCGGCCACATCACAGCCACCCCACGAACACCCCGCTGCTAGCCACATTAATCCACCCCGCCGCGCCTCCCGTTGCTACGCCGACAGTGCCACCAAGAGACACAAGCGGGAACAAAACTGTCACGAATATGATGTGGACACCCGAAAAGAATAACCAATAGGAGAGAGGAGACACGGCAGCCAATCAAGAGAAAGGAGGATGGACCAATAAGAGGTGGATTATCCGGGGCATGAAGGAATTATGAGCGATTCCCAGGAATCACTTATGATCCTTAAGAGTCGGTTATAACCCGGGGAGAAACAGAATGATCCATGTGCAACCTGTGGGGATGATGGTCGAATTAGCTTTGTGATTTGTATGACCTTCAAGTCGAGGGGTTGCAGCTTGCGTAACATACTATTTGTGTAATTCCAATCTGCCTGTCTATCGTCTTGTCGAAACTGCAGGATTCCGCAGACGAATTGGGAAATTTCAGGCCGGTCTGGCACCATGGCCCGGATAGCACGGTCGTTGAAGTCCACTTGGCCATTGAAGGAATGACTCCTCAGCTCCAGCACCAGGTGTGTGAGGGGCTCGAGCAAGTCCGGGTAGGCGGACAGGTCCTTGGACTTTTCTACACAACGTCTGACGAGCACAATCCATTGGCTTGTAGCATACCAATGGAGGCGGTATATTCCGGCCAGGATGTTCTGTTGAAGTTTTTCGTCTGGGAGTGCCGCGTCGAAGGCCCCAGAGCAAAGATAGCTTAGTAGAGTCTTTGTAAGGCTGTGATTGGCTTCAGCGTGATCGATGAATCCACTGACTTCTCGACTGAAAATATATCTGCAGTTTTATCAGTGTTTCAGACATCACCGTGGCAGAGTTTCAATTCACTTACTCCTTGACGGTGAAATGTACAAACTGCAGACTATCATCTACAACTTCTATGACTGGGCCGCAAATGTGGACAAAATTTACCTCGGCGATAACGGCGGGAGCTGCATTTGAGCTTGAGTCGACTAATAAGGCTTGTTCCATCTCGTGCCGCGTCATGGGAATAGGGGATGATCCAATCCAGCCGAGAATCAACATCGCTTTGTGTCGCAAGGTTGAAGAGGATTGGCCGATTCGAGCAAGGATACGGTGGTACCTAAAATATTACTCAGTCTCCGTGATGACAAATGATTCCACCACTACACTCACGCGTCATGCAAGTCGACGGGGAGTACTCTGAGTTCTCGTTCAATTTCTTCAAGACCGTTGCACGTTTCGGCGTTATCCAGAATGATGCGAGCATAGAGAAACATGCCTGTGCCACATAATCAGCAAACTCGAACTAGATTTGCGATGGGCGGAACCCGGGTGGCAGGAGGTTAGAAGTAATCACTTACCGTTCGCGTTTTTAGCTACGGGTGCTAGCAGACGCTCGACTCGATTTCGTATTTCTTGCTCGAAGTTCGCAGTCCGTATCCAGTTCTGAGTCCTCTGGTTGATATATGCCTGGATACTGTCGGAATTTCTCTTATCCACCCTGATTTCGGTGGCTTTAGCGCCTAAAATACTAGCAATGTCATCCTCACGCCGACTACTGATGAGTATCTTTAACTCGGGACAGCTTTCCAAGTCAGTCAGTTGCTGTAACAATATCCCGCGTTCGACAACCTCCATCTCGTCCAGCCCATCGAGAATAATATACGTTGGCCCAGCAGTAGGAGTACCAAGGAGCGTTCTAAGCAACCCTAGGACGTGTCTAGTGCTGCCGAGCAGTTCTCGTTCGTTTGATTCGACTAGGAGAGACTGGGCATCCTTGACGTCAAACGCCAACTGGAAGAGCAGTGACTGGAGAATGGATCTGGCTGTAGTGCTGTTTTGATAGATGTGGCTCACAAATACAAAAAGTGTTCGGTGGCGTGTCTTAGCCTCGTCGATGGCAGCTGCAGAGAGAAAGGTTTTGCCTAGAGTGCAATATCAGTTTCTGACAAACATTGTTGAGTCAAGGGACAAAGAGAGTTTACCTGCTCCTGGAATGCCATGTAATCACAACAGTCGCACAGCTGAGTTGGAGATGGTCGAGCCATCCTCGAAAAATATTGTCGGCAGCAAGCCACTCGGCTGAATTTTTGGACGATCGATTCAGCAACCAGTCCAGTCGATCGTCATAGATCCGAGGGGAGACGCGAATCTTGAGTGTCTGGAACCTTTGTAGCTCTTGGAAATCTGTCTCGTGATCAAAATGTGCCAAACACTTGTCTCGAAATTCGTGCTCTGCACTTATGTGCTGCATTGTCACCTCGCTCCTCATCAGAGTTGTATGCCGTTTGATGTTGCTTACAACGACATCGATCTTGTTCCGTTGCTTTGGCCACACCGCTTCAAAGACAAGGTCCGACCCTGGTGGTGGTAAGTATATACCTGATATTTGAAGCTGACGAGCGAATGTACTTACGAGATAAACTAAAGAATTTCAAGGCAATTATGTAGAAGTCGAGGATGTCCCCGTAAAATAATTCCAGAAGTGCCTTCAACTTGTCATTGTCGTTAAATATGTTGGCCGACCTCAGAGCATGTGGCAGCGCGTCACCAATCTTTTCCATGGCATCGGTGACAGCATCGGCAAACTTTGTGATACTGCTCGTCCATACTACCAATAAACGAATAGGTCCCCAAATCAGTGCCAGTATATCCGGCTTGACCTGCACCAACGTGTCAACGACAGAAACATATTCGGTTTATTTTTCGATGAACGTGCGGATCTTGCCTAGGTGTCGGAGGCGTCGTTCTACATGAGCGCTTGCCTGGATATCTTGTACGGCTTCGTAGACCTGCTCTATGCTGGTGGTTGCGAGCAGTTTTCCAAACAAGTTCTCGTCTTTCAAACTCTGCTTGAATGCCTTTTTGGCGGCTTCGAATGCCTGCTGCCAGGGATGAGAAGCCGACATACTTGTCCAAGGTGAAATCGAACTTCACTCTGTGTTGGTCCATTGGTGTGAATGTGATTGTGTGAGTGCTCTACGGCATATGGGATTCTTTATATGCGCTTATGCAGGGGCTGAGGTAACCCATGTGGCGCAGGTGTACAGACGCAGGGGGCTGATCATACGAGCGGAAAGGCATATTTACACCATTGCTCTTGCTGGCATCACAGTGCTAATAACGTGCGTGATAAGCGAACGGATCATAACTTCCCATGCGACGCGCGCGACCGCCCTTGTCGCGATCTGTTGAATAGTATGTGGGGCCCAAAAAGGTATTCAATTGTGGTGTTGTACGAGGGTGAGTTGCCCAGGTGGCTGGAAGAGGCCGAACCCTGTGGCCCAGGTCCCACTGCCAAGATATTAATTCCTTAACAGTGGGCCCGGTTGACTATTCTGACAAAAACAAGCAAGATATCCAAGCAACGGCTCTCTCCTGCGCAAGAAGACTTCCTTGCAGACTGGTGTATTAATTTGGAAAGGCTGGCCGTGCGCCAAGCAAGAAGCAAGTGACTGCCTTCGCCCAAGAGATACTTCTTGAGGGCGGCGATATTGAGTCCCTGAGCCCCCGCTGGATCGACCGCTATTTGAAGCGCAACCCTCGCGTTAAAACGAAGAATTCGACCTTGTTAGAGAGTGCTCGAGTCCGTGGATCTACTCGTGAGGCGTATGAAGATTTCTATGGCCGTTTGAAGTACCAAATCGACTCTGTAACGGGCTGAGCCCTGGCATGGTCCTCGGCAACCATCGGCCTGGATGAAGCTATCCACCAAAGAGCGGCTTGTGAGGAAGTCAGCAGAGGGCCAAGATCCAGATCACGCTGACGATGATGGGCCGGTGGATGGAGCGAAGCAAACGGTGATGCGGAGGAGAAATCAGGTGACATGGAGGGCAAGTTGAAGTATGGCACGTGAGAGTCACATGGGTGCTTTCACAGGTCTAAGCTTGGCCATTTCTAAAGCCCTGCTTGCAGCCAGACTTTGTTTACTTTGCTGTTTTCCCTCTTTAGCATACTATTTCATCAGATTGGCCAGACTTATCATAGGTTGCCTCGATTATCTACCTCTTCCGTGACATGTAGTTGCGAATGTAGGGGAAGTGTGTGCATTAGCCGCTTTTGGAATTGCCAAGGTGCTGCGGCTCTGCAACGTGCGTCATCAGGGTAAATGCCAGATCCGGATTTTGGAAGGCACGATAAGGCCCTTATCAGAAGCGACACCACAATGGCTAATCAGAAATAACACCAGTTTCATGGGGCTAAACGTCACAGCACTGATCTGTCGCTCAGCTTTCTTTCCTCTAAGTAGCGTGCTCAAAAAATATGATGACCTCTATGCTGTCTCCTTGGGATATAATTGCCTCGTCTTCTGGCGGAAGGAGTATTGTGATACGTAAGAGCTTGGAACTACGTCAAGCCAACTAATCCGATCTCGAGTTGTTCGAGTGGGCCATAGCTTTATGACGTCTCTACCACTTGTCTTCATGACGAAACAGAATACTTGAATTGATGAAAGAGGCGGGATCTAGAAGGATCTAGAGTATCGCGACGGGCTATAAATTAATGGAGCCCCCCAGACCCCTCCTGTGTCACGCTATGATAGAAAAAAAAAGAGAGAGAGAGAGAGAGAAAAAGAGAGAGAGAAAGAATGAAAGGGCAGCTTAGCTGTCTGTCGTGAACGTGATAGTTAGGACGCGTCCCGAAGAACAGCCATTAGCAACTGTTGATGCCGCTACAGCTGAACGCCTTGACTGATATTCCAGAGGCAGCCATAGCCAGTTTTCTGAGCCCCTCGTAATCCATCTTTGGCTCAAGTCTATCCCATAGCCTTGATAATGTGGGGGGTTGGCATCATCTGACTTGGATGCAATCACCTTCGAGTTGAGGGAAGACGCTACCGACCAGACGGAATGGCGATGTCCCTCAAGCGTCTGGGTACATGACCCCGTTGCCGCATCCCAGATCTTGATGGTGTTGTCGTCTGATGCTGACGCAAGCCAACCGCCGTGACAGTGGGTCCACGTGCAGATCATGATCGGCTGTGGGGTCGTGAGTTGTAGCCTACACATTATCAGCATGCGGCGGAGCGGTAAGAGTGTGATACAATGAGCCAGTCCGGAGGAGCCCTCCAAAGGCGGCACAATAGTTCTCTTCGCATGATGATAACGTGACGAGAGTTGACGCTCAATGTAGAATGAGGTCAGTAGCAAGTGAGTTATTATTTTGTGAGAAATAAATATCTGGAAGATGCTAGAACTCACAAACAAGTATATATTCACACGTTCTCCCGGACCCTTCTGGTGGCACGCTATGTTTAAAGATAAAAAAAACTGGAAAGAGAAAAGTGCGAATATGAACGTAGAACGAATGAGTTGTTTTATGGCCTCGGCCGTAATAACTACACCACCGGTTCCTCCCAGTTCTCAGCAGCTAAGTGTGACGGCAGCCGTCTGCGTCCATCATTTACGTTGGCAGCGCCCTTCTCTAACAGTAGCTTCCTCACCGCCTCCTTTACGTTATGTTGCTCGCCGGTTAAAGAAATATGTCCAAGATTAGTCCCTATAAAACTACTTTCCGAAGCGTACCAGTATAAATGCTCCCTGAAGCTCTTCTGGAGTAAAGCGTCGTAAAAGGATCGGATATATGGGATGAGGATATGTAACGGTAATGCTGATTGATATAGAAGCGCGTCGATTGCTGCCTTCCGGACGCCCTGGTCCTCATCCTCGAGCCGTGCTGCGATGCTTTGGAGCACCTGGTCGGGGAGGTCGGCGCGGCCTCCAAGCGCGTCGATTGCTGCCCCCCGGACGCCCCGGTCCTCATCCTCGAGCCGTGCTGCGATGCTTTGGAGCACCTGGTCGGGGAGGTCGGCGCGGCCTCCAAGCGCCCCCATTGCTGCCTCCCGGACGCCCCGGTCCTCATCCTCGAGCCGTGCTGCGATGCTTTGGTGGATCTTGTCCGGTAAGTTATTATGCTGGTTTCCTAACATACGCAAGATAGCAGCACATTGGTGTGCAGAGGTGCGGTTGGTCAGCCAGGGAGATACGACTTTTATAACACTGAACGGCACTGCTGTTCGTCTAGATAGTGATTCGAGAAGAACCGTTCTTGCGCCTTCAGATGCTTGCGTTAATACATTGGACAGGACCTGCCCCGGACACTCCATTTCATGGACTAGTTCGGAATTCCCCGTAGAATCGGATTCAAACAGTAGCCACTGTTCTAGTTGGTTTTCTAGCCTCGCTCGAAGTCCCGTGAAATTCGACTCCTTCCGCTCAACTTCGCTTAGGCAATGTATGATAAGGCGTTGGTGCGTAGGTCCTAGGAGATCGCGTGGTTCCTTCTCAATCATCTGGAAGAAGTCGAGGGCCATGTCATCGGCATCGAGTAATCCTGCGACAAAGCGCCAGAAGATATCGTAGCGAGGATCGTATTTATACTTCTTAAGGAAAGTGGCAGGTTCCATATTGTTACAATTGTCACGGCTGAGTTGCAGATAATTGAGCTGTTGTTTATCTTTCCACTGTCGAATGAAATACCGTGCTGCAAAATACTCTTGAAACGTGAGGTGTAAGAAGTGGTAATTTCGATCTTGGTCGTTTGATGAAGGGTCCGACGTTCGTAGGAATGAGAGACAAGGCAGATCTTTGTCGAGTAGGAGATCTGATGCAAATCTATCAGAAACAGCGTTTCGAAGTTCCCAATCGAAGTCTATCACGTCGTCATAGAACCCCAAAAAGGCAAGGCACTCAAGGAATCTGAGCTCCTGCTCCACGAAGCTTTCAATCTTTTTCCGGCTAGCCTTCTTAATCTGGTCTCCCGTTACAGGCTCACCATCCTTCTTTTTCTGTAGCTTCAAGATATCTTTTTTCCACAGACTCTCCTCGATAGCTTTGTAGACAGCTGTCATGGTCTCCGGCACACCTGCCCGAGGAAAACCATTCCAGGTATAGCAAAACGCATCTAGCTGGATCGGGATACGCATTAGACCTTGCATGAGCGGATGGCGTTGCAGAAACGATTGAACCTCTTTGATCTTTTCCAAATCGCGTTCGCTCGTTTCTCGATCGGTAAAGGTGTTTTCAATGTAGGCCGTGATTTGGTCCGGGTAGAATCCAATGGTTTCCAACTCGAGGTCGAGAGGATCTAGCCGAGGAGGAAGCCGTGCGTTGGGCCGGGCAGTGATGATGACATTTGGCTGATTCAAGAGCTCTTCGAAGAAGACAGACATGTCGCCGCCTAGGCCATGTGACACTTCATCGAAACCGTCGAGGATGAACAAAGTCCTGCCGCTCTTGGTGTCCTTCAAGACGCGCCACAATGCATCGGAGAGCTCGCGGCCTTCGAGATCTTGAGAGAAATACTCATGGTAAAACAAATCCCGGAAGTTATATCCGGCACTCTATCTCTTTTCTACCTTTAGGTTCCGCAGTGGTACCTAAAGTACGCGATTGAATAAGCCCTGCTATAGGTTGTTATATATAAAATTATAGATAATCTTTTTGTATAGAGTAGTCTTACCTATTCCTGCCCGTCCACGGATCAGGATACGACTTGGCTGTTTCTTCTGGCCGTCCTGTGACTTGCGGGGCTCAAATAGCGTCGGCAGCGTGACCTCGATCGTCTTGTCCGGTGTCTCCACATTTAGTCGGGCGAGGAGCGAAAACGGGGAAGACTGTTGTGCTGTGTCTCCTTTTCCTCCGCGAGTTGCATTATCGCCAGGCCACTCGACAATGGCCAGATTGATCTAGTATCTGCCCATCGGTAGTAGGTCGCCCGACAGTCGTTCAATTTTGAGCCGTTCCAGCGAATAGTGCACATTGCGAATCCTGGCGTCCGCCTGTGCGAGGGGGGTTCCATTATATATCTTCGTGAGAAACTTTAGAATCTTTCCAGAGACTTGTTTGTAGTCCGGACATTTAGGGCCGTCGAATTTATTCATTAGGCGGTGGGTTCGATCAAGCGGCAGCGGTTTAAAGACGATTTGAAGGATTGCTGACCTCATGTCGACCAGCTGGGAATCGTTAGTCGTAGCTCTGGGACGAAGGTACGTCGCGGTTCTTACCTGCTTCCATCCAGGGAGTGAGGCTGGTAGCTAAGGAAATACCTTGCGCCAGAGATTCGTTTTTCCAAGTTCGTAAAAGCAGAATACATGGCAGGGGTTGTGATTATCTTGACATAGCCGCGTGAACCTCCGAACTAGTACCTTAAGAGCGAAGGTCGATCCCTTCACCCAGCCGAGCAGGTTACTCACTTCTCGGCGACGGATCAGAGCCCATGCGGTCAGACCTGGATCTGCCCAGATAGCTACGTCTTCGAACGAAGTCCCTCCAAACGGGGTGGCGAGGAAGATAATCCCACATGTTGCTGTCCTCAGACTATAATAGCTGCTGCGTTTATGATCGGCGCCCACCAGAGCCTTTGCCAAGATGATCCCCCCAAGGCAGGAAGCGATGAAGAGAATCGGCCGGTCTACCTTCTTTTTATCATGCGTTCCTAAGAGATCTCTCTTGATTCCTTCGAATAGGAGCAAAGCGATCTCGTCGTCCGTCTTCTGGACCAAGTCTGACGGCTGAAGCAGATCGGCAGGCCAGTCGCATGTGAAGATGCGAGCTGCTTCCACTTGACTCGGGAGCATTCGCGGGTCGGCCAGCCAGTTAACGGTATTGTTGGGATCGTTGGGGTCTACCCATGTCCACGTGTCCGGCGACTTTGTGTCGAGGCCATGAATGGCAATGATGTCGATGTCGGTGTCTGTCTCGTTCTTGTCAGGGTTAACTTGACAGAGGCGGACGTCTTGTCGCGTGGATCGTGCGGGGCCTGAGCTGTCCCCGGTCTGAGACGACGGTGCGGGCTTGGAACGCGCGAACGTGGGATAGAACCACAGGCCAGAGGCAATCGCACCAGCTAAGAGACAAAGAGCAGTGGTCCATCCGATCAAATGCATGGCCTGGCTGAGATTGACAGAAGCCATGGCTGGGTACTGGCAGCGGGGTTTGCACGGTCAATCCCGAGAATCGTAGAAGTTCCCCGCACCGCTGATGCTGTGGCTCAACAAACGTTGGCGCGGTTGCTCCCAAGTGGAGGCTACTTCCGGCCTTTCTTGTTCGACGGCGGTAGGTGAAGAGTGTTTGATACCGATCGCTTCTGGTGGACAAAGGTCAAATGCCTGGTGCGAGCAGTTGAGTTGTTGATTCTCTCAACTGCGTGGAGGCGCAAGCTCGAAGTGCCATGGAGTGTCCATGTCCAATCATATTGATCCGCGGGGTCGGGCAACAACATCGACCGGGGCCAGCAATGCCTTTGGACAAGCAGACGCGGCGCAACTGGACAGCTGTTACGAAGTCTAAACAGACCGCAGAAGATCAAGGCGCACGGTCACGTTTACAAGCAAGAAAGGGCTTTGGGAGTTGAAAGCGGGATTGTCGTGGCCTGCCTTCTGCTTCGTGAGTTGATTTGGGAACAAATGCATGGCGGACTGGCAAGATGGTGGGGCCACAAATTCCAGGGCTGCTGGGCAAATCACGAGTAGTCCCTCCGGTCAAAACCACTCTTTCCTGGTTTGGGTGTCGTTCTGTGCCGAAATGATTGACCGCAGGATTCCTACAATCATTTCGGCTCGCTGGTGGCCCAGGGCCATCAATCATTTCAAATCGAGATGATTGCGGTATACCAGTCCGGTAGCGTATTGCAACTAGCTAGGCCATTCTAGGAGAGCACTAAACTTAAGGAAGCAAGGATAGAACAGAAGGTGGAGGTTCATCTGCATGAGCTTCTGGTATCGCTGTGTACGTTAGTCTGAGCGTGGAGAGAGCAGGTTCTGGATGTTTCTGGTGTAGTGGTATGTGCAGGGCTAGGTGTTCTAGGAATAGCTTCATCTGGCCGAGGGTTACCAAGGCCACCACAGAGCTCAGCCCGTCAGGATAACCCCCTGTCTAGGTCGGGAAGATGTATCTGCCTGTACATCAGAACGAAACAGAATGTCCTGCAGATATACCACGGATAAATAAGCATTTCGGCTCTGTGTCTAGTGACGCATTTGGGGGGCAATGGTTGAATTACGATAGGTCTCACAATAGACCACTCGTGGGTAATGAGGATCAGCTACTTGAATCAAGTCGAAAGCTATATGGTTGGGTTGCAGTATCATGGACTCTCCGAGCTGCTATCTATGTGCCGCTGTCTTCTCTTTCTATACGCCACCGTTGCCGTCCAGTTATCGATAAACATATAACAAAACACCAACACAATAAGCCCGGCGGCGGCGATGGGGCCTATAATAGAGAAAACAGTAAAACCGTAGGATGCGGATTGGAAGGCGTCATTATCGGCTAGCGTCTTCGTCGCCAGCCCGACCTACATGGCGGTAAGGACGATAGCGATATAGATGGTGGCGGACGCCAGCCAGGCGAAGTTGTTTTGGAAAAAGGCCCCGTATTGTTGCCAGTGTGACATGTAGGGACGAAGGAGGAACGGACGCTACGAGAGGAGATATATCTTATTCAGACGGGAGAGACGGAGCTCGCCGTAGTAGAACCGAGCATTAACCTTGGAGTAAACACGCTCGGTGTCTAGCTACTCGATAAAATGCCTCCATGCTGGCCATATTACCTTCGGCGGCAGCAAGTGCTTGTCCTGTGCGATGGAAAAGTCGCTTTCATGTGGGATGAGCGCGACGTACGAGAACAGGACCCGAGCGCACGCCGCCGCAAGGTCGGCCGATCGCATTCGCTCGCAGCGGAACAGCCGCAGCCCGACTGGCAACAGAGATACTTCGTCCAGAAAGCGGGCTCGAGGAGAAAACGCGGGATTGGTTTGACGAATAGTCGGCTACTCGTCCAGACCAGGTGCATGTCCATCTGCTCCGTGACGAAGAGCTCCCGGGAGAGGAGGAGCTGGCGGTGCAGCGGACGCGGTGGCATGGGGCGACCGGCAACCCACAGCCAGCTCAAAATCCTGTGAAGCCTCTGCAAGTCGAGTTCTTTCGCGATGCAGGCGCTTACATACCGACCTGCGGCACGCGGGCAGGAGTGATTAAGAGTCGATTGTCGGGCTGCGGGTAGGTTGGCACCTGGCCCTGGCTGGACTGGCGAGATGGAGAAAGGTGGAGACTGTCGGAAAAAAAGTTAGCTCCAACGCTTGGCGGATAAGAGGATAGTACTGTTATGCGATCGATACCATTGTGCTACGGAACGGAAAGGAAACGTGGGTTACGTCTTTTCGTATAGAGGGCTGCCGCTTCGGACACGATGCTGGGAACAACTGCTTTCGCTGCGGTCTGCTCGAGGGCGAAACTGTCCAGCCATAGCAGCCTCACGTGATTGACGGATTAATTGGCTCGCACCGCCCGATTCAACTAATCCCGCCATTCCCACAAAGTTCTCATGAGGAGGGACGTGTGCGACTCCAGTCCTGTTTGTAGCTCCTTGAGCTACGTCTTGACAATAGAGCCTGCCCGTAGCCGGCGGAATACTACTGTCATCAACCTGTTAACCGGTCCTACCTGTGACACTCTATAGCACGTCCTCCTACGGAGCAGAGATAATGTGGTAGACAGAACAGCACGCACTTGAGAAGGGGCTGGTCCGTCCTACCGCCGGTTTTCCAAAAGCCGTCCAGATCTTACAGGATTATAGCATATTGCCCCAATATCGATAACCCCAAGACCCGAGATTTGCGGGTAGGCTAGGGGGAGGAAACGACTATATACCTGAGGTAAGGGCCTGGGCTGTGCTGCAGTGATGAGCCAAGTCCAGCACAAACGTGCACGGACATCCAAACGTGATCCAGTCTCTCTCGGCTGAATCCTCAGCAAAACGCATTCCTTGCGATAGCACACATATGATCTTGGTTTCGGCTTCGAAGATCGGAGTGGTAAATGTCCAGATATACAAAGAGCTATGCTTCATCATCATTCCGCCTGAGAGCCGGAAAATGCAAGCTCGATGTACCCAAGTACCTCTATATTCTACAGCCCGTTTTATTTTCGATTTCTATTTTCTGTCGACGCTTATATGCTTCAGGTTTATTGGAAGACTGAGGGGTGTGAATGTAGAAGATAGGGAGAGAAATCTTCCTCAGTTTTTGGCAGTATGTCTTCCGAAATCTGTATCGGATTTCCCTGGAAGTGACAGTCTGGGTGTTCAGTTGATTCCAGTGAGTGAAAACGCCATGGCTTCAAACCTGTTGATAGTCCTGTGGCAGAGAGCACTGTGACTCAGTTCATTGTGGCAGCTGTGGCAGAAAACTCTGTGGCCCGCTGCGAGCGTTATGGTTCATGTTAATAAAATGCAGCACTCATTCGTGGAATTTTCCAGCAATCTCACTATTATTGATTCTGTGCCCACATCGCTCCCAACGGGCCCCTGAATCGTTCCCAACTGCTCCCTGCAGCCTCACGAGCAATACAAGTACCTTATCGGTAACTTGGCTCCCTTGTAACCTTACCAAATCATGGATCCAAGCCAACTGGGCCCACTGAGCGATAGGGAGCGATAAGGATAATAAGGAAGTTCAGGTGCTCATAAAGAGCCCTCTTCCTGTTATGATGGTCTTCTTGCTTCTTTCTCTCCTTAAGACAAGTTAAGCCAAGTCAATCAATACAATTGATTATTTTACAGTATTTCAGGTGTAAGACCGCTTCAAAACCCCGGATCCGTCCACAATTTCGGCCGGCTTAAGCCTCCCAGTACTGTACCAATTCCGAGCGGCCTTTGCGGCTTCGACAATTGTCCTTTTCCGGTGGTTGTGGAACTTTTGCTTCGCAGCTTCAACCATCCTTTTGGCCTTGGTGAGGGCTTCGTCATCCCTCCTTTGGACCATTTGCCTCCCGTCGGCCACTGTAAGCACCCCCCCTGATTGCAAGGGGCGCCCTTTTGCCGCTCTGCGGGCCCTTGCAACTGCCTGGGCCATTTGTGTGGCGCCCAGGTCCCTCTTCGTCTGGATGAGCTCAGCGGCCGATGTGAGCGATGCCCTGATGAACCTTCCCACGTCATCGAAGACTTCCTCAGGCAGATCCTCTGGCAGTGAATTTCACACCTTATCAGCCACCTTGTTCATCTGACGAAGTGTGACAGGTGTGTTAAAGGGGGATGAGGCAGGGTGGTGAGGCATAGGGGGGGAGGGTGATTGGCCGCACCCGCTGACGCAAATCAACGAGTACAACAGCGGGATCAAATGGGCAGATGCCAGTTTTGGCAAAGGCCGAAAGGATGGTTGTCTTTTTGAAGGCCTGGGAGCGCACCCCCTGTATCATACCCAGGAATTCGATCTTGGTGATGTTTGTGAGGCCATCACGAATCAACACATCCAGGACCTTGACATGGTAGTGCTTGAGCGGTTGAAAGACCACGACATCAAGAGGTGAGCTCTTTTGCGCTTGGTGACGATGAGTTGATCTTTGCCCGAGTGCCCTGCTTGCGTGGTCGAAAAAGAGTGGGGCTTCTTGGGGCACGGGTAGTCAGGTGCCTGGATCCTGTTGAATTAGACAGTGAGAGGTCCACTGTTAAGGAATTAATATCTTGGGCAGTGGAACCTTGACCACCTGTGCTACCTGGCCCTCGTCCCTCCGACCACCAACATCCAGACTATCATTTCGAGGGAAATCCAATGCTGATTCTGGAAGACATACGGCTAAAACTAAGGAATGGAAATCTTCCCATTTTTACATTCACTCCCCCCACCTTCCAATAGCCTCAGGCGCATAAGCGCCAACAGAAAATAAAACTTGAAAATAAAACGGGGCGGTAGAAATGAATTTCGGGATTCTAGTGCCAATGTAGCATATATGGAGAATACATTCCCAAGGTACATAATAGTCAATTGCCCAATTCTACTTTTTTATAACCGGATAGCTGCTAACTTTGCTAGCACGTTTTCATGATCGTGGTATTGTGACGAACCCCTGTACAGAATCTCTGAAAGGGATACTGGTTGAAGGCGACTTCTGACTATTGGTTCGGTGCAGCTAAACAGTGCACAACAAGATGTCTCGATGTAAACACAAGATACCGTGAATACAAGCTGTGATTGCATACTGCGGAACTATCTACGAGCTATCTAGTTCCTCCGTATATATAGACCTCTTTTCCCAACCGTGATTCCTCTGATCAGTGCCCCGAGCACACTGATCATTCCTGCTCAGCCTGATCAGTGTCCTGATCACACTGATAAATCCTGCCTGGCCTGCTCAGTGCCCAGCGCACACTGATCAGTCGTTCCTTACTGTGATTGGCTCCCCTGGGTGTTTCCCCGATTGGTCCCTGCTCCCGTGGTTCCACAACCAATCATTATTCTCGTCCATATACCAGGGTTGTGACAGGTATGCTACCTTAAGTCACGCCTTTACCGAAGATTCAACTAGGTTTATTAGTCCCTACGGTACAGTGGAACTCCTCGACCTCGCCTTACCACGCCTGGGACAAGCAGAGACTACCTAGGTAATTAGGGATAAGACAGAAAAGGACCCCTTAAGCGAAGGGAAGCGTGCTCAGTAGCTAAGCAGAGTAAGCACGATGAATGAAGGTCTATATATACGGATGAACTAGCTAGCTATAGACAGCTCCGTAGTTTGTAATATAAGTTTTAGTATAAGCCTATAAGTACGAGATGGAGACAAGTCTATTATTGTGTACCTTTTAGCTACACCGATCTATTATTTAGAAGTTACCTTCAACTGTTATTTCTTTTAGAGGTTCTAAATAGAGGATCGTTATATAAAGTAGCACGAAGAAACTAATTTATCTACGAGGCTAGTCTAGCAATATACTAGCTAGTACAAGGATACTAGAACAGTGGCCCTACTATATAGGGCACAGGTTGGCTTGTAACACTACCTGGACCGTGAGCCCCGGTCGATCGCGCGGTCTAGTCTTGATGGGTCCCCGGTGGCCCCACTGTCTTCCAGAACCGTGACAATATAGTACTACGCTATATTATAGTAATATATATATAGCTAAAGGAGTTTATTATAGACCGTAATACTAAATTCGTATCGAAGTTTTAGAGAGCGTTAATAACGAGGCTAAGGGTAGTAAGTAAGGCGTCTTCGGCTTACTACCCTTAGATAAACGGTTAAACGGAATGGCTTAACTCAATCGTAAAATAGTACCTACGGAATTGCATTAATTTCGAGCAGGATAATTGGGTTGAACTATTGCCTACGGCACAATTAATATATGATATATTACTAATAGAGACGACTAAAGCCACGCCGTTCTTCGTAAACTTTAGATATAAGGCAGACCTACGGCAAGGACTCAGCGTTAAGGTACCCAGGGCTGGGGTCAAGGCAGACAAGCTACATATACTCTACGGTAAGCTTAAGCAAGAACTGGAGTTTGTAAGGGAAAGGATACGGAAATACTATAATACCAAAAGGCTCGAAGGACCTCGCCTTAGGGGGGGAGACATAGTATTCCTTTCCACACGCAATTTACGCACCAAGAGACCTAGCAAAAAGCTGGACCACAGGAGAGTGGGCCCATTCAAGGTCAAAAGGAAGATCTCAGAGACGGCATTCGAATTGGAGCTACCCAGTACGATACGTCTAAGGTCACACACTTTCCACATCTCGCTCTTAGAACCGGCACCACGGGCGGCCAGCCCAGACACACAAGTAAAAGCCGAGGACGAGAAAGAGGAATACGACGTGGAAGAAGTACTAGACTCTCGCATTAATGACGGACAACTGGAATATTTGGTTAGCTGGCTAGGCTACCCAGCCACGGATAACTCTTGGGAGCCAGTCACGAACCTTAGTTGCCCTGAGAAGCTGAAGGAGTTCCATCGGAGGAACCCTGGACGGCTAAAGGAGGGGAACTCCGGGGAGAACCGGCCGTCGAGCCAGGAAGAGGGCCAAAGGCAGACTGGAGGTCGAGGGACGGATCAATTGGGAGGTTTGGATCTAGCCAGTTCGACGCGGAGGTCCAGTCGAAGGAAGGGACCAAGGAGGGGTTAGCGGAAGAAGCGGCTTGCGCCTCTTCCCGCTCCAAGTCCTCAATCAACCGCTGCTCGCGGGCTGCGATGCGACGAAACTTGGCGGATAAGGTACGACGCTGGGTATCTACCCGAGTAAGTTTCGACGCCGCCTGTAACATGGTTGCGCGAGCCTCTTGCTCTTCGGCATCCAATTTCTCCTTTTGGCGACGAAGGGAGGCCGTTAGGGCGGGAGTGAGACCCAGGACATCGCAGTCGGGACGACTAGCACGAAGACAATGATTGCATTTGGAGGAACGGTCAAGAACGCGGCAATCGGTAAGGTTAAGGGTTTCGCAGGAAGTACAGGGAAGCATTTCGTCACCAAATAAGTCAATGGCGACTGCAAGATTCTGACGACGAAGGGTGCTGGAAAGGCCTTTCGGCGTAGGTTTCTTAACGCGGTTAGATATAGTTGGAGGATAGTGAAAAGAGGGAAAAAGACTTACCTGGGAAGGTTGTCGTTGAAAGAAGAAGTAAAGCTAGGCCGTCGGGACGTCGGCCTGAGGGGGGGAGCATCGTGTCACAGTCCTGGTACAAGGACGAGAATTACGATTGGTTATAAAGGGCTGTGGGGCCATAGGAAACAAAATCCAATCGGGAATAAGGACAGGGAGCCAATCACGAGGAAGAACGGCTGCTCAGTGTGCTCGGGGCACTGAGCAGCGAGGCAGAGGCGCTCAGTGCGCTCAGGGGACTGAGCGACGAAGCAGTGTGCTCGGCCTGCTCAGGGACCGAGCATGATGAGTACTACTAAGGAAGTTCTATATCTACGGAGGAACTAGATAGCTTGTAGATAGTTCCGCAGTATGCAATACAAGTCACAATCGTTGGTATCTTAGCTATTGTGACTAAGACAAGCCATTGTTGTACACTGTTTAGCTGTACCGAACCAGGATTGTTCAGAAGTGCCTTCAACCAGTATCCCTTTTAGAGGTTCTGGATAGGGGTTCGTCACACACTAGTGTTATCGGTTTAACGCTTATACGAGGGTGAAAGCCGTAATTAGCGAAGAATAGAGATACTCTCGTTGTCTCTAATACCATATTATTACCGGCAAATTTAGCTATCGGTAACCACAGGGCCCAGTCATCCTAGGCCCAGAATGTATAAAGTCGAAGGTACTGTTCTATTTCAGCGCTAATGCGCTCTGTCTGACCATTGGTGGAGGGGTGATAGGCCAAGGACGGTCTTAGCGTAATTCCTAGGCGAGTGGAGAGCGATTTCCACATTGCTAATACGAACTGGCTCCCTTGTCAGACACAATAGTTTCTGGTAATCCGATCATCTTCGTAGAGCGGCCAATCACAGCAATGTGCTTATAGGTCCTCCCCCTCACCGAACAGGGTGGCAGCGGCATCACGTAGTCGGTGGTACAGCGATTCCGAGAGCTACGCAACTGAAGAGCGCCTGGCGAAGGACAGACGATATGATGCCGCCATCGATCAAGCATTGATGGTTTTAATCTACAGAAGGAAAAATGCAGGACACCGGTGGCTGTGGCAGTCAGATCTTATGACCTGGAGAAAGAAGCCGCTCATCTCAAAGAGAACAAGGGTGTCGAGCCTTGGTTTCCGTCATCACGAAAAGTGTTGAAGGAGTTGGTTGATGGGGCACAGGCTCATGGTTTTTGAGGTTAAAAGCTTTTCGCGCTCTGCATTATACTGTTGATTCGAGACGAATCACAAATTGTTTGCCCTATTTAGACTCCTTAACTACCTACACTTGGATGGCCCAAAGATCCCTAAACCTTCAATACCGGCACCACGCAGATCAGCGACGTTTCGCCATGATCGCATCCCACATAACCTTCTTCTCTCTCAACTCCTCCCTCGAGAAATGCGTCAACATGCTGTCAGGCAGCACGCGGTCCATTAACCCAAGCTGGAGATCATGACCCCAGTACGGTCTCACCTCCCTCCACTTCCGTTTCACTGCCCCGTCAATACCTCCCACAACATAGCTCCCAAACTCGTCAGCGGTAACGGCACCCTCTGCCATAACATTGGCCTGGCTCTGCACCTCGCCTGGCGCAACAGCGAGGCAGTCGATGTGGGCTGTGGCAGGATCATCCTCGAGCTCGCGCGACAGACCCATGCTGAAGGCGTAGTTGAAGGCTTTGGTGGCGCTGTACATGACAATCCATGGCATTCCAACACGGCCAGCCGAAGAAACATTGAGAATTAACGACCGCTCGTGATTTTGTCTTGTCGATTTTGATGAAAGAAGCGGCAAGACGAGATTCGTCAGACGCGCCATGAAACGGGCGTTCATGTCAACGAAACCATCCACCTCGGCAGTGCTGAGGGTGCTGAGAGGTCGGATCGGCGGATCAGCCATGGGAAAACCGCCGACATTGTTGACGAGGATGGAGATATTAAGGTCCGAAATGGCCTCGACCGCTGCCGAGAGCTCCTCCGGGGTCGCGGTGCTGGCATTGACGACGAGGGTGCGCACAAGCGGGGGATTGAGACTTTTGGCGGCCGAGGCAAGCTCGTCTGGGAGGTGGCCGAGGAGGACAACACCGAAGCCTTGACGGACGATGGCGCGGGCGATGGCGAGACCGATGCCGGCGCTGGCTCCGGTGATGAGGGCGTAGCTGTCGCCGCTGGTGCGCTTGTAGGCTGTGAGGGGTTTGGAAGGGCGCCAGAAGTGGTAGAGGACGAATTGCGATGCCCAGTATAGAACCCGGAGCACGGCGGCTGCTCCGACGCCGGCGAGACAGGTGACGAGGGTTCCGGAGGCCATTTTAGGGTTGTTGGGCTAAACTTGAGGTCGGCTAATGAGTGCATAGTGTTTGTGAGTTGGACATTGGGGTGGTAGTCTGGTGGGGCAGGTGCAAAATGACGAATAAGAAACAAGTCTCTACGGGCCACGGCAAGATCACAATAGGGGTTGTACCTTCCATACATTAGGTCTCCAACCAGGGCATAGGTCCGGTCCTTGGAAGACAATCATCAGCACAGCCTGCTAGAACTTCTCACGAGTACGATCCAGACTGGTGTCACGTCTTGGTCCGAGGAAGACTCGCAGCTGAAACGCTCAAAGGAGCAAATTCTCTAGGACACGGCACTGGTTTTGAAGCCCGATCTCAGTGACAGCAATGCATACCTCTTCAAATATAAGAGATCTACAATGTCCCACTATGGTACCTACGCTAACCCGATCAAGACTAGACTTGCAACGACGCGAGTCATGTTTCTCTAATCGTGGGCCGCCAAAGGTTTCCAACTCTCAACACCAATCTCAACTTCTGCCCGGGTAAACACCGTTAAACCAACTCATTGACACTCAACACTCACATCCTCTCCCGACAAATGGATACATGTACACCGGGTGACTCCAAGATCGGGTACGCATGCCAGCTCACTCCCGAGGCCTACCTCGCCAAGCGTAGGTACATACCTTACCCTCCCCTATGCAAGTGACCTATATCGCCGTGTCCAGCATGACTGACTAACTCACAATTCAGCCCTCACACGATCTTTCAAACATCTAGTACGTTTGGGCAAACGCCATGCAGCCACGGCAGCTAGCTGGGTCCGTCGTCACATCGACCGTGTGTACGATGATTACAGCTCCGCACATCTTGCCCGTGACGAGGACGGTGCGAAATTCAACCCCGCCATGCTCCAGTTCTTGCGACCAATCAGACGCATCATGAACATGGAAGATCCAGACGCTCCAAAGCAAGCTTATCTTGTCATGACTTACCTTCAAGACCTATGGTATGATGAGATGGATCAGTGGTGTAATACCTTCCCTGAGAGCAACCACACCATCATCCAACCTTCCACTTCTTCACAAGATGGGATGTGAAAGTCGAGATAATAACCTCAATTGTAGATTTGCTAGAGAAGAAGACTCGATGATGACTTTGATACATGACTAAAATTTAGCCGCGATGAACTGGAGGATCTGCCTAATCTCATCTCGATCTGTCGTGATGTGGTATGTGCGGCGATACTGAGATGTCCTAACCGTGGCCGTATTGTCGACGTACAGGTAGGACGCTTGAGCGCCATTGTACTCAAGGAAGAGGCATTCAGGTCCTCGACCGCCCATCCCATAATTGCGTCCTTGATAACCCTGGGGCCGAGTCGCGATACAGCATTGTTGAACCTCGCCGGCAAGATTGTCCCAGTTGAAGTTGTTGCCCTTGCCTTCGAATGCGAGAATGAGTTTGATGTCGGCGACCCTTACCAAAGCAAGATCGAAGCGCCGCGGCGCCATTTGCTGCTCCGGCACCACGAGCCATGTAGGGCAGGGGAAGACGCTGCTCAGCACGGCGTTCCAGCCACCGTTGCTGATCGCCTCTTCGACCATCGCATCAGCGACGTTGGCGTCTGGCCAAGCCATTGTCAACGATCTGGGACAACGAAGGTCAGATGCACTCTAGTTAAAATATTAAAGCCGTGGACCTCAAAAACAGGTATCGTGACACATACCTCTGACTGAGTGGATAGGGTAGAGAGGTAGGTAGGTGAATGAACCACAGCGGACGGAAGTGAAGTCCCACGTAGGTATTGCAAACAAACAGGATGTTGATCCAATAATGGTAGAGGCTTGCTTTCTTACCTAGGTAGCAATGTGAAAACACATTCTCGTCCCCCATCTTATATCGACAAGCACGCATACAGTTTGTTGCCGCCGGGTGGGAGAATGGCGCTTTGGCTGGTCTGGAAAATCATTGGCCCAAGCCCCTTGTAAATGCATCAAAAGATCTAGACACAATATCCTCGGACATAATGCTCCTCGGATGTGAAACGGCTAATACAATTGCGGGATGGGCCGTGCCACCGGCCAGGCATCGGACCAACCACGTTCTGCCAAACGACAGTGGCTATGCGCTATGTTCTCGAACGTCGGGTGATAGCTGTTGCATCTCTCTTTTGGGAGGCCTGGCTTGAAAGATAGAAGCTGAATGTTTATTGATGCATGATGGCGACCGCAGAGCATCAGTGTCGATGTTCTCGAGCGTCAAGTGATAGCTGTTTTATATCTCTTTTGGGAGGCCTGGCTTGGAGGACTGAAGCTGAAGGTTACCTTACCTTATGCGATCACCCTGCCCACGAATTCATCGAGAGCGGAAATAACTGGTACCACCGTTGCTTACACGCCCAAATACTGCCTACACAAAAGTCAAGATTATCGGCGATAATAAGGCGTTTTGGGAATAGTAATATTTACAGTTTGTACGGTTTTGGTTTGTGCATTGTAACGTGTTTAAAAGACGGTAGGTCTAAGTTGTGTGGTCTCCGTCTTGAGGCCGGGTGGCGAGGCAGGACGGCAACTGCATCTCAGTATGCTCTCTGGGGTCGGGTGATAGTTGTTTCTATTCGAGACACACTTGCCGAACTTCCGTTCCTTGTGGGGAACGTGCAATGTACCTTTCGACAGCGCACCCGTAATTTTGTATACCTGTAGGAAACACCACCATTACTGTCCATTGCTACATCGCCGTTCCCCGTCGCCGTCACTGTCACCATCACCATCACCGTCATAGTTACCGTCAACTACCTACCCACGGCCCACCTCGCTGTCGTCAAAGTTAAAGCCATGACCGTAACGTACTGGTGAGGTGCGTGGTAAGCGAAACAAAGACTGTATTGCAATGAAATCTGAAAAAGGTACATTGCAAAATGTTACCTGTCTGCAGGGTTAGGGCTTTGTATACCAAGGAAAAAGCAGCCCCACAAGGTACGGATTAACAGAGTGCACAGTACGGCAAGTGTCTCTCTTCTCTTCCTCGTTTGGGGAGCCTGGCTTGCACAACAGAAGCTGAGAGTTGAGTGATGCATGACTTGGGCTGCAGGCAGTACGTTCCAGTGTCGCTTGATAGCTGAGTCTGGCTTGGAGGACAGAAGCTGAAGGTTCAGTGGTGCATGATGGCGGCTGCAGAACATGGAAAGTTTACTGCCGTCAAATCCGTAACTGGAATAGATTGTTGGCATCGTGGGAGCTGAGGGCTCTCCACAGGTAAGATGGTCGGCTGAATGACGATGTGGAGGCAATCCGGTTCGTTTAATGATGAAATCTCAAACACAGGGTTCGCAGTGATCCTATCACCCGCCACAGACCCAGTCTCAGTTGAATCATTTGACGCCGAAGGTTCTGACTGGCATGCGATGGATCACCGTCGATGGGTACCTGGGGGGTTCCTGTGTACACGGCGGCAAGGAGGAAGGTTGAAAACACGGAGTTCCTCGAAGGCCCACTGTCACTCAGTGGTCTATAAAGAGCTCTGTTACCCAGCCAAACTTCAGACGTCCTTCAGATCTCCAGAAGACACATCTTCTTTTCCCCATACTCACTTTATTGAATCCATCCATCAGCAAGACACACCTGCCCATCATGACGACTCGCTATACTGTCCAGGTCGAGGAGGCTGACTCCGACATCAAGACATTGCACGGCAATGCGTATCTGCTCCAGGTCGCCAAAGCTGTTGCAACTGGCGGCAAAGCCTCGTTCAATGTGGTCTACGCCTCCAAGCTCCTCGCTCCCCACATGAATGTTCAGTGGACCACGGTTTACGGCATCAACTGGGCCACCGAGATGCCGGCCCAAGGAGCGATCGTCACCTACAGTGGCAAATGGAAGCAGTGCAACCTGGGCGATTCCTACACCCTGACCCAGGACGGTGTTTGGGCTGCCACACAGGAGAACTCCAATGCCAAGGAGAATGCCCTGAACATTGCCTCCAACGACTACGAAGTTCCGGTCCATGTCCTTGTCGGCGTGCAAGACCCCAGCACCAAGATGTGGACACCGGTGAGTTGTTCGCCTACATCCTTGTTCTATCCTTGCTAACTCATCACCGTGCAGATCTGGTTTGGCAACAACAAGCTCTTGAAGGGTTCCCACGGAGAATATGAGCCGATTGAGACCGTCAACATCTGGTATCAGCAAGGCGACCAGACCGCCACCATGATTTCCAACCAGGCGACCTCAATCCAGTCTTACGATATGCCGGCTTCGCACCCAGTTTACTTTTCGTATGACGCGGCTAAGGGCAAGTGGCGTACCCCTCAGGATGTCACCTTCAACTTCCCTTGAGTACCTCGGTACCTTACCTGAGGTGCCTAGCATGGCGACCTCGAACAAGACGGAGCTGGGCGATGGACGATGGAAGATGGGGGGGACTGGTCAGGGGCACACGTATACAGTTCCCGGGAGAAAAGGAACAACCGACTACCCTAGATAGATGCCAGCACCAGTGGTAGTGACAATACAAGTCGTGTTGATCCGTGCTTCGTGGCGATGTTCCCAACCCCGCTGTTGAAAGATGTGGTTAAGGGGCTTGATTGAATACCTAAGTAGCTAGGTAAGTACTTGACACAGATGGATTGATGGTTGAATATATGCCCCGTGACCTCCTGAGACCCCTTAATGACCCTCAGACTTGGGTACTCATATGATGGGGCCATGATCCTGTTCTTCAGTACCCACATCATGACTAACATGCTCAACACAGACAGTCTGACGGCATAAATTTGCACACTTTTATAGCAGATTGCGCAAGAATAATACATGATTTATGTAAGCTAGGGGTATCAACTAGGTAGGTAGTTAAGCTTTCCATCAATGGAATCAACATCTCTTGAACAACAAGGTATTAAGTATTACGTTTGCTGTATGCAACCTTTAAACCGCCCTGATGACGCCATCCCCTATCCTCTCATCCGTCTCTTGCCGCCGCGGCGAAGCAGGCGTCGGCTGCACTGAAGTCATCGTCGGCCCAATGACCACAGACCCAGAACCCAGCACAGGCCCAAGCACCGCATTCGGATTGCCCAAGACCAAGCCCCGGTGGGCAGAAGTGTTCCCACTCTCCATCGAATGAGCATCGCCAATGCTCGACGAAGGAGGCCCAGGATAAGCAGGCAAAAGCATATCACCGTCCAAGTCACCCGCCCCCCCTCTCGCCCTACCCCCTCCTCCTCCACCACCACCACCAGTTTGTCTCATCTCCATACCCTCTTGCACATTAACCGGCACCCGACTCCCCAGCAAGTGCTCAGGATACTTCTGTCTGAACCCCCACTCGAGCCACAACTTCAATCTCATCCCCAAAGGCATCCCCTTCCACAGAAGCCTCAACCGTTCCTGATCTTCGGGACTTCGCTTGTGTTCGTATGCCATGAAGAAGATCATGAACAGATAGATGAGAAAACACCAGGCCACTGTCCCGCAGCGGAAGCAGCCTTTTCCTTGCATCAAGCGAGTGAACCAGAAGTAGTTTTCGACAAAGCCGATGAGGAAGATGATAGGGAGGGCTATGGCGAGGATGAGGATCCAGGGCTTGATCTTGCTGCATTGTCCGGCGTAGGTGTAAGGACAATTGGCTGCTCTGATCCGGGGATCCTCTTCGCCTGGGAGGAAGCAGTGCATCATGTAGTTGTAGTAGATGTCACCATAGTATGTCGAGCCCTGCGATTCTGGCCTGCGTATAGGGGGGAGGTCGGTTGCTTTGACGTGGAAAGTCGTGTAGGTCATGTGCGACGTCGTCGTATACAGTATCCGTTCATAGTTGTGGCTGACGTAACTATACATTTCATCTACCCGTGTCATGACATGTGTTTCGACGCTGGCTTTGGAGCTCATGATCGGGGTCAGCACTGACGGAACGTATGCCCAATACTTGAGGTTGGTTTCTGTGGTGTATTCGAAGGGGGTCGGGCAGCTCGTTGGCGCGGTCAAGGTCACGTCGACAAGCCACGTATGGGTCGAAAGTCCGTAGTCATCGTAGGTTGCCAGATCGGATTTGGGATATGCGTCGGTGGGATAATGGTATTGGACTACGTCCAGATCCCAGAACGAATAATAGCTTGTTGTGGTTGAGGTTGGTGTTATGTCGGGTAGTAGGCTTGTATGTGTCACTAGCAAAGGACTCCCGGTCTCTGTTTTTGTGCATGAGGCAATAGTTTGAGTGAAATCACCAGGCCTGTCGCAGCCATAAGGGCGGACATATTGGCGTTCGACGTATATCTCCGTTGCAGTCCAGAAACTCGCCGCTGTTATTTGGGATAGACTGGCTATAGCCACAAGCCGCGCGAACGACCGCATTCGTGCCATGGTGAGATATCGGTGGTTGAAGCACTGCAAGTACGGATAGACGCGGGTGGTGGCGTTCTGGCGCATTTAAGGCGAGCGCCTCCTCTGCCCTGCCGAGACAGTCCAACCAACGATGTAACCTTAACTGGACGTTTATGGACACAAGCTCAAGCGTCAGCCCTTGGCATGGACCCTTGGTGCCATTCTAGAGGAAGCGAAATGACACCGGCATCTGTACACTATCATCCCGTCACCTACTTTGCATAGAAACGCGATAGCAGCTGAACTACATGCACGTTATGCCAAGGCTGCCCTGTGGAGGCCTGCCAAAGAAACCTCGGCGCCCCGTTCACAAGGCTCTCTTCTTCGTTGTCCATCCAATGAGGACCTAGAGATATCATGCACGGTTCTTTTGTTTTGATAGCGTGGAAATGCTGGCACTGCATTGCGGAACAAATTGTTTGTCTCCTCTTACCCTAACCCTCATATAACAATTACCCCTGAACCCCTGAATGGAACACAAAGTATGCGCACAAGGAAAGGAGATGATCATCTATCATCGTTGATGTTGCCTTGATTCAATCTTGATTCTATCCCATCAAAGGCTTACTCTTCTTTGGCAATGTCACCCTGAACACCAAGGCCTGTTGGTCCAAGCTACACCCACTCGCGTCTTTGTAAGGGATCTTGCCATTGTTGATAAATCCTGATAAATGTCAGCATTGCATCGAAGTCTTCTCTCCAAAACAAAAACTTACCATTCTGCGTTGTAAAGTCATTATCAGAGATCGCAATCAGGAAGTACTCATCCTTCTTGCCATTGTCCACTGGAACCAATACCAAGCTCTCCCACTTTTCGTTCAAGAGGCTCTTTGTTGGCAGCGCTGGCGGTCCATTTCTCATCCCAAACTTGTTTAGCTGAGAGTTGATGTTGAAGTCGATCCATGGGCAGAGCGTGGCAGGTGTTATCTCTGGTTTCAAAACACCATCTGCTCTCACCCTTGTCGGTATCCATCCCCCATATCAGAAGTAAGACCACATACCTGCACCCGCAATCGAAGCATTAAACGCATCATACCTCCCCCCCTTCACATCCGTCGCCCTCCCAATATCAATCACATCCACATGCCTGTACACACTCGTCGGGCTATCCGTGCAAGCACCCACCCCGCTATCCCTCGGCAGGACCAGAAGCTGCTTCTCACTGATATACTTAATCTCACTCTGCGCCGCCACCCTCGTCCTCCCTTGCCCATCGGTAAACGTACGCAAAGGCACAACCCACTCGCCAGAATATTCCACCTTCTTCCCCCCCTTCCCCTTCCCCTTACCCTTGGCAACATCATACCTCAACAACCGAGCATGTCTCCTCGTCGCAGCATTCTGACCCCCCTCCAACCTCCCCGCACTCTGCAACATAACCCACAGCTTCCTCCCATCAGGACTGGCGGTCAACCCCTCAAACCCCTGGTTATTCGACCGTCCCTGACTTGGGTTAGCAGGAACAGGCCGCTTGCCCGAGTTAAAGATAGGGGCGTTGTCACTGCTGAAACTGAGGGTGCCGTTTCTCAACGGCAGCAAAGCATCAGGTGGCGCGATAACATCAAGCATTTTCCCACTGGGGGAGAAGAGGTAGATGTACGGGCCGTATTCGTCGCTTATCCAGAATGTGCCGTCTTCGTTGAGGACTAGACCTTCGGCATCGATAGCGATGCGTTTCCCACCTGGTCCTGGACCGCCGAAGCCATCCCCGGGGAAGGTTGATGCGGGGAGGGGGGGGAGGTTGGGGAGGGTGATGATGCTGTCTGGGTCGACGCCGGTGAGGGGGTCGCCGGTTGGGGAGGTGAGGAGGATGGTGGATTTGTATTTGAAGAGGAGGTTGGGTGGGAGGGGTGGGGATTGGGATGATGATGGGGGGGAGGGGGTGAAGGTTACATCAAATGTGTGGACGCGGGGGATGGTGTTTTGGGTGCCTTGGGTGTTCCAGCCTCGGTCTGGGAGGCCGTAGAGGGTGCCGGTGTAGTATGTTTGTTTGTTCCTGCCGGTGATGGAGGTTCGCTTTTTCCAGTTGGTGATCGCGGCTGAGGAGCCGATGCTGATGGTGTCGCCGAATTTGTCTCTTGCGTCAGAGGGGATGGAACCGAAGCCAGCGAGTTCGTTGTAGGTGTAGGTTTTGCCTTGACATGTTGTTGTGGAGACAGGAGGAGGAGATGGCTGGGGGTGTGAGAGCGCCGTGCTCGCCCACACGACGAGGACGCCTAATCTGCGCAGGAGGGCCATGACTCTGGCGGAGACGTGCAATTGGTAGTGAGAGTGAGGAAGTCTGCTGTTCTCATGGAGGGCATATTCGATTTATGTGCTCAGTCGGGCACGTGGGCACCTTCCAGCTCATGCATGATAGATGCAAGCTGAGAAACTAGAACGAGGGAGAAAGTGGTTGACTGTAACGCTGGAGTGTGTCTCTTACCCACGTGCTTGTTGGAATCGAGATAGGGTAGTGAGCTGAAGGAAAAGGTGCGGGGGATCGTCAGGAACATGTGGGTGTTTTCGCCTCCGTGATTGGAAGGTGGCGACAACATGATAATGCTAAGCCATGTGACATTTGTTGACGACATACATAACTGCATCAAATCAACGGACCTTGAGGGACATGTTTTGACCATCATGAATGAATATTGATTGTTACTTCGCGGTACTCCTTACCCAGTCCTGGTTGCCTGCCCTCGCTCTGGCATTGTAGGCCCTGCCCTCCTCATCGAGCCCGTGGAGATCATGAAGATACTCCTTGAACTGCCTTGTCATGTCGCACACCTGCTCAAAGTCTTTCTGGTCCAGGGTTGGGCCTTCATGCTTGGACTTGTCACCTTTCTGTAGGAAACGGAATTCCGCCAGGGCCACTGCCGTTTGGAAAGCTGTTCATTGAAAGTCTTGTTAGCACCTGTCGATGACGTTGCCAGTGAACTGGATCAACTGGACTTACCATTCCGGATTTCACGGCCATTCCATTCGAGCTTTTTAATGATATCATCCTCCAAAACGTACTGTTTGGCACGCCCAGTGATGATGAAATCCTGACGCTCGTCGGTGAGTTTGTCGAAGAACTGTGTCCAGATTTGGCGGCGGTTGTCTTCGCTGAGAGGATCATACTTGATGACAACGTGAATTCTGGAAATGAAGGCATCATCAAAATGCCCTACACGATTGGTGGTCAAGAACAAGATGCCCCTGTAGTATTCGATGCAACGAAGGAAGACTTTCCGAGAATTCTGTTAGCTTTATCATCGATGTCGCCATCAAAGCATGATGCATTGTGAAATAAAATTGCAAATGGAGCATACCCGACACAAGACTATTGCGTTCAAGATCACTAACAACGCGTCGCTCGAGATAAACGTCGGCCTCGTCAATCAGCATGACAGCCCCCCATTTTTCAGCAAGTCTGAACCACTTTGAGAGCTGCTGCTCCATTCTGATTTCGTTGATGCCGATATCGCCACAGGTGAGGGAGAGCAGTGGACGATTCGTGTATTCGGCAATACATTCTGCGGTCTGATACAAGACATTGCTTGTTATTCGTGAGCTCTCGGAAATGAACTGAGGCCCAACTTACATATGTCTTCCCAACGCCGGGGCCACCATGAAGTAGGAATATCTGACCCTCCCCCTTGTTTTCGATGAAGTCGGCGCGCCAGGACGTAGCTAAACTGTCTTTTGGGTCGGTAAATTTCTGCACCAGGGCCTTGATCATCTGTTTCCGGGGAGCTGGCATCACCAATGTATCGATAGCACCCGGGTTGATATTCGGCTCGAAGCAGCGGGCCACGTCAAAAGCCTCTGGAGTGATTTGATACAAGTTAACGAGATGTACAAGAGCTTCTCAGCATCATTGGACCACATACCCCAGGTTCTGGACTTCAGCACGATACCGTACAGAAGCGAGTCGCAGAGCAAGTATCTGTGGTTGGGATCGTGATCTCCAGGTCCGAGATTGAGATCCTTCACGCGGGTGGGATCCAACAAGTCATAGGACGCATAAGGAAAGTTCGGCGGAGGATGGGGTCTTCTCCCGTAACTGTTTTAAGCCATGTCAGATACATTATTCTGTCAACGTTGAACCAGAAAGGTACCTAGTAGGTACCTATGTAGGGTAGGCTTACCATTCTTCACAGCCACACATAGCCAAGTTCTGTCCAATGTCGTTAGTATTGCAAATTTCCGGTGCCGCCCCAGGCCATTGAGTGTAATAAGCCGGCAGAGTCTATGTAGACCCTTGCCATCAAGCTAGATAGTTTGCGGATTAATTTAAATTAGCATTGGATCTAATGAGGCCAGGAAGAAGCGAAGTCAATAAGTCACATACCGGCCCTTGTCTTGTAACTTCTCGCGAAGCCCCTCGCATGAACGGATCCATGGGCGGGGGAATCCACGGCGGCGGTGGTGGTGGTGGCGGTAACTGTTCGCGATTCGGGCCCTTTGAGGGATTTGGGCCGATCCTCTCCCTCATCCTGAGGCTGTCTCTGGCTTCTAAGGAGCCTTTATCGAACAGCTCACCCCGGTAACGTACTTGTTTCCCAAGCAAAAGGTTGTACCATTTTTTACCATTCTCCTCTAACCGCCTTTTGGTTTTCCCGCCGTCGCTCTTATCGAAATACTCGCACGGAAAGACCTTCAAGGATGTGATTGCACGCTCCCCGCCAAATGGAGGAAGAACCACCTCCGTTGAGCTTCGGCCAACAAACCGCCCGTCATATGTCAGCGACCACAACCTGATCTTGTATGGCGTGAGTCGTTGTTTCGGGTCGGAAAGAATAGCGGCATCAGACACCACCGATTGGACCACATGAGCCGCAAGGTTACCTCGAAATTCCACGTAAACAGTGGTGCCGGGCTTGAACAAGAGCCACAGCATCTCGAAGGTGCAAAGATTTCGCTGGTGCAGGCTGCGTTCAGCTGGTATCCTGTCCTTGTAAACGTTGGCGTGGAGATAGTCGAGGAGCAATCCAAGATGCTCTCCTGCCTTTGCGTTCAAGTCCTCATCATCATCCGCCCCAGGTTCTGACGCGACTCTCGGAATGGAATCTGGCGCGTGCTTCTCAGCCCCTATATCCCCACGAAGGCTCTCGAGCTCTTCCAAATGATGACCGATGACCGCGTAAGGCTCATCCAACTCCAAAGACCTGCCTTCAAGATCGAGTTGGGGGTAGTAACGCACTACCATTCGGAGAGCTTTTAGGAGAGCCTGCGACCCAACTACAATTTTTGTTGCGTGCACGTTCACTGTGACGCCGGGATCTTCCATCATGCGAGACACCCTGTCACGCCTGAGGTCGTCTGAGATGTAACGAAAGACCTCGGGCGCATGGGAGGTCTTCAGCACAGTTACCACGCTAAAGACTGAGGCTTTGTACTTCAAGACACCCTGCCGGGCGACATCGAGGTCAAACGTCGTCGGCCAGGGACGTATGCCGATATGTCCTTCCTCGCGGTCGATATATTCCACCGAGTATGCCACCATTGGTTGCTGGTTATGTTCTTCGCCCGTTTCCTGCTGACGAAGCGGGACGTGCTCGAAACGTTTGCGAAGACGGAATCCATTGCAATGAGGGCAATTGCATGCCGGGTTGTAATCCTTGTCTGTCAAACCATCGTCTCTCTCGTCGGCGCTCTCGTCAGCGCTACCGTCAGCGCTCTCGGCAGGCCCTGCTTGATCATCCGTTACACCTCGGCGCGGTGTCTCCAAGAGATTTATATCACAACGAGGACATATATTTAACCCAAAGTCCGTTAATATGCTATGGCTTCGTCCGTTGACTGTGCAATACAAGGGCACCGGTGAGCTCCATGTTTCAGCGCCGGGCTTCGATGTCTCGGGGGTGGCTTTCTCTGTTTGGCCGTTGGGTGTCTTGCCGTCTTCTACGGCGCCCGGCGGCGGAGGCTTGTCGCCCAGATCATCCAAATAAGGCTCGTGAATGGCTTCTGGCGTTGTTGTTTTGCCTGTGGACAGTCCACAATCCTTCGGCGGGACCGGTTGCTCCACCGATGTGCTGGAGGGGGGTTGCAAAGAAGCCATAGGGAAATCTTTCGAGTAACCTAAAGATTGATAACCGGAACTACCAGACATATCATTGACGACACTCCCGGAGATACATGGTGGCGAAAGAAAATGGGTGGGGATAAAATCGCTATTCCCTCGAGTCCCCCCAGAAAAGTTACCCCTCACCCCCGAACTTCATGTTACCCCAAGGAGTCGCAGTTGGCGCCTGCGCCACAGTGCTGCCTGAAATCACTGGCCAATTGGTTGGTTGGAAAATTTGTGCACACTTAATTCCTTGTGGGTGGCCGTGCGGCTCTGCCTTTTCTCCTTATAGTACTTATACCGCTGCTTTAACACTCCATCCATACTTTTTAAGACTTAGCCCCGGTTTTTTAACACTTTGTCCAAGCATTTTTACCCTCCATCCTAGCTTCTGTTTATCTAAACTTTTTAAAACTCTACTCCAGCTTTCTAACACTTTATCCAATCTTATTTCATATATGCCCCAGCTTTTTCAAGAGCTTATCCCAGCTCTTTTGATACTCTACCCCAACTTCTAATATCCATTATCTCGGCTTTTATCGTGATCCACCTCTCAAAACTCACCCTCACAACTCACCTAGCCATGAACGATATCAGAGAGGAGGATCCAACACCCATCACACCAGCAGTTCGTTCCTACAGTCTCAAAGTCGAAAAAGAAAACCCAGAAGACCCTCTCTCTCAAGCACTCGGTTCCACAGTTCAACAGGCAGGCCATCGACCGAGTATTCAACGTGTTAAAGCTCAGGAGTGGGTTTATTGGCTCCAAAGTGACTGCTCTAGGTATGTTACAACATAGGGATATGCCAACGGCCCATCCGTGTGTCTACACGTCTGCATGAACTGACTACGGCTAACAGTGATCCAATTTTCGATCCGCTAGAGCAACAGCGCAAAGAGTTGGTTCGAGTTTGGCAGGAGTTTCAAAGGCTCTTCGTCCCTCCAGGAGAATTAACATCCGGGGCCGCTCACTCGCCACTTCCCAGCATTGCAACTTTGCAAGCGGCAGTCAATGACGCCCGTCTTGGTTGGGAGGCCAAGCATGAGTCTGGCGTTGGCCTCGCCAGAAATCGGCTTCTCCGCTTCATGGAGACAATGGATGATCATTCATTCTTGTTCAAGTTTGTTCCGGCCGAGGACAAGTACATCAGCCTCCTCACTGGGGTTGTGGCATCCGTCGTCAAGGTTTGAGAGCATTACCCCTGCCCATGCCTGTCATCGCTTTTACTAATGATGCAACTTATTGCAGGCCTCGGTCAATTACCAGAAGATTGCTGAGGGATTCTCACTTGCCCTTGTGGAAATGAGTGAGAACCTGAGATTTGTGCAGAAGAAAACACAAGTTGCGAACACAAATGAAATGCAAAGGCTTGTTGTGGCGCTATACGTCCAAATGTTCAAGTTCCTCTGCCACGCCATGTCCTTCTTCCACAAACGCCACAAGAGATTTCTGGCGTCATTCAACAAAGGATTCTATGATAAGACGGTCAAGGCCATGGTCGACGGCATCCAAAAGACGATCGGCGACATCCGCAACGAGGCACAACATACGACTGAGCTGCGTATCGAGCACATGCACCAAAAAATGAACGACATGGAACCACTTTTGGTCAGGCTGCAACAACTTGGAGTTCAGACTCACGCGGACACCGAGCAGCAGGTCAAACGTGAAACTTGCCGCGGCAGCAGTTGGGCTTCAGAGATTGGGAGAGAAAGCTGTACATCAGCTTGAAGGTGTCGAGGACCAAGTCACTCACGGTAAGTTGGCGATTTTCTATCATCCTAAACCCATAAAAAGGCCACGAGGCCTCGAATGTGCCGCGGGGCATGAATCACCGTCACAGAGTGTCAGCTCACTCTTGAGTTGCCGCCTCCATTGCCTCTCCCGACTTCCACCTGTGTAGCTATATAATGCTGCGCGTGGTTCTCTTTTGCTTCTGCAGTTAACCAACGAGTTTCAACCTTACAGACGTTACTTTCCAATCCCCACAGCAATCCTCAAACGTCCCGCCCGCCTTAACAGTTGACGAGCCAGCAAACGAGCCAGAAATGCCGAAATCCCACGCCATGGCGAGACTTCCCAGCGAAGGACAATCGACGAACCCTTCAAAGGACATAATAACCAGCGGTGATATCCTCCCTTAGACCACATGCACACGCTCAGAACTTGACTAACCTAATCGTGGCCAGCAGAACCCACAATGCCCGACTATTGGCGAATCCAACAATACACCGAAGCCCTCAGGCCCTACATCGAGAGTGCCGAAGAGTTCCTGAGAGCCGAGTCCCACCCACAAACAACCATGATCCCGCAAGAAGTGTACACCCAACTCAGCAACTGGATATCTGACTCTGGCTCCCGAATGATGTGGGTGGAAGGCCCATCCTCCCCGGGTAGTTCTGTGCTTTCTAAAGCCGCCATCGAAGCTGCCGATGGAGTCATGAACGCCGGTATTCCTTGCATTTCGTACTTTTGCAGGTCCCGATACAGCTTCGCTGGCAGTGGCAGTGGCAGGAGCGGGAGCAGTGCCAGCAAGCCGACATTATCCCACAGAGACGCGGCAGTCGTATCCCTCTTCTGCTCCACCATCCGCCAACTTGCCTGGGTGCTTCCCAGAGAAGGCTTCACAGCAGGCAAGAGCCTCCACGGTGACCAATTCGCGAAGCTTGACGGGACCTTGCACAGCCTTCCCACGGCGTTAAACATCATCAAGGCGCTGCTTGTGTACACACCGCCTGTGATCAGTTGGGTCATTGATGGGCTGCAGTTTGCAGGGGACAGGGAGAGCATGGGGCGCCTTTTGAATTTCATTAAACTCTTGCGTGAGCACATGCAGGACTCGAGTCGGGTGTCCAAGATTCTCTTCACGACTGACGGCCGGAATCAAGCGCTGGCCCGTGGCACAACGGCGCGGGAGAGGGTGGATGCATCCGCGCTGGTTCGGGCTAGGGGAGGAAGGGCATTCCCGGGTGGGGTTTACATGTACTAGCCGTTTGGAGTTCTTTTCTCTTCTTCTGAGCTTCATCCTAGCATCAAGCGGACACTATCTCAGCATCAGGCATGCTTTACCCCAGCTTAAGCTATATATTATCCCAGCCTAAAGGGCATTTTCTCAGCTAAGATATTACCTAGTTATCTCAACTTTAGAATACTTTTGCTCCAGTTTTATATCACCTTATCCGAGCTTCATATCGCATTATCTCAGCTGAGGTGTCCACATTAACTCAACTTCACAGGGCTTTACTCCTACCTTCTTAAAAACAGCTGTTATCCTAACTCCAGAGTATTACCACAACCTCAACGCGTAGTCTTTAAGAGCATCGTAATCCGACCTATGAGCCATGTTATCCCTGATTTAAAAGGCCGTTATCCAGACTCAGCTAGCGTTTTTCAAGTCGTTTAGCTCAGGTATCCTAAGTACAGGAGACGAATCCAGATTAATGGCAGATAGCCAAATGCAGCAACCCGGAGCATCACCATGAAAGCCTGCCAGTGGATAGAAGGCGAAGACATAGTAGGGATCCGTGTCATGGCTGGTACATTGTAAGCTGACATCAGTCAGCAATCCAGTCAAAACTACCTACCTAAAGTGATGATGACTAAAATAAGCAGCGGTGGATGTGCCCCTGGAGATCAAGTGTCTTGTTGAGAGAAACCCCAAGATTGTCTGATACGGTATTGTGAGCTCCAGTCACTCAATGGGAATCAACTTGTCAGCACATATCTAGAGCTAGATCAACGCGCAGGGGTTAAAGCTGGCTTTTACGAGCTTCCTTTTGACGTTGGTAGTGCTGACTGCGAACAACGTTGTCGATGGGGTAGAGTCACACCCACAGGGGGGCCCAGGCATGGAAGCAATTAAGGGGGAGTCGCGATGGGATAACTTGCTGGGGGTATCATCGCTGGTGAGATGCTGATCATACCTTCAACCTTCCCAATCAGGTATCATTCCCTCAAGCGAGGTGAAGTCCTGAGCATCGCAAAAGTCGGGGGAGTACCTATAAAAGCCATTGCATCAGCAGCTTTTCTCCCTCTTCCCCTCTCTTTCCATCAACAGCCCCATCAACCCTTTCTCCTCAACCGTCAACAAGCAACTTCACTCGCCCAAAATGGTCAGCGCCAAGTACCTCCTCCTGGCAGCTGCCAGCTGCCTCACCGTCGCCGCCAACGGTAGCGTCTGGTGGCACACTTGCGGGTAAGTGTCATCTGCTTCCATGAACCCAAAACTGCCACCACTAACAGTCTTCTTAGCAACTGCAAGTGCCCTCACACCGGTTCCCACGAAGGTTTCAGCGGCACCAGCCCTTGCATCAAGCTCGACAGCTCCATCCGCTCGGTCGGGCTGACGCGCGTGCGGGTCGGCGCCGGCTTCAAGTCAACCACCTGCAGCATCTATTCCGACGAGAACTGCAGAGACGAGAAACAGAGCGTGGGCTCCAGTGGGTCGTACTCTTGCACCGCGTTCAATCAGAACTCGGGGAGCATGAGGTGCTACTTTAATGTTTGACTGGACTGCTGAGGGACGGTGGACTCGGGAGGGGATAGGGTCATGCTTTTCACTGGTTGAGCCCTTTCGGCGAGACCTTTGGGTAGCATTCGGTGTTCGTGAGGTAGTTTTATCGTATATTAGTGTCGCTCCTTCTTTTTCTTTACCAGTGAAACCCATCGCTCAAACGCTTTTAGAAGCTACATCCACCTATCTTGCAGATTGCAATGATCGAGCTCGACTCCCATGTCAACCGGCTTGATAGTTACCCTCCTCGACTCATCAACCGACAGCGCCTTTGGGGCTACTGGCACCTCCCAATGGTCATTGTTCACACTGACTTCCACTCTTTGCACCGACATCCGAGCGCTGTTACTCGATGTGTTGTTTGCTAATCGTGATGACCCCCGGTAACCACAAAGCTTATCGGACTCGGGTCTGTCAATGGGCATTTCCATCAAATGAGACTGACTGGACTGTTTCAGAGTCTGTGGCCATTGGGGCTTGTTGGTCTCTTCTTTCTTCGCTTTCTTGTGACGATAAACCATCCAAATGGCAAGAGTGACTAGAATAGCCAAGGCGAGCATTCCTCCGGCTTTTGCTCCTGCTATGGCTCCGGCTGGGATCTGTGTCCCTGAGTCCACTTGTTCTGTGCCTTCGGGGGTCTCTGATCGCTCGCCAGGCGGAACCCCTGGAGGTGCGGTGCCCGTATCTGTGACGAAGAGGGCTTTCACCTGCTCTGAAGACCAATTGACCTTGTTCATGCCCCTACATGTTGGGCAATGTCAGCTTCTTCTCGTGGCGGAGCCAGCATTGCGTTTGAGGGATGATAACTTGACACTAACCCATCTTGATACCATGCTTCCACAATTGGGGCCCTTGAATAGTTCTTAGCTTCGGCGTCGTAGCTATCCTTCCATGCGTGTACTGTCATGTCAAAGATCAGTAAGCCTTGGGGAGCTGCATCTACAGACTTGATTTTATCTGTATTTCCCCCGATACTGAGCACCTGATTTCCCAGAGAGACACACGCACTAAAATGGTTGACATGTCAGTGCGGATCTCGTGGTGGATATTATCGGAAGACCTACTGGAAATATCGTGGCCCTGCGGGAGGAATTGGAACCAAAGTCCATACAAAGCATGGCAGGCTAAGAATATAGGCATCCTCGTAATAGGTCTATTGTGCCTGGTTCCGTCCTCCGAACATAAAACTACAGATATAACTATTAACGACTAATATAAATATTTAGTTATACGTATAGACTTCAACCTTACACATCATAACCACCACCTACTAGAGCAAAACCAGTGACGCAGAAGTGAGCCCGGGGATAAGGCGGTATATTTCCTGTGGTAATTTACTAGTATTTTTCTTTAGTACCCGGGTCGAAAAATATTAAGTTATTAAAATCGAAGCCAGGCGAGTCTTTAAGGTTAACATGCTGATCGATATAAGACTTATAGCCCCCCAAAACTAATATTACCCTTTAGTGCGTCTTCGTTCTAATGGTTAGCGGAATAAAGTGAGCTCTTACCCTAATAAGTGTCTTAAATAGGCTTCTATTGGAGCCTATATTATTAGTTATGCCATTACTAATCTCCTTAATTCGTATATTAAATAAGACGATGCCTGGGATAGCCTAAGTATCTATAAAACCTAGTTATATTTAACCCTAAACGGAACCTCCGATTAGAAAGCTATTATCATCGGTATTAGTATAGTCCCCCCACTTTAGTAATAATAAACCTTAAAAGACCTCCGGATTTACAAAATCCTAAATAAGTAACTAGCTGTCACGGTTCAGAAGAAGCGGGGTCGCTCGGGCCAGTGAGAACGAGCGACGGATAAGTGGGGCCTGTGGAGCAGGGAATAACACGGACTAGGGGATCTAGGAGTTGGAAGCTAGATCCATGGGATCTAGGAAAGAATAGATAGATCCAGGTACGGAGGTACTTGGAGGTTAAGGTCTATATATACGGAGGAACTGGCTGGTGTAGATGAACAGTTCCGCAGTATGCAATTCACAGCTTGTATTCACGGTATCTTGTGTTTATATTGAGACATCTTGTTGTGCGCTGTTTAGCCGCACCGAACCAATTGTCAGAAGTAGCCTTCAACCAGTATCCCTTTCAGAGGTTCTGTACAGGGGTTCGTCACACTAAGCGTACTACGATCGACGTTATATATCTTAACTACCGCTAATACACTTAGACCTTTATTATTTTGAAGAGCCTTAAGGGCTAAAATTATATAGGCTTCCTTTGAAGTAGATAGCATTTTGGATTGTTAAGAAAATTAGGTTTTGAGGGTGAGGTTAGGCGTTACGTGAAAAAAGTAGTCGCTCGCTTATATTGGTCGCTCGCTTATAATGTACGTTAAATATACTACGGCCGGAAAATCCTAAGCAAGTTCAGTATTAAAGGGACGACCTGTGCAGGATTGGGTATTATAACAACGATAGAGGTAAAGATCAATTCTTACCTAAGAATCACTAGCATCTTAACAAAAAGTCGAAATATGACTTCCGTAGACTACGTAACCAAGAAAAGTATAAGCATAGTTCAGGTTCAAACACTCTCCCGCAATGCGACGGCCACTTTGCTTAACAAGGCGTGTCGTCCAAAAGCCTGAGAAAATGCTGCCTCACTTCAGAATTGAACCGTCAACCTCCTGCGCTCCCAATTCGTCACGATGCTCCTCGCATACCGAAGGATGCATGTCACACAAACTTAACATTCAATAGCCCCTGCATTGTTTGTATTAGGAAGTTCTTACAAGGGAAAAAGAAGATCTCCTATATGGAAAATATCACGCAAATAATGAAGCAATTTCTACCTCCAAGAGGACCTTGCATTGGGAGTTGCAAGGGCCCTCCAGCGTTTCACTGTGCTCTACAGTGCGTTCCACCGGTGTGTTCCAAACCGAGTATCCAGAGTACCCGAGTACGAGAACCAACACCTGTGCCAATTACACCACTGAGTGATTGCTTGTTGTTGAATTGCTCCTCGGTTCTTGCAGTTAAGTACCTGCCCTGGCGCAGGGGCCAACCCACCCTACTAGGCAGCACATGTAACGCGGTCACTCGCACCTCCCATCAATCTCAACCGTGACTGCCATGGCCATTAATACCAACTTGTCGGTCGAGGCCGAGCCTCATTTGCTCGTCGTTTGGCTCCGGTAGGAAGATTATGTACAGCTCTATACACCGCGGGTCCGTGATGAATTCGCAATATCAGTTTAACAGAAGGCCCCTTGCTTGAGATTAAATAGCCTGTTCTGGCTTCGACGAGAACTTGACAGTCTCAGGGTTGCAATGCTTTTACCATACCAATTCACTACCGGACACAGGCGACCTTCAAACTTCTGGGAGAAGAGTTGACTTGCAGCGCTTATCTAGACCCGTGGTCTAGGCCCCTCTACCCTGCGGTGCAGTGGACGTCAAGGATAAGTTTTACTGTTAACTTCTTCGCCCCGTCGATCATACTAGGATCACCTCCACGGGGAAGGACGGGACACCCTCGCCGGGCCTCGATCCCTTCCACCTTAACATGCACGGATAGACCTGTGGCGGTCTGGGGTTGAATGAACGAATCAGCAGAACGAGTTGTTAAAGACTGGCAAGGGTACAGATTCTTCAACCAATCGATAAACAGTTACTAAGACACGCGATGGCTGTCTCGACCAGTTTAGACTTTACCACCCTGGCGACGTACGGGCTTGGCCTCCTCGCTAGTTGTCCCGGCCGGTGAATCTCGCGCCATCAAAAGCGGGGCTCCCAAGAATGACCAGCATGGGTTTCCAGTTTCTTTTTTCCTCAACGCGACGACGACAGAGCAACATTTCATCCCCACACTAACAAGTCCGAGTTCGCCGCGAGACAAGATGTCAATCTTGACTAACCAAGCCAGAAAGATCCTCGGTGATCTCACTACAACCTTCACAGCTCCGGAAGCATGCTGGACACCAGCCCATCATATTAAGCTCAACGTGGGCTGGTTAGGACAGACATGCGGGCCGACGGACGTTTAAGATAACGCCGACTGTTAGCCCCCGACGACAATAGGCGCTCCGAGAACGAACTCGGCCTTCTACGGCTGGGGATTCTACTCGCCGGCCTCGAGTGCCCAGCGGGCTATCAATCGGCATGCACCGCCAGCGCCACCTCGCAGGGTTGGCGCGTGCAGTACAGGATGGAACCGGAAGAACCCTTTATAGGCTACTGTCCCGAGGGCTACGCCTGCCACAACGAGAACGGCCAAACCTGCATCTCGATTGCTCGCGCCACCACCATTTCAACATATCAGTGCGAGAGCGGAACCCAGATCAATCTCGCTCCGATGACTCTCCCCTACCAGAACTGGTCTCAGGCGTATATCTACGCGCCAATGATCCAGCTCGCGTGGAAGCCCTCAGACCTTCCCTCATCAGACATTTCCTCAGACCTGGGACCGACCACCACATCAACCCCTAAGGAGCCTTCCAGCGGCGGGATCTCGACTGGAGCGATAGCGGGTATTGCGGTTGGTGCTGCTGCAGTGATAATTGGCATCGTGGTGGGCGCCTTTTTGCTTTGGCGGACGAAGCGCCGTGGATTAGCCCGGGACGGACCCTACGCACAAGCTGAACTACCTGCCACTGAGGCAGGAACACCTCCACCCGGATACCCTGCCTCCGGGCCGCCTGGCGAGAAACATTACTATTCCGGTCAGCCCGAGTAACAGTGGCACCCGGGCATGAAGGAACCCCAAGTCACGGCGTAGGAACTGGGACATACGCAGGCGCCGGCCGAATTGAGTGGTGCTCGGTGGGATACATATGGCAGGGTGGAAGCTCCTGGTCCTGAGACTGGCCCAACAGAGATGGAAAGTCCACAGGGTACTCCGCCTACGAAGCCAGCGGTTTTGAACCAGGGGCAATGATAGGGACTTTTAACTGGAAGACAGGACAGGGTGTGGACGTCATTGAGCAGTGGTAAAATCTTCTGGCACCCAAATTGGGTACATAATTATTTATCTTCATACTAGAGCACAGGAACGACTATCTTCATAATAGAACATAGAGACGACCGTCTTCTCGCGAATCTTCGCTCACTACTAGTTTCAGTGTGGTTGCGGTATGAGATATGTGGCCGCCAACGAATCATGGCCAATTCCGACCGATGATGTCAGCATTCCAACCTTCAATTCTCATAGGTAACCACAACTCATCATCGACAAAGCTATCTCATCCTCCATCCCTCCAATTCACAAACAACCCAATATGAAGAGCTTCTCAATAGCCTCATTACCCCTTGTGATCTCACTAACCACATCATGCACCCACTCCCCAGCCGACTCCCCGAGCATCTCACCGGTACCTCGTAATAAGCCCCCAAAATATCACACTACCTCCCCAAAAATCCCCCTCTCAGTCCGTAAACACTGGATCCACCAAGCCAACACCCTCGCCCTCTTCCCCTACCCCTGCCCCTTCGCAGCCTTTGGCACCGTCATCGTGAACCACACCCTCGACAACCCCCAAGGAACCCTCATCTGCACTGGCGCAAACCAGAATTCCCTGGCCGGCAACCCGACTCTTCACGGGGAGATGGCAGCAATAAACAACTGCTCCTCAATCTTTGTCTCCTCGGCTTATAATATGACACCAGCGGAGTCGCTAGCCGCGTTCAAGGACCTGAGCTTGTACACCAACGCCGAAAGCTGCCCCATGTGCGCTGCTGCTGTGAGGTGGGCGGGGTTTAGGGAGTATGTTTATGGGGTGTCTATCAAAGAGTTGATTGAGCTGGGATGGGGACAGTTGGATATAGGGAGTGAGGAGGTTATTGGGAGTGGAGTCGGGATGAGGGATCAGGACCCGGAGGTGGTGCTTGGGGGGGTGGGAAGTGAGGAGAGTAAGGTGTTGTTTGGGTGGCAGTTTGCCGGGGGGGATTGTCCATCGGGTTGTGAAAGAGGGGAACGGAGCGACGGGTGTTTGCCGGTCGAGTTAGAGTAGAGGGGTTGGTTATGGGAGCCTGGGGATTGTCAGTTGAAGCGTTGGATATCAACAAGGGAGTGGAGAATAAACGAAATAATTCTTGGAAGATGTATGCCTCTTGGGCTAAGTCTGCCTTCGACTGCACCTTACGCGTCATCTCTTGTCCCCAAGATGCCATCAACCTGCATCTCAGCTACCCCCATTTCCGCTTTCTGAAGAACTCACAGCCACTCTCCGGAAGCATTCAGGAGGTCTTGTCAATAGATCTGCACAACTGGGCGTCAGCCCGAGAGCACGGGCTCCTGTCACAATAACCCTTATGTGGGTCTTTGTGGTGAAATCTCCTCCTTGCCTTGGCCCCGTGGCCATGGACGTCCTTATGGTACGACTCGACGGTACGACGCTTTGTGCTTTCCTGGTGTCCGATGTTGTGTGGGTCCACTGAGTGACCCATGCTTCTTTCCACATTCAGTTCGTCACTCCAACAGGTGGTTGCGTGGTTCTTCATCAGTTTATCACACCAGAGTTTCCGTGGCCCTCTAAACCTCGACAATGGAGCCCCTCTCGATCATTGGCGCCGTTGCAGCCTGCAGTGAAATCGTAACAGTCATCGCCCGGGTCACAACCAACCTCTATTCCCTCAAACAGCGATGGTCTGAGGGCGCACGGTCGCTACAACTTTTGATCGCAAAGTTATCTACAGTACGAGCCGCGCTGGCACAAGTCAAGGACTGGGCGGAGTTATACGCGTCCACAAGCCCCGATGGCGAGGAAATGCATGACAGCTTGGGAGTGGCCATGAAGGATGCCAGGTCTTTATTGAAACGCTGGACCAAGATGTGGCGGGACTGCTCGAAAATACAATTGTGTCGCGCCTGAAACAGTTGTTTATCGACTCGAAGATCAAGGAACACGAACAACGACTGGATTCCCAGATTTCGGCGTTGCAGGTACTTCTCAGTGCAGCGTATTGGTAAGTCTTGCAGTTCGAGTTGCGCGCCATGTCCCTACACAAGCTGACAGACACTTCCCCACAGCCAGAGTCTCACGGAACAAAACAGGGTCCTTCGAGCAGGGACCGCCCGGCAGATTTTCCAAGGAATACGCGATGACACGAGCACAGTTCGAGAACAATCCACCCTCCGAGATACCGAACTGTCAACGGTTGCTGGTTCCGAACCGGCGCCAGCATCGTTAGGGAGATTGGACAGAATTGACAGTTTCGCGGAGAGCCGTCCCGATACTGTTCCCCTGTTCGACATGCACGTCAGACCACCAAGTCCCAGTTATGAAAACAAGTATCACGATTGTCGAGACCCCACGTGGGAACGCCCAATGCCCTTTAAGATGCTACCAGACAGCCCATCTTCCGAGCCAAGGTCTCCTGTCAGCGACAAGAGTTCCAACACCAGCGGTTCAGTCTCGGACGGGTCTCTGCCCAAATCGCCATCTTCCCCCATCCGCCAACGCTTGAGGCAACTGAGACGGTCGAACGCCAACAAGCAAGCTGCGACAATGTCGTCAAAGTATCAGTTGGGTAATCGATTCCTTGGCGAGTTCGAAGCTACCGATATATACCTCCAGTCTAACGGTAATCATCCACCACCGAAGCCCATTGTGGCGGATCAACGGGGCGACCAGGAAGAAATAGCCTCGCTGATTCGCAAGAGGGCTGACATCAACCATCCGCACAAAGGAACCGGAAGAACGCCTCTTTCCGTCGCCTGTCACTGCGGTCACAACGATATTGTCGAGTTGTTGATTGATTGCAGAGGGTGCCAACGTACAGTCCAAGGACAAGTGGAAGCTTTCCCCGTTCCATCTGGCAGCTGCCAGTGGTCATTGCCAAGTCATAGCGACTCTCCTAGACCGAGAGGCAGACATCAATGCCAAAACGGACATGCAGAGATTGCGAGTTACCTACTCACCCGTGGCGCCAGGGTCAAGGGAACAACGGATACACCGATGTATTTGGCAGCGAGTGGTGGTCATGTCCAAGTGATCCAGGCGCTGCTCCAACACGGAGGGTCTGTACATGAACTTGATGCACAAGGCTGGGATCCCCTGAGGCGAGCGGCTTTCGAAGGCCATTCCCAGGCTGTTGCAAGCTTGCTTGGGCACGGAGCGCGAGCTACGAACCTCGGCGCTCTGTCCAGCTTCTCCTTTGCTTCAACTACCACAACTGAGCAGCGTCAGCGCATCTTGGATCTTCTCACCACAGCCGTTGACGCAGAAAATGCCGAGCATCAGCACGTGGCATATCTGACTGACTTGGCATGCTCGCTCAATGACGGCCAGGACAACCTGAAAGAACTGCCTGTCATGCGGATAATCATGCGCCAGGAGGACGCAGGTGCAAAGGAAGGGTTGGATGCAACAGTTATACCTCCGTCGTCGCCAGTGAGGCCACCACCCTCCCCCTCGAGACCACCACCCGCAATCCCGCAGATCCCTCAAGCCACAGGCGAGGAATCCGACCACGAGGCTACACGACCGGCGCCATACACCCAGCCAGCGCCATGGCCTCTTCTTGATCTACCAACCCAACAGCCAAAAATACCGATTTTGCAACGAATCCTCCCGCACAAATCGCCTTCCTTTTCCAGGGAGGTGAGAACACTACCATATCTGAGTTGGTACGCCCCTGCCACCACCCCACCCCCGAAACAGCAAGAGTATGCGTCCCAAGCTGCTGCCGCAAGGTTAGAGGCACTGTACCAGGCCAGGACAGGAACAGAGGAGAATCGGGCAGAGTTGGAATAATTGCCGTGTTTATATTTTTCTGAAGTAAATGTGTTGCTCTAGACTATTACAGCCCCATGTAAAAGCGCTTCTCAATTAGAAATAATACCTCGACCCATCCCCCCAACTTTCCACCCGCGGCCCGACGGGACATGATTCCAGAAAGTCAGCGTACCTATCCGCCATGGCCCGCCATTTGTGCTCATGGGCTTTGTCGCGACAGTCAAACACCTGGTATCCTCGCAGCTCATCCTTGTTACGAATGGCAAAGATGTTGTGAAGGAATTTGCCGCCCATGTGGCCGTTTGCAAAATCCCCAAAAGCGACGGCCTGGAGGGAGTGAATGCCCTTTGGCCCGAAGGCCCAATTGAGAAAACAGGAGAAAGGTGGGTGGAGGGATGATAACATATCGGAAGGAGGGATGGGAAGGAGGAAAACGTCTTCAGCATCGTGGGCCCGAGTTGACGCGGCCCGCCGTCGCCTGGAATAAGGCGGGAGGCTGGTCGCTTTGAAGGCCCATGCATAACCTGAGCCTGTTTTTCGTAAATGGAGGAGCCTGAGGCTTCGTGAGCCTCCGGTAAATGGCTTGAGGAGGGTTATCTGGATGTTTTTTACGATCGGTTAGGAAGTTATCAGTACAAGCCGCAATGCAAGATACATACAATAAAAGGCTCGGACCGCACACCTGGTTCTATACTATGTCTCGCCCACGTATCGGACTCGCTCCAGTCTGAAACAGCGCAAGGTAGGCCGAGGCATTCAAGTTTTGGAAGGGCTGAGAGGGGATTTTCGGCGGGATCCAGCGCCCACTTGCTGATGTTCGTCTCTGAAATATCGAGCGTGCCATCGACGTCACGAATGGGATCGACATTTCTCTCAAAGACGCCCATTGTGCACATTGGACCTGTCCATAGGCCTCGCTGATGGACCACCAGCCTCTTCAGTGTTGAGCCGTGATGGCCAACGGTAGACCAGAGGGGGTGGAAGCCAGCGCTGTCTTCGTCGAAATCTCTGGCAAAACCGATATAGAGGTTTTCTAGACCGTTGAATGATAGAAGAAAGGTGTTGACTGTATTCGTCTCCACGTCATAGTCATCATTATCGTGCCCATGGCTAGACATGAACTCAAAGGTCTTGAGCTGAAGGGGTCTGTTTGCTGCCATTATTCTTTCGAGGAATTCACTCGATCGCGAACATTGGCGTAATGTAAGTGCATCTAGACCACTGATGTTGAATGCTCGATCCATTCTCTTGGTCAAATAGACCGATCTCAAAGACAGGATTGCAAGTGATGGAAACAATACATCAAGATTCGCTCCCAACATACTGTGGCACCGATCAGCGGAATCTTCACATTCTTTTGGACCAAATAAGAGCTCCTCGAAAAGGCCCCCGTACGGCAATTCCTCGATTTGGAGGTCATGCAAGCGCCCTCTATTGTTTTCAAGCATTCTTCGAACCGGTAGAACATAAGATCGTGGTATCGTATTGCAAGTAATCCGTTTGAGCTGGCAGAACGGTAGGTGGATGTTTTTGGTCATGGCCTTGCAACGGGTATCAGACGTCAAGGATATAGACTGGAGCTGCGGTTGCGTTTGGAAGAGGCTATCCAAAATAGGCTGAGGAATGCATGTTGCCAAGTCCCAGGTGAAAGATTGGAGTTGGCCAGCGGGGATGCGTTCGAGAACAGACTGTACAGCGAGAGCAACGTCGTCCATGTTGTCGGGACCCAGCTGCTTTCCCATTCGTTCTATGCTTGCCTCGACGCACCTTTGATTCCTTAAGGACCATTCATCTTTTGACCATCCAGCGACTGGCGCTGCTCGTTGCAGAGCTCTCCACACCCCAAGGTCCTCCGGTGGTGGCTGCCGGTGGAAACAGGCGACGTTGGGCCAGTCTTCTTCCTTCTCATAGCCCCATAGCTTCCATCGAGTGTCCCGTCGAAACACCATGTCGGCGACATTCTGTATGGAGGAGGTAGCATTCTGAAGCGCATGGGCGCATTGTTCGATCCGTTTGATGCTGACAGATGATGGGCGGTCTCCTGGACCAGCAGTATTAACACATAATGTGCTCCAAAACCTCGGTCCCCATATGGCATGGAAGGTCTTGGAGACGAGCGAGAGGGTTTTGACATCTTGAATGTTAAACCCTTTGGCCACTTCTCGGAGCAGCTCCTCCGGGAGACGTTCGAACATTATAATAAGTAAGGTGAGCAGTGATGTCGAGATGAAAATGGTTGCATCATCTTTGGTTCCTGGAAAGGACAAATTCCCTTTTATAGGGTGACTGCCTACCTGGAGGCGGGGTCACTTCGGCCAATGAGCTGTTGATCAAACCAGACACTTCTTGCCCCACTTCATCACCAACACAAACACAACAAAATGACAAGAACTATTAAAGCAGAACAACGTTGTTGTCTCAAACACTATCTGACTACAATCAAGCAATTTCCACTATTCTATAATCCATAACACATTATCACACCACGGTCCACCGCATTAACACCCACAACACAATCCAACACTCTTCGACACTCTTCAACCATCTGAAAGCCCCTTTCCAATAATGAGGGTTCTGGTTACCTGTCAAAAACAGGAACATCTCTCCCCTTCCAGGGTTTGAACGAGTCTTAATTTGAACCGTTGAATGGCGACTTTGACAGCTCCGAGGATGGTCACGGGCTCCAATCAATTAGGTAATTACCCAATGTTGCTTCATCTGCATCAAAAGCCTCAAGAACCTTCATCTCGCTGACGAAACTAGGCTGTGACACTGAACAAGCATGAGAGTATGTTCCATGATAAATGCAATTAAATCTGCTGGATTAGTCCCGAAGCCATGCGGAGTAAAGCAATTTACTTGGGGTGATGATATACCCCTTCCCTTGGCCCCATGACCAAGGACGTCCTTTTGGTACGACACTTGGGATAACTTCTTTTTAGATATCAATGGTGGTGCGGGTCCAAGAGAAAGTCGCGTGGTGTGGAGGGAACGTAACAAAGGCTGAATTTTCCAAGTCCAACAACACGAGCCCTGTGGGTGAGTATGTGGGCCCAGCGATTTACGTGTCTCCCCATCTGAAGTATCTTAGGGGTAGGGGGAAGAAAGGAGCAGCAGGCATCTTGCTACCCGAGTGGCAGGACAGAAGAATCCGACCACTCCACTCGCTCACTGGCTACATTGAGGTGGCTTTTGCATGACCACAACAAGCAACCTTTAAGCCTATTTTTTCCTATCACACCTCTTCAGCAACCTACCAGTCTCCGGAAACAGTAAACGTAGCAGCATTGGGACTTATTTGATAAGCACTGAGCGACTAGCGTCGTAGCATCACATGTAGACTCAGCTGGCCACTAGCACAGGTCAGCTCCCCTCTCTCATGTACCAGAGCAATAAACGCCACCACGCTTACCCGAAACCAATCTGCATCCATAAAATTGCCAGGACTTATTTTGACAAAACCTTCCCCAAACCCGTAGTAGCACCATCACACTTCACTTTCTCAATTGACACAATACCGCCCTCGAAACAACATGGCTGCCACCGATCCTATTCACTCATGGATGTATTTCCTGCAACGGGATCCCAAATTTGAGACTGAACGCGTCTACGAACTTAGACGGCAGAAGCCTACAAAGAAGATCCCCCAGACCAACATGCTGCTCGAAAAGGTGGACAACATCGCCATTCATGATGTCCGTCCTCGACTCGAACAGTGCTCTTTCGGCACTACTGGATTCTTCCTCCTGGATATGGACACAGGATTGGTTGCAGAAGACTTTGATCATCGCGAGAAGGTGATAAAGTGCTTCCTTCCTCAGTTGGCAGCTGAAGTCAAGGACAGGCTCAATGCCAGTAGGGTGCAGATCTTTGACTACCAGCTTCGAAAGCGGAACCGAGACTTCCCGATCAGCAATGGAGAGGTGTATGAGTATAGACAGCCTTCCTGTCTTGCTCATGTTGGTGCGTCCCCTCCCCCTTCCCCCTCCCACTCCCCCAACCAGCCGTGGTGTGAAACTGATATAGTCACGTAGACGCTACTCCCGGTGATATCGAGCGGCTCAGACATGGTCTCAACAAGGGCAGCTTTGAACGTGTGGACAACGTGCGCTGTCAGTTTGTCAAGTATGTATACGTCTTTTTTTTCGCGGATCTCTAATGGAGAATATCTACCAACGTTTTTGATAGCGCCTGGAAGCCTCTCAGGGGCCCAACTCGGGATTGGCCACTTGCCCTGTGCGACAATCGATCCGTTGACCCAGAGATGGACTTGAAGATCTGCGATCTCGTAGCGCCTGATGGTACATCTGAGACTGCCTCGGTTCATCACTCCCCTAACCAACGATGGTGCTATGTCAAGAACCAGATGCCTAATGAGATCTGGGTGTTTATGCAGTCTGACTCGAACGGCAGATCAGGTAGGTGCATCCTAAATGATTGACAACACAGAGCACTGACGAGTATATGGCAAGGTGTACCGCACTCTTCATTTCCACACCCGGATGCCACTGAAGAGGATCATTTGAGGGAGAGTATTGAAGTGAGAATGTTAGTGTTTTACGAGGATGGTCAAGGGCCAGAGTCTGGTTGAATCATGGCGCGAGATAGATGTTCTTTGATCTAATAGTTTGGCAACAATTGAATTTTTTTTTTGACATCCTTGGATTGGAATTTTTGAACATGGCTTGTCAAATGTGTGTATTCGGTGTCTCGCTTAGATACCAGTACTCAAAGATTGACATCACACAGCGTCCCATGCTGCCAAAGTAGGTACCTGATTGTCAAGCTGCCAGTTTCATTGCCAGGCGTATCGGATGGATCGAAGCCTCTACCAGCGACAGTGCCCAATTTCCACCTCCAAGTTCCATGATGCTGAAACCGGTGGTCTATTGTTTCGTCATATGGGCCCATTAAGCGCCTGAAGATTCCCGTCACATGCATTCTTCAGCTGTCTTGAGCAGCCTTATCACTCACTACCTTTTACGTACGCGCACATCCAGAAAAAGAATAGAACTCGGGCAAAGCGACGGTAATGATACTGCATGGTAGCGCAAGCTGTGGGTGGAGCGCCGGAGATAGCGTAGCGCAAGATACCACACGCACGAATGTGTGTGATGGAACAAACTGTAGCTCTCGCATCTCGGTTATGCTCTGAGTTCTTTTCGCTGAAGAAGGTTAGCTATATCAAATATTGGGAGCTGAACTACCGTCACTAGCGGGCATCGAGGTAAAGGGGCTGAGGTTAACGCATGATTGGTGTGTAGTGGGCTAGTCAAGGTTGCTTTGCAGCTCTAGCGTGAAGGATTGAACGGCGATGCCAGCCAGCCACACGATCTCACTTACAACTTCGGAATATCCCAAACTGTCAGATGTATCTGTGAGGAATCATGGCAAGCGGTACAGCGGCAGTTGGAAAACTCTGGATATGGTGAGAATTTGAGCATAAATACCAGCACAGGGTCGATGGGCGTCAGGTCAATCTTCACCTCTCCTCTCATTCAACATCCCAGGATTGAAAGCATCCTATCACAAAAACCCATTCCTATTCGTCTACCTCCCAACTCAAGGTGAGAGTTTCTCGTCTCGGAAACTTGACCAGCCAACCAGCTAACCTCGCTTGTTTGAAAGACTTCTTCCTCAAGCACCATGTCTGACACCAACGAGCCTACTCTCATCTGCCCTGAGCCCCCTGCAAAGGAGGGAGAGGTCATCATTGCTGGCAGGCCGTGGCGCAAGACTGAGACTACCCTTTTCGACACCGAGGGTGGTCAACAGGATTCCTCTACATCGGAGGGAGCTGAACTCATCTGCCCGGAACCTCCTGCTAAGGAGGGAGAGGTGATCATTGCCGGCAGGCCGTGGCGCAAGACTGAGACCACTCTTTTTGACACTGAGGGAGACGGAAAGGATGCCGTGGATGACGTGCAGCCTACACTTAGATGTGAGGACACCTCGAACATTGAGGAAGGCAAGGTGATTATTGCAGGAAAGCCCTGGGATCAGTCTGAGGACATGTTGTTTGATACTGCTGGGGAGGGTGGTGAAGCCGATACTGGGAAGCAGGATGTTTAGATTAACGAGGTACAGTTAGGAAGACTTTTTTGTTGAGACGTCTGTTGTTAGCTACGAGGTGCGTTGGAGAGGTTGCAGCTAGTTACATTCCATATTTTTCTCTTCCACTCTTTTTGTCCAGATAGTAGCATCAGGACTTTGTTTGAGAGACAATTTCTTTCGCTTTCAGAAAGTTCCAATCTTATCTCAAGATTTCGTCCTGAATCTATCGCTAGACCTTTAACGCGAGGCTCTGAGGTTGCTTGAGGTGCCACTGCCACCCGAGAAGCTCGCGCCCAATGCTCCATAAACTCCTTTCTGTTACAGAATTAGCGGTCAAGGCGTTGAAATACAGTTCGTACAGTAGTCAACAACATACCCAGTATCGGTACACCATCCCTGAATGAATCTAACAGATCTGCCAACTTCGGCGGCCCAACGATATGTTTCGACATCATCGTGGAATCCTGCGATGACGCACGACCGTCTCGTGCACGGGTTCCGCTCCTCTGCATAATGATAACATATAGGCTTAATGACCGTGTTGACGTCCTGTCGCACAAGCTGTGTGGAGGTGACTTCGCTCCCCCAAATTACGTCGTCTGAAACCCAGTCTGGATGGTATCATTCTTGTACTGTTACGCCCCAAGCGTAATAACCCTGTGTAGGAACAAATGGATGGTTCCCGAGGTGCTGGGACACCTCAGCCAATCATTGGGCCAGAGATGGAAAGACCCACAAGTCCCCATGTGACCAATCAGGAGGTGCTCAGTCTGATCAGGGGCCAAGACCACTGAGCACACTGAGCACATCGATCACGAAAGGTTGCTCAGTCTGATCAGGGGCCAAGACCACTGAGCACACTGAGCAAGGTACAAAGATACTTCAGAAACATATGTAGATAGCTTCACATAAATAGGGGGGAGCGCTGGGCGCTCCCCGTGTCGAGGAATCTGATTTCTCACGCAAGCAATCAAGTTCATTTGTCTACAATCTTCTCTCAGTAGCTCTTTGTTAGAACGACCTGTTGTTGACAGTGAACCCCTTGTCTGAGACGCTTGCCACAACCTTCGATCATCCTGTCACATTCACCTCTGGCGTACTGCCTTGCAGTCTGTATCCACTCTCGGTGCAGGTTGTAACAACTGGCACGTAGCAAGTTTAGGAAGACCTTTTTGTTACAAAGGTAGGTTGCAGGAACCAAGAGGTGTGGTCCTGCAAGCTAGACTAAATACTACAACTGGAAGGTGGGGCAAGTGGGACAAGTGAATGGTAGGTCATGTGACCCACGCCTGACAGGTGGAAGATGATGGCTGCAGACCAAGGACTGCAGGAGCCGTCACAAAACGATACTTTATAGTAATAGAAATCGGTAAGTGGCTGGTTCCTGTTAGAATCCCAATGGAATCAAGGATTCTCGAAAGGGAATATAGCTAGGCGCCTACCTGCGAGGTATGATTCCCTTCCCGCTACATTCTCGCAGTATTGGTCTTAATCAATGATCGATTATCAGACGGAGCCATACATACCTCGGAGAACGTGGCTCAACTGGACGTGGTGAATGCTCGACGATCGAGAACACTGTTTTGTCGATTTTTATGGTAGGTACATCACGAGCCCTCCTGGGTCTTCGGTTTAGTGGACACTCCCAGTGTTCAATTCTTGCCTGCACCAAAACTTTGTATCAAAAAGTTAGCAAAACAAAAAGATCGTCCTGGCATCAATGGTACAGGCTGGGCACCCCCATGGAAGGCATCATTTCGCGTTCATTACCTTCCCTAATCTCACTTATTCGTCAGGCGGATCGGGAGTCAATGGACAACTCGCAATGAAGCCGGACAAATAAGGGGGATTGAGGAGGGCAACATATGTTATATGATACCCTCGTCAAGAGGATCACATTTAAAGTGGAAGTGACACACTAACCGGTTAACCATGCTCTCCTAACCAGGGAAAATGGGCTCCTGGAAATGCCCACTTATAAAGGGACGGTTGCTGGGTTGTGGGGGTGGTGTTGTCCGGGGCGTGGGTCAAATGAGAGTAGTGGATGCTCCTCGTCGCGTCGACGCCAACAAAACGTACACGGCGCAGTGATGTTGTCACTTTGTTGGGCCACAGGACATATAGCACAACAAGCAAGCGCTTCAGTTCTCCATTCACCTGGCTATATGCCCCATAACCATACAACTATCGAAACTGGCACATGAAGATCAAGAACCCAAAACAACACCCCCAAAATCATCCTCCCAGATCTGCCCTCCCTCCTCACTCCCCGCCCACATATCCTCCATCCCAATCCCCCTCCTCACCACTCTCAACATCATCTCCGTAGCCGCCATCACGACCTTCACCAGCTCCAAACTCCCCTCACTAACCTCCCCCTGTCCAACCACATCCTCCCACGCCCGCCCCAAGCAAACCGTCACCTCCCTCCTCAACTTCTGACTCTGCTGGTCCTCCTGACATATCCACCCCGCCACCTCCTCCGCCGCCCTCCTCAGCACCGCTTGATCAATCCTAGAAAGAAAATCATTATTAATCGCCGCAACAGCCATCGCCTCCTCAAACGAATGCTTCTCCGTCCCCGTCACCCGCACAGGCCTAGCAATCCTCGCTGGCCCCCCCATACATTTACAGACATCAGCCGTACACATCCTTTTCGGCGACGCGCCAGGATACAGCGTAAAGTCCACACACACCCTCCGCGCCTGGATCTCCAATTCTGGCTTCAACTTCCCCCGAATCTTAGCCCGTCCCTGGGCAGCATTCGTCACTGTAGTGTAACACCCGACAGGGCCAACAATCCTACTCTCTTTAATTAACTTCGCTCCCGGCTTACGGCTCCAGTGAGTCGAGGTGAGTATCTCATGAGCCGGCCGGAATCCAGATACGACAGGGCGGTATGTTTTGAACTCTGCCTGCAGTGACAGCGCTGGCGGTGGACCAGTGTCGTACTCGTACACCCAGGGATAGCTAAACAGCGTGGTGATGTGACCGTCGGAAGCAGTGGACTCGACGTCGTAGGCAGGGTGCGAGAGCACCCAGTCAGTACAGCAGGTTAGGCAAGAGCAAGACGCCAAGCCTTGACCCAGGGGGCCGAGGAAGATGCGGATCGTTTCGGTTTTCCACCCTGAATCATCTGTGGCATGGAGACCGCTGGAGAGAGCTCGGAACGTCTCGGTTTCAAAGATGAAGCCGAGGTTGTTACCCAAGGAAAGATCCAGTTGGGCGTCATATTCTGTTCGTGGCCGAGACAGCAAAGTAGTAATTCTGTGTTGCTTGTCTTCCCCGGAACTGGACAACAACAAGCGGGACTTTTTGAGATGCGCCTGGACCTCAAGTTGGCAGTGTAGCCACCTCGAACTTCTGACCGGAACTCCCCTCGTAATCTTTGGCGCGATATTCTCCCTTCCTGATCGATAGTACACCACCGTCCCGAGCGTCATGTGCTGAGATCGCGTGAGCATCTCCCCGCATTTGGTTCTTGCTACCACCCCTGGGGAGCTTGAGCATGACATTCCTGCGAGTGCTGCCAACAATCTTACATCGGCCATAGTCGTCTCAATGGTCGCACCGTAGATGTCCGAGGGGATCATGGTCGCCAGTCGCCACTCCCAGCGGATGTTGGCGTACCCCCACCAAGCAGCCTGGTAGTTGACAAGGAACTGGGACCATGCGGCGGCTTCGAGCCCGGGCGAGCTCCCGTGGTTGGAAACTGTTGTGTCTGACTTGTATCTGATGGCCCATTCCCATGCAAAGGTGAGTGGTTTGAGCATGTCTAGGCAAATGTCTCTGGACGTTTTTTGATTTCTTCTGTGTTTGACATCATCATCCTCCTGATCACGCAAGCCGCAACAGCCTGCGCCTGTACACGCACAACTGCATACCCAAGCCGGTGGGAAACAGAAGATGGTGGTGAGAGAGGAGAGAGCAAGGCCGATCGGAGTCCATGCCATGGCAAAGATGCTGCGGAGCACCGTAGGTAAAATACTGATTTCTTTATGGACTTTCGAGTCATTGGTTCCAGATACCACCCTGAGAACTCCATAGTCGACGTATCCATTTCGGCCTCTATCGTAGTTCTTTCCGGGTCTAAATCCTGTTTGTAGGGGGTATCGTTCCATGGTAACCACGGACTCACCGCGCAACCCCGGCAAGGTGAAGACCGGCATTCGGTATTGGGGGTTCCATGACAGTGACGATAGATGGAACCAGAAGCCCGCTGTGAGATCGAAGACGCCCGTTACGCGCCTGCTACATCGACTGCTGACCGAAACATATTGCGCCAGCGCAGCGAAGGTCTGGACGACAGCGAAGAGAAGGGCGGCAACGGCAGCTACCAGAGCTGCAATGCCTATTGTCGTCTCGTCAGCATTTTCCGAAGCCATAGCGGCATACCGTTGTTGAAGAATTTAAGCAGTTAGTGTACTCATGACTGAGGAATGTGGAGTGTCGAATCCATCGGACTTCGAGGGGTGCGGGTGAGGCTGAGTGACAGGAGAGCAGCTGAAACGTGAACCAATCAATCATAATGCCCAAGGCCCAGACCACGAGAGATCACAACTGCGCCGCTAACCATACCATTGGTCAACGAAATCCATCGAGAGTAGATGATCATCACGCTTTTGTTATTACATGCTCGCATACCGAGCCGAAAAGATACTTGTACACCGCTACCAAAGGTAGAAAATCAATGCAATGTCACGATTCTGGAAGACAGTGGGGCCACAGGGAACCAATCAGGACTGGACCGGGCGGTTGAGCGGGGCTCACGGTCCAGTATCGGCCAATCATAGGTGAACCGAGGACCGTCTGTAAGGCAACGGTCCACGGTCCCAAGGTCTATATATACGGAGGAACTGGCTACTGTAAATAGATAGTTTCGCAGTATGCAATTCAAGTCACAATCGTTTGTATCTAGACTGTTGTGATTGAGACAAGCCATTTGTTGTACACCGTTTAGCTGTACCGAACCAGGATTGTTCAGAAGTGCCTTCAACCAGTATCCCTTTCAGAGGTTCTGGATAGGGGTTCGTCACAAGTATGCAATTCAATAGTTGTATTTACGGTATCTTTTGATTACATTGAGACATTTTGTGGTGCACTCTTTAGCTGCACCGAACCAATTGTCAGAAGTTGCCTTCAACTGGTGTCCCTTTCAGAGGTTCTGTACAGGGGTTCGTCATAACCGTACTTAGCCTTGGTGTTCCGTACGAGGGTAAACCACTCGCCAATAACCTTTGGATCCTCGCATTTGGCTCTCTGGTAGTTATATTTACGCGTAAAACACGTCCGAAGTTCTGGCTGGCGTTTGACGAAGTTGTGAGCCCATCATACGCCAACAGGAAACGCGTCGCGTTCGCGTAGTAATCGATTGGCCATATCTTCCACATACGAAAGCCGGGGATGAAATGCGCGTGCGCATAGCTCAATTATATATTGAACAATCGTTCTTTCCTGTAGATCCGTAAGCTTGCGCGAATTGGCTGGAATATCGCGTCGTGCAGGTGTACTGGCGCGTCGGCGCGCAAAGGTTTTGAAAGCAACATTATAGACGTTAGCTGCAGCTTGTAAACTTAGATCTTTTTTTTTTCGCGAGCTTGAAGGGCCATAATAAGCCTGACTTCTTTTGATGGTGAGGTCATATTGTGTTGCAGAAGAAAGTGATGTTGAAGGTGGAGGTGTTGTGTTGTGGGGGGGGGGGAAGTGTGTCACTCGCTTATCTGTGTCACTCGCTTATCACGCACGTTATCTCTTATCTCTTTATCGTACATTGGCCTCCGTTACGATAAGCATAGCGCTAGCGCTTTGACCATCCCACTCAGCACATTTGGAACTTCGCTCAATTCCCCATCTCCACTTCGCGCAATGACAACAAGAACTATAACCACTCAAGTCGCCAGTCAGCACTGTGACACCACATGCAAAAGAGAAACCAGCAAACTCCCACACACGCTCACGCTCTCTCTCCGGTACCCAAGTAACGCGAAGTCATATCCGATTATCTTACCGCATTGTTTAGGTAATCAAGGGTTCTTAGGGTTTTAGCCATGAGCGCCGAAGAATTCCTCGCGGACGCCGAGAGCGGCGCGGTGGCTGTTGACTGCCACGATCAGGTGTTGCAAATAGCGTTTATGTACTTGGACGAGGGACTGTGGGACGGCAATGGTGTGTTCGATGTCGTGGAGAAGCTGCACGCACGCGGATGGTCTTTTGGCAAGGGGGAGTTAAGGTTCAATCGGTAAGTTTACAAGCAAGAAGAAGCAGAATAAACGAACTGACAAAAGTCACGAAGCACCTTGGATGTGTTCTACCTTGCACAGCTCGCCGCAGCCATTTACCGCTCCTCTGACCAACTCACTGGCGACTTCCCTTCTCCCTCCGACTTCCCCAGCTTCTACGCCGCGCACGCCGCCCTCCTGAACCCGGAAGCATGGCGCGCCTACTACTCCCCCGCGTTCCTCACGCACCCTACAACAGCACGTTTCTACCGCTTGCCCAACCTCCAAGACCTGCCCGATTCTTCCTCACCGCTCGCGCAACCGCGCCAGAATCTCCCTTCCGCTGCCGGCACACACGCCACAAAACTCCCCCGCTGGGCCCACAACGTCACACGTACAAGCCGCAGACAGCCTTCCCTCCCCCTAGAAACGATTACTCGCTTGGCCCTCCGCACACTCGAAGCAACAACTTCGCGCCTGCGTGCGACCTACCCCAGTGTGAAGCCCTATTCGGAAACGCAGGCGCGCTTTTGGCTCGAGCACATGAAGCTCGGTTCATCCGAATCATCTGGTGCGGGCACCGCCAAGGAGGCGTGGAGGCCGAACAATTTCGGCGTGCTGATCGCACAGGGCGGGGTTGATGTCTTAGCGTGGGAGGCACGGTACTCGGCGCGGCTGTGGGAGGCGAGTGCAGTTCTGGGGGAGGTTGCAAAGCCGGATTTGGATTTGGATGGGGCATGGGAGAGCGGTGTGGAGTGGTGTGGAGAGCCGGATGGAGGGGTGGGGATGCAGGCGTGGTGGAGGGGGTGGGATGGGGAGGTAGGGAGTGAGGAGGAGGTAGAGTTTTTGGCTGCTGTTGCTGTGGAGGAGACGGCTGGATTGGAGACGGAGGGGTTGGATTTTGCGACACGGTCACATGCGGTTTTGGGGGTGATGCGGGCAGCGGTTGTGGACGAGGTGGAGAGGGAGGTTTTACTGAAGGAAATGGAAAGGAGGATGGTGGAGACGGGAAGGATTGGCGAGGATAGAGCAGGAAAATGGCTGACAGAGGTTTTACTGGTCGTAGAGCCGTATGTGAAGGTATGGCAGGGTGTGTGGCCTGGTGTGGAGGCAAGGGGGCAAGTCCTACGGCGGATCTTGGTGGAGAATGGGCAGCTCTTTGCGAGATGGAAAGTGTCGCCGCTTTTGAAGGAGTTTGATTTTGAGCTGGGTCCCAGGGAGTAGCATACATGGGTTTATACGTAAGTTCAGATCGACTGCGAGCACGGGCGATGGAATGACTTGTTTAAGATTGCATTCAAATAGATGCATAATATGCTAACCATATAAATCCATCTCACCAGCACGACTCACACGCTTCTTAGGCACAGGTCCCAAATGCTGCCTGGCATCCCGTCCCACAATACGCATTCGTGGCCCCGCAAAACCCATACTCAGAGCAACAGTCGCCAAATGCCGAGCCCTCGCACGTCGTGCCGCTGGGTTGACCACAGAGCCCATCCGTTGACACTGGCGGGCCGCTCGAGGAACACATCCCGAAATCCGCCTGACACCCTGTCCCGCAATACGCAGCCGTGGCTCCGCAGTAGCCGCTCGCAGAGCAGCAGTCGCCGAACGCCGAACCAGCGCATGTCGCGCCTCCGGGGGTGCTGAGGGAGCTGCACGTGCCGTCCGTCGATACAGGTGGGCCGGTAATAGCATCACAGATGCCGAAGTCGCTTTGGCATCCCGAACCGCAGTGCCCGCTCGTATCACCACAGTATCCGTACTCGGAGCAGCAGTCGCCGAAGGCCGTGCCGAGGCAGATTGTTCCGCCATTAGCAGCACCACAGAGGCCATCAGTGGAGAGATTCGATGTGCTAGTTGGGACGGTGGAGCTGGTGGTTGACGTCGTGGTGTCAGACACGGTGCCAGACGTGGTGCCCGTCATCGTCACTTCATTTGAAGCCAACACGATCTCCGTGGTATACGTTGACTTCGAGATCTCGTCCATGGTAGTCATGAACGTCTCTGTTAAGCCTGGGCCCCACGGCTCGGGCGTGTATAGGCCAGCAGTCTCTGTGCGCATGCTGGTCTCTGTGCGCGTGCCGGTTTCCGTGCGGCTCGGGAGACTGGCCGTATCGCTGATGAGTTGGCGTCTGCGCATCGGCAGTGATGCTTTACTCATCTCCTCGGATCGTTTCTTCAGGATGAAGTCGTAGCCTTCGAAGGTACAGGACAACTTGGGGCCGCCAGCGGACACGATGGCACGCTCGACACAGCCAGACTTCATAAAGAAAGGAAGCTGGAAGTAGGCCCTTGCGCGCCGTGTAGAGGTGCGCTCATGCCATTGCCAGCCCGTGAGCGCGCCGCAGCCCTTTTCTTCGGATTTCAGCCTCGAGCCGCCATCTGTGCTCCAGCCATCAATGTTGTACACATTGAATATGTAAAAGAAATCGGAGACCCTGGCTGTTGTCAGCTTTTGCCGTCTGCTATCCCGCTTCTTGCGCCTGGAGGCGGTTAGGGGGATAAAGGATTTTACGGACTTACCAGTAACCACAATCAGCCGTTGCGGTTGGCGGCACCACCACCGTCGTTGTCTTCGTCGCTGTGTTTGTCACAGTCGATGTTTTGATAACCGTGATAGTCTCCGTCAAACCGAATTGTTTAGCGGTGAACGTCGATCCATCGTAGCCCGGCCCATTTGTCGGTGCGAATGCTAACGGGACCTGCTTCCCGCCAATAATTGTCTGGTCAGCTGCCCGTTCAGCAGAGTAGGCTGCCGCGATATCGGAATCCAGCGAGCACTCCGGGCTGCCAGGCGTCGTTTTAACCACAGTATCCTGTCCGTTGCAACCTGTGCTCGTCACGCATGTGGTCTGCCTCAAGTTAGCTGTCTGCCCCCTGTAACCTGGATTCAGCGTTTCATTGACTTACCTCGGTCGTCGTCGTGGACGAAGCCATGTACCAAGCGCTGTAGCTCGTCACTAGATGCGTGCACGCCGAAGCAGTGACGGTGGCTTCACAGTCATTGCTGCTGTCGCCGCCATTGGTACCTTGTGTATTTCCGCAGCCACCTGGAATGAGGCACCCAGGGCCACCGCATAGTCCAAGGGGGCAGCTGGGTGTGCATCCGAGGGGGCTACATCCGCCACCGCAGCCGAAGGGGCCACAACCACCACCGCAGCCGAAGATGCCGCACCCACCGCCGCAACCGAACAGGCCGCAACCGTCGTTGCCGCAACCAAATATGCCACAGTCTCGCTTTCCGCAGCCGGAAGTGCAGCCGGGAGGAGTAGGGGTGGGATTGGGCTTGATCGTGACAGGTCTCACTGGGATTGGGGGATCAGGGTAGTCGATCGAATATGTTGGCTGGGGTTGGATGGTGACGGGGACAGGAGTCGGGTGGAAGGTGACGGGGGGGATGATGACTAGTGGTATATCGGTGTCTGTGGACGTCGTTGGTGTTGGAGAAGCTACGGGGAAAGTCGCGTGGTTCGGAGGAAGAGTCCATACAAAAGATGTCGGGGTGATGCTTTGGACAGGGTTGATTTTGTAGGTTGCCGTGTCGGTAGACTGCAGTGTCACGGGGTGAAGACTGACGTCTGAGATGATAAAGCTCGGAACGGGGATTGTCGTCGTCTTGATGAAGACGCCGCCGCCGCCTTCTGCCGACGACAGGAGCGTTGTTGTCAAAGCCGGCCAGCTGGTCACAGTGTGAGGAGCACTCAGTGGATATGGCGGGAAGACAATTACGCAGGGAGGACTACAGCCCGTCCACCGATCGCTGGAGTCCCAGATGCTCGGGGGGGGATACACGATATCGGCAGAGGGGTCAGAGTCACCAATGGAATCGCCACCGAAGCCATCCAGATCAATCGCCCAGTCAACAACTCCACCCATGTTGAGGAGTTTGTAGAGGGCTGTCCGATCTGCCTTCACAGTGTTGTCCATGTAGCCGACCCACTGTGTCGACTCATATACGGCGACATTGGAGTGGCTGTCGGTGTCGAAATAAGACGAGTAGGATGTAATCGGCTGCAATGCTCCGGATGGTGTTTTCCAAAATCCGGTCCCATCCAGGATGGCGTTGATCTCTGCATTCGCGATATAACCTGCGGTTCCTGTGCACGGCCCCGGATAGGCTCCGGACTCTCCGCCAGTGTAGGTGCACATGGGCCCGGTACACCCGGGGGTTGTCATCTGGAACGAGCGGCCGTAGCTCGTGACACCAACAGCAAGCTTGCTTGATGGTACGCCGGCTTTGGTGATCATAGCCAGGGCGAGAAGGGTCTCGGTGATGTTGGTCTGCGAACGCAGACAGTTGCCGGCTGGGCAGCCGTCGATTGCGTGCTGGTTCGCGTAGTCCCACTGGCCATGGAGATCATAAGTCATGTAGACGATGTAATCAGCCAGGGATGCCATCTCGTCGATGTGGTACCCTTTCAGGTACCAGAATGAAGCGGGCGCACAGAAAGAGACCGACTTGCTAGAAGGCATGGCTGCCCTCAGCTTTGTAAAGAAAGTGAGGTAATTGTCCGCATCCTCGGCGGTTCCTATTCTCAAGTCAGTTTGATCCAAGAACTTCTGAAGAGGCACATCACGCACCTGGTGGAATGCCAGGTATGTCTGGTGCAGCAGGGTCTACGTCTCAGGTTAGCACTATTCCTTTGCTGGTTAAAGAGACCCCTAGCCAACTTACATTCCCAGTCAATATCAATGCCATCCAGCTCATGCTCTGTCACAAACGAGACGATGTTTGCGACAAACGTGTCCTGATTGGCCGGCTTGACCGCGTCGCGGAAAATGTGATACGTGGGCGGTTCGGCGGAGAAGCTCCAACCGCCGAGAGACAGGATCTTTTTGAAGCCAGACAACTGCGTGAACAGCTCCCACTGCTCTTGGATTGGGCTAACATCGACGGCGTAGGTCGAGGAGACGTGGCCAAATGCTAGATGGATGTGCGTGTAGGGCGTCAAGTCCATGGCAGTGATCTTCATGTTTAGGCAGGGACGGTTTAGGTTGTAGCCTTCAAAGTAGCCAATGTTCATGTACTGGGCTGGGGCAGAACCGATGACGATGTCAGTTCCACAGTTCGAAATGCAACCATTCTCGCCCGGAGCTGAAGTTCCGGGTGCGCCTGTTTCCGACTCGGATTCGGTGCAAAAGTCATTGTTGATGCCGCATTGGCCGTGTTTGTTCTAGACACGGGTTAACTGTGGCAGAACACCAACAGGGGCACTTCGAGGATGCGGGCAAAGGGACATACACAGCACGCGTTAAGCGGACAAGGATTCAAGCTCGCAAGACTGGTACCCGGCCCTGGCTGTACCGTTCCCGGCTTTTGTGGTCCGCAGACAGCATTCGCAATCGGCGCGGGCATGGGCGGCGCGCCCGTGCTCAGGCAGATGAACTGGTACGCCTGTACATTTCCGCAGCCCTGCCAACCCCAAGTATTAGTGTTGAAGCTCTCGATCTCAGCATTCGTGAGGCTGTTCGCTGCGCCAAGAACCGAGCAGCTCTCGCCTGGCACGACGTAGTGCGCGGCGCAGGTTCCGTCAGGGTTCGGCTGCGGGCGGAAATCGGGCATCGTGCCGGCGGAGCAGCAGACGTGCTGGCCTGCTACCAGAGTCGAGCAGAGTGTGCTACTGGGGTTATAGACGGTGAAGTCGTAAGGGGAGATGCCGCACTCGGCTGCCAAAGATTCGCCTAAACGGAGGTTGAGTCTCTTCCCGTTCACTGTCGCCCGACTGTCCATCGGAGGATTTTGTTATCGGGAGTACTCACAAGTATCACCAGAGGAAACCTGGATCGTCGAACACTCAGCTCGTCGATTCAACATAGCCGAACTGCCATCTCTTGACCGGGTGGCACGGGCAGTGCTGTTTCCGAAGCCGGCAGTGCTGTTTCCGAGTCCAGCGGTGCTGCTGCTGACAAGACTCGGTACGGACAGTGTGATGTCAAGCCAATCTTCTGCGTCGTCAAAGGAAGTGATGCATTTGCCCGACGCCCATGTGGCGACAGCATCTTGGACAAGGCTTACATCGCGATCTCCGCTCGCGACAATGCCGAAGCTGTATTTCGAGCTCCGGCCGCCCTTGGAACACAGCTGCACAACAAAGCTTCCCGAGAAACCGGTGCTCTTTATCTTCGAGGTGAGCTGCTGGAGCACAGTTGCAGGGATGCCACGGACTCCTGATCCGGCGAAAAGACCGACAGCCACGGAGTTGGAATAGGCGAAGGAGGTTGTGTCGTTGCAGTTCGAGTCTTCTCGTTGGGACAGCATGGCGATGAGTTGTTGTGCGGCGGCGTCGAAGTCCTCTAGCGTGGCTGGGGTGTCGGTCTCGTTGAAAGCCAATTGCAGTGACTCTTGGACCTGGGTCAAGCTGCCGCCGGGCAGGCAAGATGCCTCATGAGTGGTGTTTCCGATGTTGCTTGCGCCCAACGTGATTGCAGAACTGGCAGTGCAAGCTCGAATAGTCTCATCCTTGCGCAGAGACGTGAATAGGGAGAAGTCGAGCAGCATCGTCTGGTTGCACATCAACAACCGACCCAGTCGGGGGTACAGGGTCCAGTTTCCCGGACGCAAGCCGGACTCATCGCATCCTGCTGGGCAGTGACTGAGCGCCAAGTTCACCAGCTCTGGAGCAAGTGTGTTGGGGTTGGCGGATGCCGGGGCGGCAGCGGCGGCAGGCTTTGTTGCGACTGGGTGTGCCGCCAGGTATGAGTTCAACCTGTCAGAGCCGCCGTTTACTTGTAACGCCGTTGCCTGAGACAGCAGGAGGAAGGCCAACGCTCCGGCCGAGACTGGTGACGGTGAGAACCACATCGTCGTCAGCCACAGGTAAGGAACGTGGGAACAATAATTTGACACAAGCAGCAAGGGAATGTGAGGATAAAGAAGCTGTAAGATCAAAAGAGGGAGAAATTGAAGAGGGTAGAGAGAATAGTTATGGGCTTCCGGTGGCAGACAATCCACTTTTCGTGGCCAGGGACGTCCTGCAGTTAGTGACCCCGCAACCAATAGGGTACCTAGGTACCTGGGTAGGTATGGCAATCACCAAGCCAGCCTTATTGGAACGACACATTTCTGGGTGGGCGGTTGATGGACGGCTAATTGGATTCCCATGCAATCAAAACAGGGCCAAAAAGGTCTTTGCAGGTGATGGTAATGACTTGCCTGCCCACGGTGCTTCAATCTGCTCTTTGCTCAAACACATAGCAGAGAAGCAGAGTGAGCGACAATGAGGAAAACTGAGGATGATAGAGTCCGGCGATGTGGTCGGAGGCTCGGACATTCGAAGTTCTCAACCCTGTGAGCGTAGTCAGTCTTGGCCGTCGAGGTTTTCCGCAGTTGCAATTTCCACATCCCCATAATGACGGGCAAACTATGGAGTATAATCTCTGTACAAAAATTCCAATCCGTCGTTTTGGCCCCTTGTTCAGACATTAATAGATCGGAATCCACCTGACACCTCCATCATACCTAGACACGGATGAGCATGTGGCATGACATCAATAATGCATGTGATTGATATATGTTATGGTGCGGCGTACCATACGATACTTATTTGCAATATTAGTGACACTAGGAGAACTGGTAAACTGCCTTACCATGAGCTTCGCGGTGATATCTCTGTTTGTGGAAACACCAGGTTGGTGTCTCCACTCAATTGTCACACCAGTGACAATATAATGTGATGACGAGGAGTCCACCTACCCGCTGGCCCGTTATTAGTGCTGACCCCTTTATTTTGTTGGGGTGGGGCTTTGCAGAATTTGAAAATTATGAAGAAGAACCAAGAAAACAGAAAGGAAATTAGATCGGAGTTCGGAAAACCGATTCTTTGGAGTTTTGATCCAGGGGGGTCATGGTGTTTCTCTTCATGGCACATACAAGAAGGATCCCGACTGGTTATATAGCAAAAGATGTCAGAAGGTAAGCTCACGAGGTGGTGTTCATGATACAGAGTGGCAATCATTGCTGCGTGCCTTTTTGCTGTACCGAACCATTCTTCTGAAGCGGTGTTTAAGACCCCAGTAGGTAGGTATTCATCTGGGAGTATGCGATTAGGGCCCTTGATTCAGCGGTTCGTGATATAGGTAATCCGGCAGCACTAATGTATGTGGGATGTAATTTAGTCTTAGGACTTGGCACTGTAAGTAATCCCCGTCTTGGCTACCACGCTCCTTCGAATCCGCCTCCCTTGTTCTCGCCAATTCCCTTATTACTTGGCCGCTCATCAAATAGGTATCTCAAATGTTCTTCTACCTTCCCCTCCCTCCGCCTCTCTCCCACTTCAACCCTTCTCCGCCGTGGTGGTAGTCACCACTTTAACCCTTCCTATCTCACCCACAGTCGTTCATTGCGCCTCGAACGCGAACCAGACAATGAAGTTCTGGGCCTTCGTGGCGCTTGCCGCCTCCGTTGCCGCCATCCCCTTCGAGGGCGGTACGATACACAAACGCGCCGGTGGGAGAATTCACATCGGATATCGCATCGTCTCAAAGGTCCGTCTGTCTACACACTAACCCACACATACCAACCCAACCAACTAACACGGCCCCCGCCCGCCCAGGAAGAAGCCGACGCCATCAACGCAAATGGTGGCAAAGCCGTGCAATCTCGCGGCACCATGGGCCGTCAGCTTGGGACAGGGACCTATATCTCGCCCGCTTTCCACGACTTCCCTGACTACGACCCATCCAAAGGTTATCCCTGGGACTGCGCCGTGACTGTTGACGCCACCGCGTGGGCAGGCCTCAGGAAGGCCTGGATCCCCAAGATGTTTGAGTTCCCTGAGGACAAGGAGAAGAACCCGGATAAGTGCAAGCCACTGGCACTGTGGACACCGCGATGGGGTGCGTGCTGCCAACCGTCTCTCCCCATATTCCATCACTCCTCGCCCATTCTCTCTGCTCATCTCAATCCAAGATGAGCCAACGCATACTAACGCCCGCCATCTTAGTTGCAAACCGCAAGCGCTTCCTCAAGTATCTTGATCCCACCTCAACACCCGAGAATACGGTGCTCTTCTCGGTGGTGCTTGGGCACGAGGAAAAGCGGCAGGCCCTGATCCCACCGGCGATCATTGACAGCGTTGACGTGTATCTCGCCCAGTGTGCCGAGCGGGCGCCGGACTCGGTGTCGAACGCTCAGATTGGTCAGTTGGGGACGGTGGATTGGGGAGTGGAGGATATGAAGGGCTGGGGTTTGGGAGTGGAGGGGTAGTAGCAAGTCGAGCTGAGAAGGAGCAGTTTCGGGGTGCTGGACGGGATTTCTTCTACTCGGTGATCTTGCATGAGGTATATTGTTGATTGACGTGTTGCAGCATTGAGTGATCTGGAGTCCCCATCCCGGCTGAAAACCTAGGTACTAATCACCTTCTATGCTGTCAATGGGAGCAACTTCATCCCAGCCCTGAATGTGCAATGGCCGGATGCAGGCGCATCTAACCTACCTACCTGGTTCTAAAGTTAGAAATCTACCTAGCCCCAATCTGCCGCGTCATCTTCTACATCTCTCCGGGGTATTTCTGTCTTTGGTCTTTGGGATGCTGCTCAAAAGCCCCAGGTTTACAATTCGATGGTGACTTTGACACCGAGATAAAATTGCATTCAAGTTCACCGCCCCAAAATTCTGAAGCTGCAAGGGTACTTCCGAGGAGATGTCAACGTGTGAAAAGGTAGGCGTTTCTCATCTACTTCTACCTATTACTGTATGGGAGGTTCCCAGCATCACCTTTCGAGAGTACCTAGGTGCCTATTGACAACCAGGACGTCTATGTATCTTTCTGTCGTTGATTTGAAACGCGAAAGAGACTATGGTAGAGTTACCTACAAGATGAAGTAGGCGATGGTGAGAACAGGACAGTCCGGTCACTGTGGAGATTGTGGAAGTTCATGATGGATTTGGAATCTTCGTAGTTATTGAAAGCGAAGGCATAGCAGGGAGTAAATGATACCAAGTTTTATACAAGTTTACCTTTGAAATGCTAGCCTTCCCTGTGCAATATGACAGCAAGTGCCATGTAATTCACAAACAAGACACAGCCGACCGCACAACCCGAGATTGTTCAGACCTTGACCATGATCGAGGGTCGGAACGAGATGAAGGCAACAAGAGGCAGCAATTTAATATAATCCGTTATTAAAGAAATAACATGACTCCTTTGACCTCCGTAATCAGTGATCGAATATCAATGGTAGGGCAAGTGGGGGGGTACATGTTGGTCATCGTTGTATACCTAGATAAGAGCGTATGAGTGATCCACGATGTGCTTTTGTCCCTCCCTGTGGTAATCTATACGAAGATGTGGTGTCTGCTTGTTACCGATTTACCGCTGATAATTCGACAGTCAACTCCTCGGTCTAAGTCGAGACCGTTGAGACCCGCGTCTCACAATACTGCAGCACTCGGTGACTGAGGTATGTACCTGCGCTAGTACCACTCACTTACGGCACAACATCCTCGATGAAAATCGTTGTTACATCTCTTGTGTCAGACGTGACGGTGAACTTGCGTCAGGTGTGCTTTAAAATAGTCGGGCACCGTACTCACTGTCCAACTTCATCCATTTTCTTTGAAGTCTAGGCTTTTAACCCTACTACTTTTACCTGATCCTTTTAATCCTTCTCATCAACCAAGTAGAATACCCTACGATGGCTCTCCTCGAAGACCAGGCCTCTATGACAACACCGACAATTACCTGGCCGGTAGACAGTGCAAGCTCAGATCCTTACAGCTACGAGACGGTTGGGCCCCTTACCATCGTCTTCACGCCCCCATCTCACTGCAACGAGGCTTTTCTGCCATGAGGCTTTGGCACTTCCAGTTACAACCCGGTCATCTACTCGTCGGACTGTATAGGCTAACACTCGCCATGTCTTCCTGGTGGAGTTGTGTAGAAGTGGGCGGTATATTGTCCGGGAATCTACTGCCCAGTGGGTTGGTATACAGCAGCCGTCGCAGCCGACGTGTCGAGCCACATTTCACTGAATGAAAGCACTGCAATATGCTGTCCATCGTGAGTCATCACATTTTTATTTTTCCATGTTTGTTATAAGGTCGGATTCAATAACTCCATTCATGGGCACAATACCTACCTAGCTACTTACATACTTTATCCTTCTCCTCGACTCAGGCCGTACAGCTTTGTCTCCGTTGCCGTCAGCGGCCCCTTAAGCGTTTCTACACAAATTCATAACTTTCTACACTGCTCCTCTAGCGCCTCGCCGGGACCTCAAAGCTTTATAAGTTGTGGCACGAATATGGAGTCCGATATCTTAACAGTGATACAAGCTCCTCCAATAACTACCATCGAATCCGTGTTGTTTATGGTTGCCCATCGAAGAGTCGAGTTACCTCCAGGAGGGCCAGCGGGGCGAAAAGATGCGCCGACGTACAGTATAATTACAGCTGCGCCTGTCATTCAGTTTGTTTGGCGCCCTGAAGATATAGATGGCATTATGTTGTGTGCGTCACCACCAGGCCGCTCCGCCAGGGAGCTCGGGCCAAACTGGGCTGGTTTAGCTTCTTCCGCAGTTCTGCTCCGTAGTTGATTTCTTTCCTAAATCAATCAACGTTTTCGCCTCATTACATTACGAAACAGGCAACGCTTCCAGTGGGATGAGTAGTGGGGATCGTTGTTAGAGTGCCAGGTATCCTAGCAGTCGGTGCGGGTTTCTGGATATACACCAAAAAGCGCAAAAGGCTCCGGCAAATCCAAGACCAAGTATCGGCCGACGCGACCGCGAGCGAAAGTCCAGCAAATGCAGAAAACCAACCAGGAGACTCAAAGACAGGTGGCCACGAAGACAAGCCCGGGCTTGACGCAGCCACCCCCGTTAGGGGTCAAGGCCCCATGATCAAACCAGAGCTACGGCTGAGAATCGAGCTGAGTTTACGTCTGGCGATCACTCCGCAATAAGACATGAGCTAGACGCCAGTGTGCCGGACCCGAAACTCGAAGCAGGTTCAAAGGAACAACCAACAGATACGACTTCGGATGTGAGAGGCTGCCGATCCAACTGACCACTTGACGCGGCGTATAGAACCCCCCGTTCCACCATCGACTCCCTGAACCCTTCATACCCCCTCACCCCCCTATCAACCAGCGTTTGCACTATATACTTGAAGAAAACTCTTTACTCTTTGGGTTTTGATTGTTAGCTATAAGCAGCACAAATCCCACCCATGTATGTTTCAATCCCGATTTTTTTGAAGTTGAGGATCAACTCCAGATCGGTGAAATGCCGGACCTGACGGCAGCCATGAGGGCTAGAACGGAAAAGGTACTTACAGTATGAAAGCAAGGCTGCATCGGGCTGGTTCATCCTGACTGAAACATTGCCAAACGGGTCCAACTGACCACTCAGTGACCTTGCCTGAGACACCATAACACCTCCAAATCTACAGATACAGAACTTTTACAATATCCACAACCTGAGCACAAATTATGACGATTCGTGACAGCTACCATCGTGTTTACTTGTCCATCAGGCTTGGTGTGTGTTGGTTGTTCTTTCTTTTCTGCGGCTTATGACATTGCGCCATAGGCTGGCGTTGATGCGGTGGTGTGGGTAGGAGCGGGGAACTGTCTTCAGTCCAAGCTTCGCGTCATCTATTTTCCATCACCAACTGTTGCCTCTTGTAAACAAACAACCTCGGAAAGTACCTTACACAAAATAACAAAAGCCAGTTCAGAGTACTCTCAGTTTGGCGTAAGGCTGTTGTGGGGTTCGAAACAATCTCTCGATGCATGCCATGGACTGCATTCCTTTTGGTACTTCTTGAAACTCGAAGCTGAGTATGAGAAGTGTAACAGCAATGCGGAATTGCATTACGGCTAGTCTCCTCCCGAAGCACATTCGAACACCTGCGCCAAAGGCCAGCTGTGGAAGAGCATTTGGATTGAACTTTTCCTTCCCCGTCTCATCCCTGACCAACCATCTCCTGGGCTCATAGGTTCCAAGATCCCTTCCGGCAGGTGTCTTGAAGCCGTCGTCCTTCTTCTGACGAGCAGCTTTGCCGGTCTCGGTGCGCTGGGACTCATCCGCTAGAACCGATGAGTGATTCACATGGATATTCATGTAGATGATCGAGCCCTTTGGAACGGGATATCCCAGGATGGTGGTGTCCTGCAGAGGGGAGCGAAGAACGCCGTTGGAAGTTCCCGACAGACGGAGGGCCTCCTCACAGGCGGCATCAAGGTAAGGAATGTCAGCCTCGAGAATCTGACTCAGCGTAGGTATACCTGGGCCGAAAGCAGATGATAGAGCAGCGCGCAGTTCAGTCTGGGCTTGTGGAAAGGCCTCCATGAACTTGATGAACCATGCCAGAGTGTTGGCGGTGGAGTCGTGGCCCTGGCATAGTTAGTAAAGCGTTGGCAGAGTGGGAGAACATCGGGCTACCTACACCAATGAGCAAAACAAACAGCTCGTCGAGCATAGCAACGTCCTTTGCCGGATCTGAAGGTTCCACGCCCGCCTTCTTGGCTTGTAGAGCTTGTTTGCGGAGAACGAGATCCATGGCACATGTATCAATGGAATCCTTCCCAAGACTGTCCAGGTCCAGGCCTTCATATCTCGTCAAAGCCTTCTTCATCGCACGGCTCATTTCCCGTGTCACAACCTTCCTGAACCTGCGGAAACGTGGCTTCAAGACCTCCAGCTTGACCGCCCAGGCTGGAAACGGTGTTGCGCTGGCGTCCATGATGGTATCAACTATGTATTCCACTTGTTCCTTCATGAAAGATCCTGGCGGCGCGGGATCGTCGAATTGTTGACCCTTCAGTTCGTGTTCCAGCTTCCTCTTCTCATACCTCAGAGTCCCAGGCTCCTCACCGATAATGGACACCCATACGGCGTCCAGGGCCGCGTTTTTCAAGTCTTCTAAAACGTTGAATGGTTGGCCCTTGTGGGCGGTGGTTGCTTTCAGGCGCCAAAGTTCGACCAGCTCGACTGTTGAGCTGTAGGACTTCGGAGCCGCTGTTCGCTTCAAAAAGTCCAGGCCTGTGACATCTCCCCAGAGCCTTTTCTGCGCCTTAAGCTCCGGAGTGGTGAGTTGCGATAGTGTAGCTTTGGAGAAGAGCGGGCCAACCACAGAAAGGGACCAGGCCGACTTGTCAAATTGGTTACTGCGCAGAATACGTTCGATCTCGTAAGGATCGGACAGGATGATCATCGGATTTCCTGGTAGGAGGAGCTGGGCGATCGGACTGCCGAGCTTTTGCGTGGTGATGCGGTAGATGGACTCGGAGTTTGCTTTGGTGGCCTTGATGGCGGGAATCAGATCTGGCAAATCGCCCATGATTCGCTTTGCTGAATGGGCATTGTACGGGATTTGAGGATACGGCTTTGGATAGAGCTTTTTTCTCCCAAAAATCACTATCAAGGCAAGGAGCGATGCAAACAGGGCAATGCATGCCCCGTTGCTAGCCTCGAACATGTTGACTTCGTTATAGTGATCGGCGTCAGGTCAAGGGTTTTACCAGGGAGGAAAACATGAGAACAAGGAGCGATCATGCAAGCGGTCGCGAGTCCTTGATATAGTACGAATAGTAGTAAGCAACCGCACCCGCCATCGTTGGCGGTCCATCGTGCAGATGCTGACTTCAGCACTGCGGCGGATGGTTGCAGTTCCACACAGGACTGCTACCGGGGGATGTCTAAGCTTGCCAATCATGACAAGTCGTTGGTCCATATTCATCAGTTGCTATCAAGTGTAAGCGCTAATCAACATGTGAGCAGGGACGTCCAACGATGTTGGCGATTTGGGTTGGTTCAAACGTGCATGGCCGCTGGTGTCGTCAGAATGATGAAAATTGCTTCTCAGGTGAACAGCCCAAAAAGTAGTCAAGTGGTCTTCACAAATAAGGGAGACTCGGTTTTCTACACTCCCGTCATTAGCAGGCCTTTTGAAGATAGTTGAGGGGGGGTTTTCAGATGGGCTGGTCCCCGACTGCGGTCTCCACTCTCCACTTTTTTTTTACTAAGCCCACCAACAACTCGCCATCCACAAGAATAATTGGCACAACAGGTAAGTTCACCACATACCTTTTATACTGTGAACTATACCTCAAAAGTAAAATGATAGGCCTTTAAACTATCTTTCAAAGCCTGTTAACTATCTTTACAAACCTATCAACTATCTTCAAAGGCCTAACAATCATCCTTTGAGGTGTGGTGTCGGTTTAACCTACCTTTGAGTGCCAATTATTTTGTAATCAAGGATGGTGTCGTAACGCATGCTTACCTGATCTAGGTATGCGTCATTGTCGGGTTCACCTGTTCCCTATTGATAAGCGCAGCACACCGTCCGTTAGTGCAATGCATTCTCCCCGACTGGCTGTTGATACCACCGTAACTGTGGTCGATGGTGATTTCCATTTTCTGCACAAGAATCGGTCCAAGTTCCAGATTCGGTTACTTTTTACGGCAGGATGCCCTGTCTCAAACGTTCTGAAGCTAGCGCCGACGCCGCCGAGGTCCAACACGGTGGGGCTGTGGGGATAAGAATGCGTTGTCTCCGGATTTGTCCCAGGTCTTCGGATTCCGACCCCCCCATTCGAGATTTCCACCTACTTCAAGCTTGTTGCTTGCGGTTCATTTTGACATTTCTTCCGTTCCAAAATTTCGGATCACCATCGACAACATGAAGGGCCTTTTATCACGCGCCCTGACGCTGGCAACTGCGCTCTTCCAGCGACAGGCTCTTGTCTGGGATGGCACATGCTCAACGGGCATACACATGATCGTTGCCCGTGGATCTACTGAACCTGACGGGTATGGCCGGATTGGAGTTGTGGCCCAGAATGCTTCCTTGCTGATACCCAACTCTTCAATTGCCACCATCGTCTATCCAGCAACATTCGAAAATTACTTTACCTCCTATGCAACGGGAGCCTCCGAGTTTGAGAAGCTTGTTCTTCAATATGTGGACGCCTGTCCTGATAGCAAGGTCGCTCTGCTGGGCTATTCGCAGGGAGCTCACGCCATGATGGACGCTGTCTGCGGAAACAGTGATGATGGGTTCTTTGTGTCCCCCGAATTCCAGAAGGCACTTGGCTCGCAAGGTAGGCAGAACCTCTGGCATTATCGTATCCACAAGCATGGGATGGCTAATCTATATTCCAAGTTATTGCAATCGTTGCATTCGGCTCCCCTGACTTCAATAAAACTCACCCCTGGAGCGCTGGCACAAGCACCGGTGCGGGCTTGTTCGCTCGTAAAAACATTACCGCTTGTGAGCCATACGCAGCTAGAATTCGCAGCTGGTGTGATGAAGGTGATATTTATTGCGACCTGGGATCAGACCGGTCGGTGCATGGATCATACTTTGCCAATTACACCCTCGATGCAGCCGAGTTCATTGCAGAGAGGTTCAACAGCTCTGACACCGTCGTTGACGTCCCTACAACTACTGCTCCTCCTACCACCACACCAACTCAGTCGGGAACCGAGACAACTGATGGGACGACAACTGAGACAACTACAGACACGACAACAACCAGTACCCCAGGCTCCGGCGCTGGATCGTTCAACCCCTCTTGGATAATGATACTGTCGATGGCGGGCACCTTGATGATTTGGACCGAGCTTCTATGAGTCTGCCGTAGAAAGCATCTCACAGCCCTCCGAATCGTGCTTGGTCATACTGTTTGTTATAAAGGCGGTCAAATCTATGCTTGGACATCACCTTCACTTGTACATAGCCACCTCTGGGTTTAGCTTGCGGGAATGCAAACGACCTGAGCTTTCCAAATGATTGCATGAATGACGCTATCTCTGCAATGGCCCATATTGGCCCCGAAAGATATGACTGCGTCTACACAATATTTAACAAGTCATCAGATCTTTGACTGGTCTACATTGCGCCTTCTCTTCTTGCTAATTTTTCTTGGATCGTGACCCTGGCACCTTGCCCACAAAAATGATTGACACACGCAAATAGGTCAACCCATATTATATTGCGAACTGTACCTTGAAGGATGATCACCAAGCTTCCAAAGATAGTTGATAAGCCTTTCAAGATGATTAAAAGGCCTTTACTGATATTTAAAAGGCCTATTGATTCACTTTCGAGGTATGGTTTACAATGTTATATGGGTTAACTTACTTGTGTTGGACCATTAACCTGTGGTCAGGGTGCCTGGGTCATGGAGGTGTCACCAAGGGACTCAAGTCACAAATCGGTGATAGTAGATGGTGTTTTTTGTATGTTTAAATGGATTGGATGAGACTAGATGAGCGTAGGCCCTGAAGCTCTCCACTTAAAGGCACATGAAGTCAAAAGACAACAGCAGTTGCGCACAAGCTGACATGGTGGCGCCTTCAACTCCTCATGATGCCGTGTACAGGGAGGGAGAACCAGTGTCAACAACCCAAAAGGTGCGGTTCAATAGCAGAAGTTATCTTCAGCCGATTGGAGACCTTGGTGAATGACCAGTCGGCATGATGAATACAAAAACTGCTGAATGGGTCAATGCTCGTGCCAATGGGTTATTCAAGCAAGACAACAGCCTGGGACAATGGAAGCAGGCACGCTAACTGTGCGTTCCGTTCAGCGCAGTGCTCGAAGGCCGAACGTGGTGTTGAAAAGGTGGGCGGGCAGGTACGCTGGGAGCAACTCCCATTCTTCCTCACTCATATTCCGCCGTGAATAGGCAGTTCGCGCAACCGCCCCGCCTGGCCTGGCCTGGCTCGACTATTTCTCCTTCGACCTCCCGGCGACCATTTTGTTTTTTTTTTGGTTTCTTCCACCACATCTACACCCAGGCATATTTTATTTTGCCTTCTCCCATCTATCCACCCACCCACCTTTCACTATCATCGCTCTGCTTCGACCTGGTTAGGAGACTCACGATGCGACCGACAATCAGGATCAACAATACTCGCGTCAGAAGGTATCACGAGATTCGCGAGGGCAACTCTGGCGCCGGATATGGCCACCCTGGACTGCCAGTACAATTCAGTACGAACGTGGGTCTCTATGTCGCAAATGACCTCAGCGGCTTCTACCCTCCTCACCCGATCGAGTCCCAGGCTTTCCACCGCAGCTACTCGGCCCCGGATCACAACAGTCTCATTGGACATCCCCACGCTGGTTTCGTTGGTCATTCCGACGATGGTCTCGTTGGACATTCCGATGCCGGTATTGTTGGACATCCTCATGCCCATGGAGGTTACTACCCCCAGTTCAATCTCCAAAGTCGGTCTGCTACACCTCACGCGCCATCTCCGCTGGGGCTTTCTGGACAATACGGGCTACGCCCTAACGCGATTCCTTTTGACCCGTCGTCGCCATTTGTGGATCTGTCATCGGCGCCATCGCCTTCCAATTCAGCCTTTTCGGTAAGCCCCTTCAATGTGTGCAAAAACCTTCACAAGAGTCAGAACTAACCACCTTGCCACTCTTTAGACATTCACTGGCGGAGCCTTGTGCCTAGAGGATTGTGACGACGATTGCCCGTTTGCCGACCCTTATCTTCCCGGATGGCTAGAGCGTAAGGGCAATGAGAAAGACTCCTCTCTCGAGTTTTTGCGCGAAGGTGGAGAAGGTGCCTCAATCATGCAGACGGGATGGTTGGAGAGAATGGCCAGGAAGAGAGATGCATGCCAAGCAGCAGCAAGCATCAATTGGACGGACACCACTTCTTCCATGGGAAGTGGTCATACGCTCTGGGAAGACCTTCGTCTCGTGGGCCTGAGGGGTGGGGAGCTGTCAGGTTTTGGGGACCTGAGTGATTATGTGGAGAGTCCGAGTGGCGCACTCTCGAGGTCTACGACCCTCGCTCCCTCAGACCAGCAGTCCTCAGCATCACGGTTTTCCCCCCGCGGTATTTCCAACGATAGTGGCTCAATTTCCCGGTCTTCGACACCGAGTATTCGTCGCCAGCATCTGTCATCCTCCCAACATCATGCCATCCCTTCCGGCGCCCAATCTAATACTTGCCGTCAGAACCAGATCACAGAGTCTCCTCGTCCTTTCAACCGATTGGTCCAACCTCTCGATGGTAATTCATCTGAACAAGTTCGCGACGCATTCAAGCGTGCCCAAGACGCAAAAAGAACAGTGGAACCAACAGACAGTCCCTGCAGTTCAACGAATAACAGTCAGCAAAGCGCTTGGTCTGTCGAAGATATGGCTGAGGATGTTCCACCCGATGACAGCTGCTCTGTCTTCATTTTCGACCTTCCGAAGGATGTCACCCTCTCCAAATTACTTGGAAGCATTAGAGGCTATGGTCGTGTTCGCTACTCAAAGAACTGCAGTTCTGGGGCTCTGGTTGTCTTTTTTGAGCGGGAAGCTGCGCAGAGGCTTGCCCAAGAGGGCCACCTCATGGTTGGCGGGGTGCAGGGCAACATTCGATTAGCGAAATGTCGAATTGCACAGAGCACATTACCGAGCGAGTTTTCAAGGGTTCTCGTTATCACAGGCCTCACGGGTGGTTTGAGTGTTGCGTTCTTGAAGGAGTGCTTCGAGATGAAGAACATCCGGTATGAACTCGACAAGATAGCGAGGGTGTCGTCAGGCGATATGTCTACCCTTGAGTTTCATTTCGCCTCTCACTCGCAGGCTGCGAAGGTGAAGGAAATGATCGCGACCGACCCATACTTTCGCAAGAAGGGGACAAATGCGACTTATGGGATTGACCCATGCGCCGAGCCATCCGTGGTTGGCTCCCAGGAAGAGTAGCAGGAGTCCCGGGATGTCTTTGGCCCTACGACAAGCATTAGGTTTTAGGTGGGGTTAACGCATGTGTTGGAGCCCGGGAAGGGATTAGCTGGGTCGGGATCATTTGTCTCTGGGCTTCAGGAGTTTAGAGGTTTGGGGGAAAGGGTAACCCTATGGTCTGGATATGAGCGCTGGATTTGCTCCGGGTTGGCGTTGCTTTTCCAGCTTCTTTTCTGTACTAGCGTGGATACCCTGAATTTCTGCTTTATTATAGTGACTCTTTCTTTGCTTTGTGCACCATGTGTGCCTTGACCATTCTCAAGCTTTGTGAACACCGTGCTAAGACACTCTTTCTGCACCCTTATCGATAAAAGGATGAGCCATGGATTCAACGTCATCATAATTCATCTACTCCCCACCTCGACAGCGGGAGCTTGGGTGGGGTTCTCGGCGTTTTGGGCCCAAGCTCTTATTCACTTGTCTTGAAACTATTGTTTGGATCTGTCCGTCGTCACTGCTTTTATTACCAAGCGACTGTTCCGCAATCTCTGCGCTTTTCTTCGCAGCCCAGACCTTTCCTTCACCATTTTCTCGTTCACAATCGGCCCAAGGCATTCACTACTTTCAACTACAAGTCTCAATATGGGTCCCAATCGTCCACAAGCCAGAATACCTACTTGAAACCCTTCAATCTGACCGACCCACTATCTTCCTTCAAATATCGATCAAACCAAAGGGCTCAACCAGCGTCATCAATCGCATATCCATCAGATGAGGGTCTCTGATTTCTACGATCCAAACAGCTACCGTGTGCCTTTGACCGTTGGTTGCCAGATCTCCCAATTTCCACTCCCGCTATCGACCGACACGACCAAGATGAACCCCCATCTTTATCACCTCTCTGAAGTAAGCCACAGCATGGTCTCCAGTCCGTGGGTAGCGGTCTGGAGATACGAGGCTGATAACTGGGCCTTGAGGACTCCCTCGACAGACTTGTCATCATTCTATGCGCTTCATGTGAGCTTATGGCAACCATCTTCCCTACTAATCTCGGGGATCACTTGGCTGACCTTTTGTTTTCTACGCAGTACTCAACCGATCCTAGCTGCGATAGCACCAACCCCATTTGCCTTCCGAGTCAGTATTATGAGCGCAACAACACCTACTCTACAGGTACACACGGAGAACCAAGCAGTGCAGCCACTTTCCAACCCATCATTGTTCATGGTCATGATAACGAATCCCTCGTGAGACAGTACCACCAAGAACCGACCCTCCATCATCAACATCTCATGCCACCTGCCAGTCATCCCCACCTCTCGATGGGCATTCAACCCGCCCTGTCTCCTGTACCTCGCCCGCCAGGAATGTCGGTGAATTACGAAGGAAATCCCGCTTGCGAGGCGAACTGGTCAGCAGATATAGATGAATACCTGAACACCTCGGTCTAGGTGACCGGGCTGCCATCCGACATCGATACCAAGGGTCTCCTAGGATGCATCCGCAGAATGGGTCGTATCTGGGCCACGGTCATTAACTACCCAGACTCTACTCGATGTCACACTTCTGCCGCAGCGAAAATTACTTTCTTCGATGTTCAATCAGCCCAGCGAGTTTTGGCCTCATATGGCGATGAGAGTCAAGCTGGGGGCTGGCTGGTCAAGGGGAGAATGGCGCGCGTGAGGCCTAACCGGATCAGAGTGGCACAGAAAGAGACACCGAGAGAGAATACAAGGGTTATTGTTATCAGTGGGCCGGCGCACTTTTTGGAGTATGGAAACCTGGAGAGAGTTTTGGTGTCTCACGGGATTGAGTTTCAGATGGAAGAGGTGGTTGCCCACCGCCATAAAGTTGAGGGATGGGCCACTGTAGAGCTTCGCTTTTGGTTCTTACCGTGGACAGGCAGCTCAAGTTATGATGTTGGTGAAAAGGAAGTTGAGGGCTTTTGGGATAGGCGCGCGGTATGGGAGAGATCCGTGTGGTGAGTGACGGCGTGGGACTTGATGCGGATATTTGGCGAAGGGGGTGATCGGGGAGTTCTAGGGCAAAAGAGGGAAAGCTGGGAGGGGTGTGGATGGTATTTCAAGAAGTAAAATGTGTAATGAACCTGTGTAGTCTGATTATACACTCTATTTTCAATACTTTTGATCCTGTGCCCGGCATTGCAAGCCATGTCCGTATCACTTCTTGGATTTACTCACTTGCCTGCCGGCTTGACTGGCTCGGAAGAGAGGTCGCCCACAGCGATAAGCCCGCCGATCAATCGAGAGTCACCACCATAATCGGCCCCGTCCATTTGATAAATTGGAATAATCTTGAAGATATCTCTGAAGCGAAGGGATCACGCTGCACGGAGAAGAGCCACCTCGTGCATCACAGCCATTGTATCGTTAGCTAACCGGTCCACAGCAGTTAACAGATAGGTTGGAGAGCTACCTTGGTGGTTAGAGATTTGAGTTTTGATAAGCTCTGACTGGGAGCTTGCTTCTCGAGGGTTGTGTGGTGTTTGGGAGACTCACCTTTTTGACTACGGACTCCCGACAGTGCTAACCAATATGATAAGAGAAGGAAACAACCAATCAGAAGAGCAAGGAAACAGACCCATCAAGAGAAGATCATTAGGAGTATGGCGAGCATTATAATCAAAGGCTATAATCACAACGATCATAATGATCAGGGACTTGGCACGGTCTATGTATACGGAGGAACTAGATAGCTTGTACATAGTTCCGCAGTATGCAATCTCAGCTTGTATTCACGGTATCCTAAATGTTTACATTGAGACATCTTTTTGTGCACTGTTAACTGCACCGATCCATTATCTAGAAGTTCGCCTTCAACCGGTATCCCTTTCAGAGGTTCTGGACAGGGGATCGTCACAGAGACCCAAGCTAGTGCTGTGTGTGGCCTTGAGCTTGGGGGTTGAGCTTGTATTGCGCGGTAAGTGCACGGGCAATCTCGGTCAAAATCTGTCTGTCTGTCCTGCCAGAGTCATCAAAGCCAGGCGTGTCAAGCACCACAACTGGCTACGAGCCAATCTCGATCAACAACGGCCGACAGCAATACGTACCTGTTATTGCAAGGAATAAGTAATGGTGAAGACAAGTGGGTGTGCAAAGTTGTACGTACAGGAACGAAATGAGTTTCCTTCATCTGTGACTTTTTTTGCCGGCGAGTTTGTTGATGAAGTGGCTTTTCCCAGCCCCAGTAACACCCATCACGATAATCATGCGGACTGAAGTATTGCTGTCCAGATTCAAGCCGGCTGGCGCGAGTTGTTTCTCCATATCTCAAACTGTTTGAATGCTATGAATGTGATCTTGGTGGTACAAGGAAGGTCGCCCGTGTGGTTTTGGAGCCGCTGTTCCCCAGGTAGACTCGGGTGAGGCGACCCCAAGGACGCCAAGGTGACATGGGAATATGCATCCCAACCCACCCTCAGGGTAGAAAACACTAATTCAGAGATCTGAAATGAAACATTTCCGTAGCAGTCAATCATTGGCTATCCCAACAGATAGTAGGACCCCAATGCACGAGTTGAGAGGTCCAGACGTGCGCATCTGGGCCGGTCCGTAGCCACGTGCGTTGCATCCCTCGAATTCGGCTTCCATAGGTACACCCCTGTACCTCGCACTACCGATCCTCGAGCAGATCGCATTTTCAAGATTCTTTGTAGTCATGGGACGCTTAGATACTTCCCACGAAACATTTTGGGCCCGGTCGACCGGGGAAGATGGCGATAGCGAGGTGGATGTTGGACCTTCGGTCGACACACGGACGCTACCCCTACGAGAACTATTGATTCCAGACATACGTTGATGACACATCTTACGTCTCTCAGGCTTACGCACAAGCTTTGGCTCTGCACAGAGGAGATCCCGCCCTATTATTTCAACAGGCGAAGTAAATTTCCTGTCCGGTGCATATTTATGTGGCATTCTATGGCTAATAGCGAACTAGCCTGTAGGTGGTATGGTGAGTTGTCGCATGAGATCAAGAAAGGGCCTCTCTATCAATGGGGTAACAAGGAACATTCAACAGATGTCAAGTTCACCTTGGCGGTTGAGAAGGGCAGTGCCAATCTCTTCTTCTTTGTGATTTTCCCCGACGGGAAAGAATTAGCTCGCTGCAAGGTTGAATACCGGGATAGACTGTCATGATGGGTGTAGTCAGATCAGCCTATGGATCCAATGAGATGCACATTTCATGATATTTGCTCTGTTCACGATGGCTTTGGTATTTGACAGAGATGTGCTGACGCCACCTCCTCTCACCACCTTTCCGGCCTTGGTCCTCTATCATCCCTTCGGTTTGGGTTAAGACCGGGATTCACCGCAAAGTTGAAGTAAAATGATCCTCGTCCGGGTGGTGCTGACAGCGTCTGTATGTAATCAGTGCCTGTGGAGTCTGGTCTCATGATGGGTATCTCGCTGCTCTCTATGCTTTCTGTCTCCACCCCGGAGTTCCTCGCTGCTTTGTTGCACCGAGGACTGCGTGGGGACTGTTGTATCGAAGTAAGGTGGTGGCCGTAATCATCGCTTGTCTCTTGGCGAGTCCTGAAGTTCGGCCCAGGATAGGTCTGGTAGTTCCGGCTGCCAGTGAAGGAGTCGCCAGCGTGCTGGGTGCTCAAGAGACCGAATCGTCGTAAGCCTCGTTCGAAGAGTTGTTTGAGACAGGGAATGCAGCTTGCAATTATCCTGACAACGAAAGATTAGTCGGGCATAATGACGCGGCTCAGCGATACGGAAACTCACGCAAGCTGCATTTCTACCATGCTCCAAATCGTTATAGGTACACAATCCATGAGACTGTCACCTGTTTTTCCGTAGTCTTTGACATGGAAGGTTTTCGCAATGCAGGCACTACTCGCAAATATGCCCAAACCCATCATGAAGGCGACCGCAATCTTCTCCCTGAGTGGTCGCTGTAAGTGAACAATAAACGTGATGGGCTAGCAATCGTCAGTATTGGCAATGATTCCGCGTTTTTATGACAGAAACTCCATACGGCCAAACTTAAAGCAAAATCTGTCACAACGTTGAGTGCAGAGTTGACATAGATTGATGTTTGCGCCACAGTCATATCCATGCATTGGGCCTCAGAATTACTGTGGTCCCACACAGCCCAGAGCGGTCGGCACAGTGAGAGTTGGAAGACGTTTGTGTTGATGGCGATGAGCACCACAAACGCCATGATGAAGTACATTCCCCAAGCCCAAACGCGCTGATCCCGACGAATCCGAATAAGCATACACGCAATGCTCATCTTGGAGAAGGCGAGACTCCAGGGGAAGACTGGCTGGCTGAGGAACAGCCATTTTTCCGCAAGGACTTCCTGATCTGTCGGGACGTAGTAATTATGTCGACCAATGCCGTAATGAACCGCTATCATCAAGAAAATATACGACGCCAGGTCAAAGAGCTAAGTAGATGATTAGTACTTGGAGTTAGGTGGTCAAATGATGCGGATTCTCATACCACAGCAAGAGTGATCAGATAATCATCGACGAATAGGCGTGATATCGGTCGCATACGAGTCCAGACGCGAGCGGCATACAACGTCCATGATATGAGGTGCAGGAATGATATCGTGCCTACCACTAACGAAGCCTTGGACACATCAGGCCCTGGTGGAGCTGGTGTTGTTGTGGACTCCATCGACAACGGTGGGAAAAGCGACGCGTGGGGGAAAGTGCGGTGAGGGAGACCACCATGCTTTAAAACCAGCCTTTCCAAGAGATAGATCCAGGCATTGGAAGAGGCGGGCGTGCAGGAGGATATCCAATCATCAAACGGGGTGTGTTCCCAAGCTCGGTGGCTTCCCCCAACGTTTCAAGCACTGTATGCTGCTGGGATTTGAAGGTCCATGCCCATGCGATGTAGGATTAGTGAATCCTTCGACGGCGTGGCTTAAGGGACCTTCACGCGGTCTTGTTGTGCCGCTTCAGGGCTGGCCTGCTCTGTGTCATGGATGTTGATAGGTGGGGACAGGCGCCACAGAACCAGCATCGGTGAGTTGACCTGCTGGCCCCTGGGGTTGCGGTGTGACTTGAGAAACATACTGCACTGTATTCATGGCTTCCAAATTTCCATTTGGAAAGAAAAAAACATCTCGTATTCCTCAACAACACACGAGTTTGCTGTGCAGGTGGGGAGTGAGGTTGACACAAGAGTGAGCATTTCACCACCAAGAAGGATCACGTGGCCACGCGTGCAACTTTGCTGCTGCACAGACCACTTCTCCCAAAGAAGCCGAAAGAGACCACGCGTCGAAGCAAGAGACAGGTTCAAATTCGACAAAGTCGACAATGTCAGCAAGAACGAGAAGCTGACCCGCAGACCGCCGGGTACGGTCGACTTCCGTCGAGGGTTCTTCAAACACGAAATCTACAAACCTCTGCTGTTCCCGGCGAAAGAGGTACTGCTAGTGAAAGCTGAGGAGGATTGGGAGCCTGGGAAGTTTACCCGCGCTATTCGGAGCATCGAGTTTGATGATACGTCCGACTTTTGACTTGAAGGAGTAGGTAGCCCACTGGCCCCCAAACTGGCAGCATGCATCCACAGAGCCTAATGTCGTACCTCTACATAGTGAGCACCTCAACGCTATCATGAACGTCTCCTCCAAAATCTGCAGAAGACTTCGATTCGTCAGGTACAAAAACAACAACCTCATCAAAATCACCAATGCTGGCGTGGAACAACTCGTCACCCTGTGCCCCAAACTCGAGCACATACATTTTGAAAACGCACCGATGCTCTCAGATAAAGCACTCTCCGCCATATTTCGCGGCTGCCTGTTTATTCGCTCCGTCGTCATCGGTGGCCCCGATGCCACTCCCGAGAATGTTCAAATTAATGTGAAGAATGATACTCGATGGATGTTTCAAGGCGCCATCTCAGGTGCTTCGCTAGATGAGCTGCAGCAGGACAAGAGCTTGGCGGTGAATCTGGGGCTCCTTGATCTGCGCAACCAACCGTTCGACATTGACGAAAGGCATGCGTCATCTGGGGATTCTATCACTGCGGCACGCCGCCGTTTGTATGTTGTGCATGGATATGGGGGAGACCACTGTCTCTTTTACGGCGGGAACAGGTTGATACAAATATCGCTGAAATGCAGTCTGACTTTGAGGGGTATAGCGATTACGACGATGAATACGATAACGACGAGTTCGGTTTCGAGTCCGAACTGTAAACTTTGGGTGATAGCTGTGTGGGATTGGAGCATAACCTCGAGATGATGGCCATTTATACGCCGCTAGTATATATTTCTCTCGATGCCTCCTTCCTACTCCCTTTCCGCGACAAAATTTACTCCTCCTCTTCCACCGGTCTCGCAGCCAACCGACGTCGCCCCCAGCCCTTCCCCCAACCACCGCCGCCGCCTTTACCCTTGCCCCATGGGGGCCCTCCTCCACCTCCGCCACCTCCCCACGGAGGGGTGACCTGTGTGGTGGTTGGCGTCGGCCGGACAGTTACCGTCACTGTCACGATACTTGGAGACGGCGTTGTTGGTCTTGGTGGAAGCTGAGAAATTCTAGTCGTGATGAAAACATATGTTGTCTGTGGGCCGGCTGGGGTGGTGGATGAGCTCGAGGTCAGTGCCGCCTTGCTTGTTGATGAGGAAATGGTGCTAGGAGCGACTGTGACCGTTGTGGATGTGGTTGATGGCCGCGGAAGGACCACAACCGATGTTGACACGACCGCAGCGCTTGAGCTCGAAGTCAGGCTCGTGCTGAAACTCGCGCTCGAAGCTGCGCTGGAACTGGACACCGGTGGGTTCTCCAGGTCGTAAGCGACCGCATCAAAGACACCCTTTGGAATTCTGGCTTGGCTAAAGTCATGAGACCAGGCGCCTCGCCCATCGTGGATTCCAAAAGAGCTCGTGTTGCTGGTGGCTGTATTGACCACACGGGCATTCTTGGCCCAGGCTAGCGTGTTGACACCGTTGGGGTCCAAGGAGCCGCCTGCCCACTCACTACACCCTCGGCACAGCACATCCAACTGCCAGTGTGTTTCGTTGGTGTTGGTGGTTGGAAGGACTGTGTACGTCGCGCCTGCATACGCGCCAGGTACGTTTCTCCCCCTAGCCATGGGTATTAGCTGAAGGCCCGAGTGCCGGCTAGTATCTCGAAATCCACTTACGTGCTCCAACGAGATGAGACCACCGCAGTGTTGCCATTCGGCCATGCTACCGTCAAGGGATTCGTGGCCATTTTCCCGCCCCATGCGATGCCAGCCCAGCCAGCCTTTGAGACTGGAGCCACTATCTGCAACAAGACGTCGAACGGCGCGGCGGCAACGTCAGGGATAGCGATCCGGTAGATGACGTCGTGGGTTGGCACCTTGAACTCGGAAAAGCATATTTGCGTGTTTCCTGGGCAATACTTGGTTGTAGCTTGCCTCTTGTTGTTGGTGGCAGATGCAGTCCAGGCCTGGGCCACCCCAAGGGCAAAGATTGCGGTTTGCTTCAGACCCATTTTGGCACTATCCTGGAGAAGAGAACAAATGACAAATAACATCTGTCTCAGCCGAGGTCTTTATACCTTGTTGACCCTGGGCCCAACTCATTACACATACTGGTTCCCGGTCCTCAATTGTCTCTCTACCAGGATTTGCTCCCGCAATCCGGGAAATCTGAAATGAGCGATGGCACGCAATCTCAGATCGGCGACTTCCTGTAATAACCAACCGCACATTTTAGGTCGCTTGTGCAAGCTTCTGGGGAAGTCCGTCAATCTGGCTCACCAACATGACGGAAGGGTGTTGCTGACCTCAATTTACGGCTAAAGGCGGTTCGGGGGATAGAGCCCAGTAGACCGCTGAACTGTGGAAATACTCGGACCGACACGGAAATCCGATCGTTCTTATCCAAGAATCACGCCGTAGCTCACAAACTGGAAATCATGATGGTGGATTCTCTGGGATATGGCTGGAGCTTTCGGGATGTTCTGGTGCACTTCTTGGCTCGCCCGGGCCGCAGATCCGTTTTTTTTTTCGCTTTGTTCAGGTTGAGCGTTCAGACACCATACAATCGCTTTGTTCACTGTGTTGTCAGGCATGACAATGGCTTCACTCCTGGTGAACAAGAACAAAGAGACTGTGTATACTGACAGAGAACACCGAACACTCTGGAAGCCAACCAGCGTCTTAACATGCTATTAAAGAAGACGGAGAGGCCTGATATTATCGGTTACTCTGCAAGCAACCTGTCTAGAATAACTGTAAAGACCACACCTTCAAGATACTACCTAGTTATCCTTCGGTGACGATCTACATCACATCGTTCAAGTGCCTTTTCAGTCTTTAGACTCACTACCTACTCTACCATTATGTCCCAATCCAGCAGATCAAGCCAAGCTGGCAGCAGCGCTCCCAGCGAGCAGCCAATTCTTGGCCCCTTTTCTGGTGATTGGGAGCAGATCAAGCCTCGGCCTACGGAACCAAAGGGCAAGGAACCATTCCCGGGAGATCTTCCTGAAAATCTCCATGATATGAGTGCCCTTTATCTGGATTTGCTCACTGGCAGTAAAGATGACGAGCGGATCAGACGGTCCCATATCCCCCCTTTCCAAACTGTTGAGAGACAACCACAGATAGTTGACCGCACATCTCCTGAACCTTCCCAGGGACAGGCTGCCGGTTCCTCTCTTCATCACCCTCTTTCCTTTGTCTCACGCATTGCGAGGGGTGAACAACCTGGCATTGTCAATATCCCACATCCAACTCCAGCTGCCGCTCCCATCACTACTTGGCAGCCTCAGCGTGCTCCCCAACCTGATCATTCTCGTTGCACTCCGGCTTTGAGAAGGGTGCAGGCGGTTGACAATCTTGCACGTCAGTATAAAAAGGGGGAGGAGTCTCAGGAGTGGGTGGTATAAGTGTCGTATATCGTGTGCTAATCTTTTCTTCTGCGCAGGTTTGCTTCCTATTATAATCAATAATACAACATTTCAACATAACACCTATTTCTTTCTTCCAATGTTTTCGTCTGCTTGCCATGTTTTGTCTGCGCCGGAACCTTTATGACATTGTTTCAGGGGCCGGGCTCCACTTTCTAACATGACCCTAGTAAGAGGGGGTTGTTGCTTGGTGAACTAACCCTTTTTTGAGAATGGATGTGGTGTAAACATGGTTTACACGGCTGTGTTTGGGCGATGAACTGTCACACCATCACAATCTTCTTTTGTAATAGCCACATCACAATCTTTCTCTTATTAATCTGCTCTTGACAGTCATTCATTGCTCACCAATCGTCAAGTCCAGCTCAACTCTCCCTACTCTACTCTAAAAACACATGCTCAACCACCACCATACTTGACCATCACCCAGAGAACCTACCGCCTTCGAGGCTCTCTCAGCCCCTAAGCGGATCAAAACTCATCAACCAACCCACCCCCTTATCCTCCTCAACGACCGCCGATCAAGCATATCCAAGCCATCATGCGAATACTCCTGCACCCCTCTCGGCACAGACGACCCCGACGCCGCCTCCCGCTCGCTCTCTTCAAGCCGCTTCCCTTTCCGCCCGTCTTCTGTCTCTCGCCCCTCTGTTCAGCGCTATCACCACTGCTAACAGCAATGGCATCAACCACAAACGCCGGGTTGCCTTCCATATCAGTGTAGTACTGACGTCTTCGGTCAATCCAAGTTTCTGTTTCCCGGTTCCTATCACTTGACGACATGGATCTTCCTCTGCGACGGCGGGGAGGAGCCCTCGTGAGGTGTGGCGATGCAGGTATCTACCGCGTCGGTGATATTCTCTCTACTGTCTAGATACTCCTTATGGAGGCGTTCTTCTCGAACGCGTTGACGGGGCAGGCGTTCACCAGTAAAGCGTCTTTGGGAATGAGACTGCGACGGTGACGATTGGGGGAGGGGCAAGCCCGGCGGCTGCTTTGGTAAAGGCAGAGCTCCATATGTGATGCTGTATTGAGGTGTAAAAAACAATAGAAGTGGTTTGTTAAAGGAAATGTAATATTGCAGGGGAAATTGCGCTTATAAAGAGGTTGGTCGCGGTTTGGGCCACGAGTGAGAGATTTGGTTGGCCGCGGTGGTCATTGTCCACGCTTCTTTGAGCGCGGTATCAAAGTTGTCGGGTGCGTTACCAACATATCAGATGTGTCCGGGCACCGGTCATTGGAGCTAGATTCGAAACGCTCTTTTGGATGATGATGAGGCTCTCAAGTGAATAGTCTGAAGTCTTATCTTGCAAGATAGGGCAATCTCCGAGTCCCGCCGGGTCTCGAGATCCCACGAGGCCAGAATCCGATCCTGTAATAGGCAAGGCCTCCTCACCGGTTCTCTGGGATATGTTGTATCCACTTACGCGTTGGGGAGCTTGCGTCATGGCGCAGGATAGAGCATCTAGAAGCTGCTTCACAATCTGTTGTGTTCACACCTCCAGTATCACCATGGACCTGCGTCATGAGGTTCCACTTGATAAGTGGGTGACCTTCTGTTGCTCTTCAGTCCGCTGTATTCTGTCGTGGAGGGTTACACTTCTAGTATATATTCATCAGGAGTCTTCTCTACCAACAACTTCCTCGAACCACCAAACAATTCAGTAAGAAGCGCACAACGCACCAAACAACCTCCACAATGCCCGCCTCCGATATCACCATCGACCTGGACCGGAGCTCAACTCCGTTTCCGAGATCTCGCCGCTCTGAGAGAGCCCACGAGCAGGTCGAGGACTTCAACCGGCGCAGCTCCTCGCCTCGGAGATTTACCTCCACCCCGACCAGAAGCCGCAGGCTGAGCCCCAGCCCGACTCGATATCGTTCTGCCGCCACAATCGCTCGCAGCCCTCCCAGATATCGTTCCCCTACCAGGATCACTAGCGCTCCCCGCCCCCGCAGGATCAGCCCTAGTCCTCTTAGACATCGCTCCCCTATCCGACTCCCTAGCTCCACCTCCCGCCGTGCTCCCTTCCCCTCTCCCTATTTCAAGGAGACCCGTATCACCGAGGCTCGTCGCACTACCACGTACCACCCTACGAGCCCGGTGAGCCGCTACACCGAGACTCGCACGACGTACCGCACTCCTATCTCCAGACCTCGCACTCCTCCTCGTGGCTCGATTGGCAGCCCCAGTCGGCGTATCACATCGCCGCGTCTTGTCGATATCAGGTCTTCTTCGGAGATCTATAGCTCGTCTCGTCGATATGACTCGTACCCGTCGACAACCAGGAGCCCTGGCCGCTCCACCGATAGAAGCCTGTTCACCCGTCGCTATTAGGCAGAGATAACCATCGCTTTGTTACCTGGGACTGCTCTGGTTCCCTGGTAGAATAGGGAAGTGATGGTGGCGTGGGGAAAGGGTAGAGCCTGGATTGCATCACAACGAGCGCATCGGGATTCCACCGTTTCTAGCTCAACGAATTGATCGCTTTCAGTCGGCGCATCCTGGTTCCTAGGGCATGGGAAAACCGGGCGTTGAGAGCGATAGGGCTGGTTTCCCAGGGTAGTAGCATCAGCCATCGATGAACGTTGTCTTTGCCAACAACCACGTGCTTGATGTGCCGAAGTGATGTAATGAAGTGCCTGCTCGACCTCAGAGGCTCAGATCTCCACCACCAGGATCCTGACCAGTCACCTCCCTTCCACCACCACGAGGCACTTCACCAGACAACCACCGAAACTCCAAACACATCCTGCAACAGTTCGAGGCCACCCACGTTGCGGCTTTCGGCAAAACCATTCATCAAACCGGCGATCCAGCCTTGTTTGACTCCATCTGAACCCCAGAAGACAGGCCCCACCATCTAACGAGAAACGGGGGCCGGTTCATTCAAGATCCACCCGATCTGACGATCACCATTAAGAGCTCCACCCTGGGTGATCTTCCGCCAGCCGGACCCAGCAGTACGGGACTAAAGTTGATCCAAGCAACATCTTTGACAGACAGCCAGGCCCTTGTGATGGATACTATTGTCGTCAATGCGTTCCCAGCAAGCCCAGGAAAAAGGTCTGCTTCATCAAGCCCAAAGTTCATGCACAGGATGTCGATCAGGAACGGGGGTTATTACCGAGCCGGCACTTGATGCTTCTGAAGAGCTGCATGTCCACATCGTAATTCCCCCACCAACCGGCGAGGGAGGAGAGCTGAAATCTCGCGAGCGGCCAATGATAAAATCCTTAGCTCTGCTTTTCATGTGAAAGCCCGGCAGTCGGGACAGCTCGGTGGAACCTGGCCGCCGATACCCTCCGGCTCTCAATTGCCAGTCCCGTCTCCGGAAGGGGGCACCGGTTTTCTTGGCATCGACCTCCGAAAGGGACACCGATACCCCAGAATGCAGACAATTTTGAAATCAACTCAGATCTCGATCCTTTGCAGGATATTGCCTCGGCGTGGCATTGCCTGGTGCAAAAGGGAAGAGTCATCTCTTATTGTCGTGCGGTTCTTAGAGCCAAGCCGTCCCTTATAAGGAGCTTGCGCGGAGGAGTTTGCAAAGTCGTGCTATGCACGATAATTTCTCGAGATAATATTGGGGTCGCCATCGCACCAAAATTGGGTGCATGGGAACATGTTGACTAACAATTTCTCCAAACGGTAATGTCCGGTCACATGTTTTGCGGGCCACGTGAGTGGGTCAGTTTGCAAAGTCGACCCATTTTCTTCAACACGAACCAGAGTCGACCCAGAATCCACATTCTCTATAGCGTATCGCGTTCACTGCCGGACGGCGCCTCAAGCTGGTAGTTCTCCCGCAGCTCTTCCACCCATAGCCCCCTACCTAGTAAAATGTTCCCCCGCGGCCAGCGTCACTAGGCGATCCGGTGTGCTTGTTGCGCCAGCCAAGGACTTCAGGCTTGTGAATCGTCGATGCCTCATATCAACATCTCACCATGACAGTCGACAACGAGCCTTCATGCCTCACAGCAAGGCGTGGCCCCGGGGAGGAGATTGGACGGGGAACCTTCTCGCGTTGCACCGGATGCCTTTTCCCAACGGGCGCCTTGGAATGACGGCGGCCAGGCAAGGCGCCGGTCGACGCTACAGGCAATTCCCGTTGATGGAACAGCTGGGAAGAGCCTTCAGCGGGTAAAAAAGGGTGGGGTGTCGTGAAGTATCGGGATCAACTGTCAAATGCCACCACGCCTCTAGAGCTGCCATGGAATTCTGGATTCCTGGATGGTAGAGTCGGGACGTGAAAAGGGCATTCATCGAATTGTGGCTTTGTTCAAGCTGCGGGAGCATGGGTCTTGAAGGGGTGGTGCCAAGAAGAGCGCCAAGGCCACCCACCGGTGAGCTCCGCACCAATCATACGGCAGCTGGCAGTGTGGTGCCGAGACATTGCACGTTTTGCGGCTGCGGGGTTTTCCTTTGGCAGCTGCCACCTCAGTGGCTCAGAGTCTGGACCACTTCGGGAATCTGCCCACTTTGCTCTCGTACGACCGTCAACCTGGAAATGGTCAGTTTGGCCCCAAGGGTCCGATTTGTGCCACCATCCACTACCGTGGACGGCCATGTTCCCCAGTGTCGCCCAGCAATGCGCGCCCGAAGAGTGCCGAGCGCGCGGCGAGCTGCTGGGACGAAGCGAGGGCATTTTCAGTCTTTAATAGAGCTCGAGGTCCCGTCCCTGAGGCTGGAAATCGGACCATCACCATCACCAGCACCAGCACCATCAACATCAACGTCATTGACAACACCACCCGAACAGACAACCCCAACTGACACTTGCCACTTTCGTCTGTGCTAGCATTATCTCAACAGCAGACCACCACCACACCACCAACAATGTCTGGACTAACTATCAACTCGTCGACATCATTCGACCCATATGCCACCACCTCCTTTGATGCTGCCCAGCTTGTTAGTGTCCTTTTTTCCTTGTGTCTTTCACCATCTTCTCTCCCAGCAGTGAACAGTGCGGGGTATGGTGTAGCTGCCTACCTACCCCTGTTCAATACGCACCTGGACTCTCTGCATAAATACCCATGTGTAACTATAACATACATGTCTCGGTCAGGAGAGCTAACATCATCGACAGCAATCATACTCTGACTTCTCACCCATCTTTGACAACTTTGAGGACTTTGGCACCGACTTCAACTCGGACTCGGCAGCCTCCCCCATCTCCCCCATCTCTCCTGTTCTCTCCTCAAGCTCCTTCAGCTACCCCACTGCCGACCAGTGGGTTGACTGGGACAGGATCGAGCACTCCCCAGAGCCCGAAGCTCTGTTCAAGACCAACCCCTTTGACGGGTCCATCTTGACTAGCAACGCCACCAGCAACAACTACCTCCGCAACCCGTCACTAAGCCCCGCGGTCAACCCCATGGCCACCGTCATTGGCACCGAAGGCATCGACAGCCAAGCGCCCCTCTTCCAAACGGCGCCCATCATGGTTGCCCCTCTCCCCTCCCAACAACGCCAGATGGCTGCCTCCATGGACGATGCCTCCAAGAGGTACCCATCCCGCAACCTTAAGCGCAAGACCTCAATCCCGTCCGAGGACGACGAGCCCCTCCCCGCGTCCAAGCGGTCCTCCCCCCCACCAGCAGCCGCCCCTCGCCGGTCTTCCAAGGACAACTCCGCCGCCGGACCCAAGAAGACGGCCCACAACATGATCGAGAAGCGGTACCGCACCAACCTTAACGACAAGATTTCGCAGCTCCGCGACGCCGTCCCAGCACTCCGCATCGTGGCGCAGAGAATGGAGAACCCCGGCGCCTACGAGGAGAATGGCGCCGACGACATGATGGCGGACGAGATCCTCGGCGGTCTCTCCCCAGCGGCCAAGCTCAACAAGGCCACCATCTTGGCCAAAGCCACCGAGTACATCATGCAACTGGAGCGGAGAAACCTCGGACTGGAGACGGAGAACAATGCGCTGAGGGGGAGAATGGAGGGGTTGGAGATGCTTTTGATGAGCAGAGGCGGCCCTCAGCCACAGCAGCTTCCTGTTTGGAACTAGAGCTGTCTGAGAGAAGAGGGGGGGTTGGTTGGACTGTGAAGAAGGAGTGGAGGCTCATCATTGGCTTGTTTGTGGCTGGCTTTCTTGCATTGCATTCTCCGGCGTTGTGAGGATATATTTCTTGGGACATGATACCACAGCATTGTTTTGGGTCTTTGGGATTTAAGCGGGGAGTTTTTGGAGTTTTTTTTCTTGGTTTGGCAACTTCCAGCGATTTGACTTCCCTGCGCCCAACATTATACCCATTCACTTGTTGTTTGTATCATCATTTTTGAACAGTTGGGATCATCAAAAAAAGGTGTGGATCTTGGATACTTTTTTTTCTTTTGTGGTATATATATTACTTCTTATTTATCAGCTCAACGAAGGGCTTGGATTCATAGTTTTTGGAAACGGAAGCAGATCTCAAAAAGAGACTGCGGATGATGAATAAATTCAAAATATTATCACCTCTCTTACTTGTTGTGCTTTTGAACTTCGTGAATCAGTCTTTGACTCTGGAACCATAGCATTGTCAAATGTGCATCATTGAACTAGGTAAACTTCAACAAGAAAAGAAAGAAAATGGTTTCATATTTTTAGGTTTACAGGGTGTGATTATCGATCACCATCGGCAACGAACACGAAGCCTCCCCTGAAAAGAAAAGGTCAGGAGTAATCTGCTACTGAGGCTCGCCAAAGTATGACCACCACGGTCAAACCCACTTTGCTTCTGTGTCTTTTCTAATTACCTATCTTGTCTCTCTCTCTCTCTCTCTCTCTCTCTCTCTCTCTCTCTCTCTCTCCCCCTCTCTCTCCCCCTCTCTCTCCCCCTCTCTCTCTCTGTTTAGTTACCTCTCCACAAAACCCAGGCCTGGTATTACCCCTTTGAGACCTCCCCTGCTGTTCAAAGCAGGAGTAAACTAACTACCGAGGTCGTTTAATACTTCTTTGAAGAAGAAGAAGAAGAAGAAGAGTAAGAAGAGTAAGAAGTGTAAGAAGTGTAAGAAGATGGGTAGTAAGCGCCACTGCTACTCTTGTATTCAGTAGCTTTAGTGGTGGAGGTGGATGGTCCGGAAAATGCATTCCGGCGGGTGGAGGAGGGTAAAGGGAGGAAGTCAACTCCTACGACGGCATTGCGCCGGGTCCTTTGGGGGGTGGAGTAGGAGTTGTTTGGGTTGTAGAAGGAGGAGGAGTAGGGGTTGTTGTTGTGGTTGTTGTTGGAAGGCATCTTTGTCCTGACTGGTTGTGGTTTTGTGGGTTGAGTAGGAAAAGATCGACTGGTTTTGTGGATGTGTGTTTGTGTTGTTGGTAGTGAAGAGTTGGCGATGATGATGGTGATGATAATGATGATGATTATGAGAAATATTGCCTGGAAAGGGGTCCAATATGATGGTTAAATACTTTCTCCGTTGTGTGAGGCAGGATTTGGGGGACAATAGCATTGTAGGATTTGCAGGAATATGCCATGGCTGACAATAAGATTGTCGACAATTTTTTTTTTTTTTTAAAAAAAAAAAAAAAGGCGTGTGTCTTTGTCGACGAGTCGTTCTTTGTAACCGTCCGACAGCCAGCTTCGTCAGTCGAGAAACTGACTAGGTACCCGACCCTCCCTCTTGGAAGTGTGAATGACGGGGCCCATTGGGGCCCCTGTGGGAGACAGGAGGTCTGAAGCCGTGTGGCAGCCAGCTTTTTAGCAACCCGACCGGAAGCTACCTCGAGGTGCTGTTAGCTCGGGCGAGCACCCTGGACCAGAGCAGCGATTATTTGGATCGGTGTGTTGGTGCGAGGAAAGTGCAAGGGCCTATTTCCGCGACTGACGTCGTATTTCCAGTCCATTGCCACGCTACCCGAGGTACCTTTTGAACTTGAGTTTACGCCAGCCCTGTCATGACGCATCTGACAAAACACATGTGCGGGCTGTTGGCACCGACACAGAACTGTAGTCCATTCTGTCTTTCTCCTTTCTGCACTTTTGTACTCATTCACAAACTCTCTTCACATGCCATATTCATCACCAACGATGCCTTGTTTTACGGGATCTTCTACCCCGGTCCTGCCGCCTTCGCCATCACTGCCGCCGCCCTCGGAATGCCCGCTCCTGAGCTTGCCCAAACCTAAAATCTAGCAAGTCTCCTCTCTGTTAAATGACTTTTGCTTGGAAAAGCCTGACGTGATCTGCTGGTACGCCACTCCCTCAAACCGAACCTGAAAGTCTGGTCTTAGCGGGATTCGTGATCGCTTGATGTACTCTCGCTGTTGAGCTTCTGTTAGCCACCCCCTTCGACCTCTCTCGTCACCCACCCTGGATTCAGTCTCCGGTCCCCCGCCGTTCTTTTCCTGCGACCCGTTGTGCAGCTCTGCCCGCTCCGAAGCTGCCGCGCCGTAGAGGGAAGATCGGGAGGGAGAAAACTCGCTCAAGCTATCGGCTGTCGCACCGACGCAGGGTGTTGGGTGACCAGCCGGAGTTAGGGATTCTGCGCTGCCGCACTGGTGGTGATGATATCGAGTGCGAAAGCCTTTCAACATCGGCATTGTCCCACTGTTCAAGTTTGGCTGGTGGCGGGGAGCGGCTGGCGGTCCGTTGGGAGTCGGTGGTCATAAAACCGGTGCTTACCAGCCGGCCAGGGGAGCGGCGGGACGATTCGGGGCTTGAAGACAATGCGATTACTGGCCTTATTCGCTTTTGTTCGGTGGGAGGTCTAGACGGCCGAACGACGGGTATCTCGGTCTCGGGGCTTGTGCTGATGGAGGTCATGCTTCCGCCTTTCTGTGAAAGGGACCTCGAATGTCCCAGCTTGTATGATGCTGCCTGGGGCTGTTTGATGGACGCTGACGAGACAGGCGTGGCTGTCGTGAGGAGAGAGGACAGCAAGCCTTTGCTCGAATTGCTCGCTTTCTTGATGCTGCGCTTTTGGCACATTTCGTGAGACTTTTTGACGTACAAAGTGAGAAAATAATGTCGTTATTGTCGGTGTTGTGCTTGTATGTGTCTAGAGAACTTCAAATATTGAACTTGAAGGTAGTCGATGCTTTTCAAGAGACTTTTCCAGTGTGACAAGGTAGAAAGGTGTACAAGTCTGCAACCAATTCTTGACCCAAATGGTTGGGAAATTGAGCAGCTTTATAGATCTCAAGGCCACTGTGTGCTGGGGCCCAGAGAGCTTTGATTCTCTTGTCTGAACATATTTATGTTGGCTTCCGCGTGCCGAGTCGGGGTTTCATACACCGAGCCACTGACAAATTGTGATATAATGTAATCATGTGTGGGGTCACTTCAGCGTGATTAACGACGGTCGAGTTCAGTTGAAAGATTTGATTCCAAAAGTGCTGTCTAACTGCGTGCTACCTGTAGCCTCCTCACCCTCCTCGCCCACCACTACCCAATCGGCCCTCCTAGGTGTAACACCGCAGAGTCAGTCCAGAAGGTTCCAATACTGACGGGTTGAAATGGTAAGATATGGTGGATTCTGTGGCTTTCCAGCAGCAATGTCTTGAAGTATCTTCGGAGTATAAAACCCCCCCTCGTCATCGTCCTTCAAAAAAGCTTTTCCCAACATCAAAAAACCAAGTGCTGTGAGATATGCCGGGTTGGAGGTGCTCTTTTATTTTGAGAGAACTTTTACGGAGCCCCCTTATTTATCTTATTACTGCCCCGCTGCCTACCTGTTTACTTGCCTTTCTTATCATATAGTAGAAGGCTTTAGAAGAAAAATAATAAGCGTTCAAATTATATTGTAAAGGTCTTTAAACTATCTTTTAAAGCCCTTGAACTATCTTTTAAGCCCTTTTAACTATTTTTAACGTCTTTGAATTATCCTTTAGATCTCATCAAATACCTTTCAACCCACAATAATTATGCTTCGTAATATAGTTAAATTCTATATTAACGGGGTGTTGACAAGATAAATAGGGGGCTCCGTATAGGTTCTCTCTTGTTATGAAGAGAGTTCCAATTTGTATGTGAAATGAAGAGAGAAATATGTTGTATCGGTTGCCGTACCATCCTTCGCGTCTTTCTTCAGTCCCATTTTGTGGTCGCTCCCAGGCCTCCTGGTGCCACCTTTTCATCAGGCCCACACTTTGGTTGCTCCTGATTACGGCCACTTGCGGGACTTGCACGAGGTGTAGGTAATGTCACGGAGATGTCATGCTGGCTTGGTTGCATGGCTTCACTTCACGCCAATTCACGAATACTTCGCCCAACAACAAGAGATTGCTCTCGAGAACGAAATCGTTGAGGCTGAAGTTTAAGGAAAGAGAGGAACTTCCTGATAGTCTCAGCTCTCCAAGCGAGAAGTGTTTCCGCGGACGATAGAGGGCAAGTCTTACCACATATCTCACAATCTATCACACCAGACATTATGTTCGACTGACTGGGAAAGGGTTGAACAGGGTCTAGTGGGAGAGCATTAACGGGTGGAAAAAGAGTGGTCATAGGCCTTGTCTAGAGGACGCATCAACTCGCAACTTGGGCGCCTTGACAAAATGGGTTTACTTTCTACCAAAATGCATCAACCAGCAAGCAGGAGGAGTTATTTGCTGATCTGTAGCACCTCAACCTCATCAGACTTGCCAATCTCAGCTCTCTTATCATCCGTGGTGTCCGCAAATACACGTGCGTTTGTCCCCCCTGAACAAGTGCCCTTTGGTCTCCAATGAGCCAAGTACCACGGGCTTGGGTAAGCAAGCTACTAGCAAAGGACGCGGATAGGGAGTCTCAAACAACGTAGCATGTATCCATCAAGGCGTGACTTGGATGTCCAGTTCTCGGAAGCAGATATACCGACCATGTATCCATCCAGTTAGCAAGCGTCAAGGTTTGAAGTCTCGCCAGGAGAAAAGGGAAAGTCGTAGTCGGTTGGCCAGAACACAGCGGTCATCACGTTACTCCATGGGGCAGCACAAAGGACCTACGTCGCCACCACATGGCAGCGGCTTGTCGATATTATCCCGCCAAGAGGTGTGAACCCGGGATATGGGTTCCAGAAGAAGCCTTCTCGAAGGATATCGTCTGTCTTGCGCCATGGCGGGAGCCCGGGTGGTGGCTGACGTCGCAGGCATGGATAAAAGCAGAAGGGAACAACGAAGCAAGGCAATGTAAGAAGATGAGACGCTTTGTAGTATCCTTTTGGATCCAGCCTCCGGGACCTCTTGTTCAAGACTCGGGGCCGATGCCACTGTGACGGTGGTTGGATGGGGGTCGTCGCCACGAGGGCGAGCCAGTCGGATTCGAGGCGATTGTTGTTGATGCTGACAATCGAGATGATTCGCACGCATCGCCCTTGCGTCGTCACCACGTGTCTGGAGAAGACAACGTGTGAACCTGGAAATAGCAGCGTGGTAATGAAACGAATTGGAAGCAACCCCCCCCTTTTTGATGAAGCTCTTGTAGAGAGAAATTCCCGTTCCAAGTTCGGGGTTGCGGCTCCCTGGGCTATAGTGCACGATCTTTTAATATACCGACGCCATTTATCCCTCGGAGGCTGGCCTCTGGCATTTGTTGTTTGCCCAGATTCCCACCGCCCTCAATATGCGCGGCTAAAGTCGACGCTCATCTTGGAAGGAAGACCGCTGCTCTCCCATGCGCCGCCCCGCCCTTCCCCCGTGGAGCGACACTTACAACCCGCAACCGCCTGCAACCGCCCAGCAGAAACCACGACGACGTTCCTCCCTTCGAGGAGCAACCTTCTCCGACTCGAAATAAATTAACAGTACCCCAGAACATGGCGTCACGCGATTAAACCCGTCCAACAGGCGTACATTCAGAGTCTTGGCTTTCAGAATTTGCCAGCAATTTTGCCTCCGAACCTCCTCCGCCCTGGTATTTCTGGGATGCTTGGTTGCCCACGCCCGCGATCCAGTCGAGATGCCGACAGCAGCCCTCCCGCTGTACTTAATCATGGCAAAAGTGCATCCTTTCCCCGTACTCTCGCCGTCTTGGTCAACTTGGCTTCTTCCGTCCCACCCAGACTAAAAAAGAGCCCTCTGCCGCCTCCACGTCTTGTCGCGCACATCACCTAGCCGCCAAGGTTCTCTTCTTCTTCGACAGACCCTTCGCCAACCTCGTGGTTCGATATGCTCTGGACTTTGTGGTTTGGGCTCCTCGCGGCCCTGCTCAGCAGAACCGGTGAGTGGTGGAGGTTGTTTAAATCATGGGGGTCAGAGTGCTGACCTGGTTGAAGTGACGGCGCAGGCTAATGCCATCTACCGCGACCCCGACACCGGCCTCGTGTTTTCTTCCAACTACGTGCTGTACAGGGTAAACCAGGGCATCACTTACCGCGTAGCCATTCCGGCCAACGTCCAGACCTACACCTCCTACGATGCCGTTATCCAGGCCGTCATTCCTAACGATGTCGGTTGGGCCGGTATTGCCTGGGCTGGCTCTATGCCCAGGAACCCGTTGACTGTTGCCTGGAGAAACAGCCAGAACCAGCCGGTGCTCTCCTCTCGCTGGGCTGGGTAAGTGCTGGAAACTTGTGAAGTGGATGATCATGCGCTGACAACCTTTTCAGTGGCCATATCACCCCCCAGGCCTACAACAACGCCCAGTACACCCTTTTCAGGACCGGCACCAAGTCCAACGGCACCCACGTGGCAGTACACCGCTCTCTGCAAGGGATGCACTTCGTGGACGACCGACACCGGCGCCTCCCGCTTCCTGAGCCCCAGGGGAGGAAACCGCATGGCTTTTGCCTACTCCCCCAACCGTCCTTCTTCCCCCAACAGCCCCACCTCGACCATCCCAATCCATGACGTCCATGGATACTGGCAACACGACTTCTCGGGGGCTGCCAACCAGGACTTTGACGCCATTGTCGAGAGACTTGCGAGCGGTGTCTAAGCCAGTCCAAAAGGCATGGGAGAGAATATTTCGGCGGGAGTTGTACATACATGACTTGGAAAGCCAGAGGCGGCCGTTGGATCGCACCAAGAGGGTTATTGGAAGCGAAGCACTGAGGTCTGTGGACTGAGCATATAGATTGCATGGATTGTCTGGACATGTGTATTTGTTCTGCGTCATCATACCCCTCAAAGACGGGTAGTTGAAGAAAAAATCACAAGTCCTTACTTCAAGAACCGCCCGTGGCCGAAATTACTGTCAAGAACCATTTTCTGAGCTGACGACGGACATCGAGATTGGCTTGATGCTACCCAAGAGAAAAGTACCTATGCAATGATTTTATATGAAAAGCCAAGTTTGGTCGATCCATGCGCCCCTGACAATCACTTTTGGGTAGCAGAAAGGAGCTTGGCGAGATCTTTCGGTGCAGAACTGACACGACCAGTGAACAATTGATATAGAATATTACCAAGCATACAACACACCACTATCACATGCCTACATGCCCGGATGCAGGGGCTTCATAAACACACTTAACCCTAACCCACCTATCCCGCTGTGCCAGTATCTAAAAATAGAACACCAAGGATTTGTGAGTCTTTGATGCCGCTAATAGTATAAAAGGTACACCCAACCTATCCTCCTAACAGTACTCCATTCTCATCACGCAAAGATGACTGAGCCGATGAATCTCCGCCCCAAGCGAGACAGAACTGATGAGAATTTTCTAAGAGCAACCAAAAATATCATGCACCGGGGTGACGAAATGAGCCGTCGTTATGTGGCTGATATTTGCATTGTATTACGTCGTAAAGGTAGCTACTACGATTACTGTTCCACTAAGGATACCTCTTTCCTATCTCTCGGCCATCCGCCACCACGTTTGGGCCCTTCTGGGCTTCGCGAAGGATCTCCATCATCGAGGAATAGAGCTTCGGCTCTAGGGTCTTCCATCTTCCGCCGTTTGGGAATACCTTTCTCCGTAGTCTATTGACCTCCCTCTCCCACCTCCCACCATTTGGAAACACAGCTTTCCGTAGCCGGTTAACCCAAGGTATCAATGGTTAATAATAGGGAGTGAAACTCTGCGCGGCGGTCCTGATGAAGTCCCCCTCATGAACTACTTTTCCTTTCTTCAGCTCCGCCAACGCCTCTTTGTCTAGGTAATTCCACTTGTCGAACTGCGCGACGATTCTGGTCTCAAATGGCCCTTTGCAATGAATACATATCCAAAACAGTACCCAGAAGAATGACTCGAGATCGTGCTTGAAAGAGTGTTGTTCGCCCAAAAGCGCCCCGATTACCATAAACGCTCTTGTACCGGTCTTCCCTTTGGCTCCCGACGCACCTTCTCGATCCTCTTTAGTGGCGAGATCCAGGTCAGTCAGAAACGAAGGCCTGGAGAGATTATTCGTATGCTCGTTGATCACGAGGTTGTTGATGGAGATGTCTCTGTGAAGGACGCCAGCCTTGCGCAGGGACTCATGCCCTTCAATACAGCCGCTGAGCGCAGCAAGTAGAGACGTTCGGGAGCTGGCCTTGTAAATTGGCTGTCCATAGTCGCGAAGAATCGCACGCCGATGCACCCGATTGGATAGATCGCCGCCGGCTTTTACTAAAGATGCTGAGCAAGTCCGCTTGCTGTGTGGTAGAGAGGCGCCGGTTTGGCTAGACGATCGTTTCTCGCCAGCCATGGTACTGCTTCCGCAACCTCTTCGCGAAACCTCCGACGCTGCCATGGCCGGTTGGAGGGCCGACCGTTCCGGCCGATAGTTCGTAGCACGGGTAATGTCTAATCCTCGGCGCACATTATTTCGGACGTCGTCATTCGCTCCATATATCTGAACCGTCTCGTGGTGATAGTATCTAGCCATTTTGATGACGCCCTTGCGAGTCACCTCGTATAAGAGCTCACCTTCCTCATCGCGCTCCGGGTACTGCCACGAGTCTTAATAACGAGCGGTATCTGCGGCAGGCCTTCGCGATGAGCTTTCCAGCATGTTGTGGCCCGACCAGCGACGCAACGTGCTCGCTGTATTACCTTGTCGATAATAAGGCGTTCCTTCGAACCGTTCCGCTCAATCTCGATGAACCGCTGGCCGTTGGCTACTGTAAATGTCGGGTCGAAGCCAAGTTCCTCTGTGCTCATCCAGAGAAATCCGAGGACCGTAAATACGAACCGGGACCCATCCTCGTTAATATCAAACCGCTCAGATGCGAGACCCCCGAGCCGATCAAACTCCCACACTCTCATAAGAGATCCGCATAGAGTAAAGCCCAAGACAAATCGGCGAGTTTCTTGAGCGGCGAGGACTTCCCTCGCGTATGTACCAATATCTAGCCAGGCCTTGGCCGCTGTATCCGCCGCAGGGTTGCTCTTTAGCTCGCCTGGTACGAGGATGCGTGACCAGTGGCATCTCGAGTCTTTTCCAGCCTTAGGGTCGTCCACGAAGCCAACATCGAGCTTGCGTTCGGCGGTTGAGCCCTGGATCGGTTTATTGGGCTGTGCTAGTGGCCGTCGATGTGTTGGGATAGACCTGTAGTCTTCTGCAAACGTCGCTGGCTTCTCGCTTAATTCCGAAAACCAGCTCAAGACATGGTCCTGATTCGCGTCTTCTGGCCATCCGTTCCACCCATCACTAAAAAGTGGTTCGCTACCTTCCTTGCATTTCTCAAAGACAGCCTCGGATATTATTCCGAGATCTGCTACTCGTCCGAAGAATATCTCGTATAATCGAGGGAGCCCGACGTACATAACGCCTAATTCATCATTAAGGACTCTATCCACATCTTTACGGTACTCGGAGGAGTTCGCAAAGTTTCCTGTATTGTGAAGCCACGGAGTCTGCTGTAGGGAGGACGCTGTGGGCTAGGGAGGCGGGGTAGGTTCGCTTACCACTTTGTAGACTTCTTTCCAGATGAGGGCATCGTTATCGTCGGTAATTGCTGACTTGAGGAGAGGTATCATACGGTCGAAATCAAAGTAGTCGGAGCTGACGACGAAGTCGAGTCTCGAGAGATCGCTGAAGAGGCTCTCGCTACGGCCGCTGCAACGGAGCAAGCGAGATGCAGGAAGGATTCGTAGATTTGAAAGAAGGATAAGGGTAAGATTCTGGAGGTCAACACCATGTCAGGGTCAGAGGGTCATGTCTGGACGAAGCTGATTATCTTTCTTACCCTCGTGGCCAAGTCGCTCGACCGCGTCTGGAGTGCGGGATATGCTTGCGCCTTCGCAGATGGCGCTGAACAAGGCGCGGAAGGCACCAAGGCCTTTCCCAATAGCCGCTGGTTTGGACGTCGCATTAGCTAGGAGGCTGACGCTAAGCGCCCGGCTGCGCCCCGGAATACGGTTATTATAACGCACTTCCAGGTACCTTGTACTTGCCCCTTACCACTAGAAATTCTTAAACTATAATCGCGGCCTTTAATTTTACTTACGGGTTCCCAGATTTAGGACAGCAGTCGAAAATGGCCCCCCTCTCAGTGTCACAGTTAAGTCAACGAAGATAGGCTGAGAAAATATTTCTTTTACGTTAATAAAGCGTTTTGTCTAAAGCTGGATAATTCCTGTATCGATAAACTTATTTACTTGCTCTATACGTCCGGTAACTTCACGAAATACTTTAAGCGACTGCACCTAGCAAACCTCCAGGAGGATGACAGGCTCCAATGCCGAGTTTACGTGATGCTGCTGGACTACAAAATGTATCTCTAAAACTATGTCCGTCGGATTTACGGCGCTATGTTCTAAAACTGTAGGTTATTTAAGTGGGTTCTTTTTCCTGCTAACCTGGCCTAGGTGCCTTTATAGGTGATTTCGTGTGACGAACCCCTATCCAGAACCTCTGAAAGGGATACTAGTCGAAGGCACTTCTGAATAATCCTAGTTCGGTGCAGCTAGACAGTGCACAACAAGATGTCTCAATGTAAACACAAGATACCGTGAATACAAGCTGTGATTGCATACTGCGGAACTGTCTATCTACACCAGCCAGTTCCTCCGTATATATAGACCCAATGCTAAGCCCGGCACTGTCCTGGATCGATAGACTCGACCATCGATCCTATCGATATTGTCTCTTTTGGGGTTGACTCCTCTGGATCGATCCTCGATCACATTGATTCTGTTCTGATTGGTCCTTATTCCTGTACTAATGATTGGTCCGTGGTGCGCTCCGCGCTCCACCAAGTGTCAAGCCGTGACAGTACGCATATAATTACATAATTAGAATTAATAAGGTAGAGTTTTTATAAAAATTAAATCAGTTAGTAGTGAAAGTAAAAGGCAGGTTTATTAGTCAGTTACTAAGATCACAAGTTAGTAGTATATTAAAAAGTAGAGAAATAAAATTTCAAGTTGCTATTTAATAGGTATATAGTTACCGTAGCAGCTCAGCGCTGCTCCACCTAATAAGCTCACTTTTTGCGGGGCAAAAAGAGCATCTGAGACAATGGCTAACGAATACCCCCGTACCCCCCAAAAGCTGACGTCAAGTGGGAGCTTTATCAGCTTATCGGCCGCGCCCAACAACCCCTCCACCCCGCTCCGATCAGCTCAGCTTCCCCCAGCAGAGAGAAACGCAACGCGATTCAAGTTGTTTTTCCCAACATCGAACCCAACCCGGTGCTTATTCCCTTATTACCCTATCTTTAGCGCCTTGCATCACCCCTATCATCCGTCAAAATGGCCGCCCTTCCCGACATCCTGATGAAGAAGGTTGACGATTATGTCGACTCGCTCGCCCCCCAGATCCAGCCCCGCATCACCGAGGAGCTCGAGACCTTCCAGACCAAGACCATCGATAGCCTCGAGCAGCAGGTCATTGAGGCGTTCCGGACTTTGTTCGACAAAGACAACAACAGCTCTAGCTCTGGTGCTAGAGGGCTGAACGAGGACGTTCCTGATTCGTACGGTGGACAGAGCCTGTCTTTTGCGAATGAGATTGCCAAGTTGACCAAGAGCTTTGGCGCGGTTGCGGGCCCGGGAGGGGTGGGTGATGATTTGGCGGAGATTTTTAACTTGACTTCTGGTGGTGGTGGTGGTGGTGGGCAAGCGAGGGGCTTTGGTGGTGAGGGGGAGACGAGGTCGAGAGGTGGGGGGGAGGGGGATGGGATGAAGAAGTTCTTTTCTGCGGCGTTTGACGTGGTTCAGGATCATCTGGATAAGCGGAATGATGGCCCTGGTGGTGGTCAGGGGTTCCAGTTGGATGGGCTCTTGGGGGTTTTGAGCAATACTGTCAAGGATGTGGCTGGGAACCCGGAGGAGAAGGCGAGGATGATTACCCCTGAGATCAAGGAGTTGGTTGGAGCCAAGCTGAGAGATCAACATACGTCTATTGCGGAGCAGTTTACCAAGATTGCGTTGGATCATATTAAGAAGTGGTTGCGGGGGAACACTACCACGAGGGATCTTGGTGATGGTGTGAAGGGGGAGTTTGAGGATCAGGTGAAGGATTTGGTTAAGGGGTTTGGGAGCTTGTTCGGAAGCAAGAAGTCACATGGCGAGGGCGCGTCCAGGGGCGTTGGGGATAGGGCTGAGGATGATGGTGGCGAGAGCAAGGGCGGCTTTTCCAAACTCATCAGCGAGAAGCTCAGTCACGGTTTGGCCAAGGTCCACAGGGAGGTTCGCCTCGAATTCCGCAAGATTCTGGGACAGATTGAGAAGCAGCTGTTTGAGCTGTTGCCAGACCAGTTCCAGCGCCCTCTCGAGAAGATTCTGGGCGGCAATCCGTTTGACTCGCAACTCGACAATACTGTCTCGGCCTCGAGATCGGGTGGGGACCGTGGATTTGGTGATGACATCAAGGCCAAGCTGCTCATCAAGATTCGTAGCCTCGTCCGCAAGGTGCAAGAGACCCTCCGCCAGAGCATCCTTGGTGTCGTCAACGGTGGCCACCGCAAGTTCGAGAAGCAAAGCTGGGTCTTCGTCCAGGGCATTGTGGAGCAAAAGGTGCAGCGGTACCTGCCCAAGGTGAAGGTTACTGTGCCGGACGATATAAGTAACGATGATGGGGTAGAAGTGGGTGCAGTGACCAACAACATTCAGCTCGGTGGCGGCAACCAGCCCATCACTGGGGTGTATCCTCCCCCACCTCCCCAGCAGGGACACAACTACTCGGGCAGTCAGCAATATGCCCCTCCGCCAACACAGCAATACCAACAGAACCAGTTCCCGCCTCCGCCCACACAAGAGTATCAGCATGGCCAGCAAAACCAGTTTCCGCCTCCGCCCACACAGGAGTATGGGCATGGTCAACAGAACCAATACCCACCTCCCCCACAGTACAATCCTCAGCAGTATCAGTCCAACCAAGGACAGTCGTATGGATACCCAAATAATCAGGGTTATTAAGTTGAACAGTCTTTGAGCAGTACAAGGAGAGCTAGACTCTAGTTTGAGATGAGAAATGAAGTCCCTTCACAACCTTGACTCTTGGTAACTGGATTGAAACACAATCACAACCTCGCGACTCGCTGACCAAGTTGTGGGGGCAACATAGTTGATCTGTGATCGGATGAGAACGCCCCTTTTCCCAATACACTGAGCAATCTGATAATCAAGCAATCTGGCATGACCCTGTTTTTGTGAGACCCCAATACTCGTTTGCAGAGGCTTCAGAGCCGACGTCGGCTTTCAATTCAGGCAAAGAAGCCATCAATGTGCAAACGCCAGCACTCTTGTTCGCCTCTCGACCCATGATAAAGAGGCGTATTCCATGGCCCAGAAACTTCACCCGGGGACCCCAGCCCACAAAATAAATAAGACACTAAAGTAAGTTGACCCATATTTTACTATAAAATGTACCTTAAAAGTAAGTTAACAGGCCTCTGAACAATCTTTTAAGGCCTGTTACTTATTTTTGAAGGCCTACAAACTGTGTTTAGAGGCCCACAAACTATCCTTAAGGGCCTATAAATTATCTTGAAAGGTATATGGACTATCCTTTGAGGCATATTACCTACTTTAGTATCTCAGTTATCTATGTGGCAAGGGTGCCGGGCGCTGCTGGGTATCTCACCCAGAATAACACGAGCATATACAGAGGCAGTTCTGCAGACTACACACTATCAACCACCAAGACAGACAACCATGGCTTCTGCCAGCAAGGACAACGCTGTCAACATCGCCAACAACAACAGCGACAACGATGTATAAAGCCAACGCCGAGGCCGAAATGGGGTAGAGCAGCTTGTCAGGCGTTCCACCAGAAGGGGGAGAACTGCCGCAGAGACATTTGACAAAATCCCGGCGGCGAAGAAAGTACGGAGCCATAGCTCGACCCAGGAGGTTGGTCGTTCCGGCCATGGACATTCCGAACAAACTGGACGTTTGGCTAATCTAGAGCATATCAAATCTAAGGATTCAGAGGCGAAGAAGATTGAGACCACCGAGGGTGATAATTAGGGGCCGGTATCTCGCAAGGAAGGAGCATTGGAGGCCGAACGCATGGGTGCACGGTATATGGAAAAGACTCGTGTGTGTAAGGGATCGGCAGCGCGGCGAGGAGTGATAGGCTTTTTCTTTTTTTCTTTTGCCACAAGTAGCAAGGTTTTCAGTATTGGAGAATGAAGCATAATTTCTTCCCCGAGCCAACAGTTTCTCTGCTGTTGGGCCCTATCAAAAGCGCTATTCAAAAAGACACAACATGTTACAAGTAATTTACAAGCTTCAAGCCTCGCCCACAACCACCCTTTCCCCATGTCATGGAGGACAGTCCTCTGTGACACGCACTTTACCTCCTTTCCCAGTGTTTTGCCAGGCATGGACCTCAAAGTTGCCGCCATTCTCATCCAGGTAAATGTAATCCAGTTTTGATGAACCGAAGACCCGTCCAAATTTGATAAGCTCTGGTGGCATGATGCCAAGTCCACCCTGGGTTATGATACCAGCGTCTCGCCATTCTGGGGCATTGTTGCTGCCCATGCCGGAGTTGATGAATGCTAGGATGTTGCCGTTTTCTCCAATTCTCAGATAATCACTGCGGAAACTACAAAAATGTGAAATGTCAGCAGGGAATTTGTCAAGATGACAGACATATTAGGGCGGAATGCCGAGACTTACTCTCCATTGATGTCTCCCAGCACAACACGCCCCTTGTCAATGCCGGACAGTTTATCAAAGGTCAACTGCAGGGCTCCGTTGAATTCTCCTTGTCCATTTTGGCGGATGCAGTCAATGCTGCTGTCAGCTTTGATGAGGCAGTAATCGGCTCTTCCGTCACCGTCGATCTCTGAGAATGGCCGTCAGCACCAAGTAGCTTGGCTGGGTTTGATGTCAACACTTACGGGCAACTCGAACATCATCAGCTGTGAAACCCTCCCTGTCTGGCACCACCTGCCCGATGCTCTCGAATCTGGGAGGCCTCCCCCCGCGGTTCAAGGAGACCGAAACGCCCGCCTTGGCATTGACACAGAAGAAGTCATCCAAACCATCATTGTTCTGTTATGGTCATTCGGTCAGCACCACCCCCCAAGCCAAAGCGCAAAGACTAGATAGGTACTCACAAAATCAGCAAAAATGACCCTTGCCCCCTTTGATACATCGCAGTCGATTCCCACACTGAACTCCATCGTGTTTGTCTCGAAATTCCCACCAGCCCTGTTTTGAGATAACACATATCTGTTGCCACCATCGCCGCCACGATAGACCGCAATTCGATCATCCAACTCCTCGCCCCTCTTGAAGAGGTTGTTCATGACGACAACATTGGCAAAGAAGATCTGTGAGGGAGTTGCCTCTCTTCCATCCAAACGCTTTGGGATTTTCGCCGAGCTCAAGACGCCCCTTTCCACTTGCTCGTGCAGATACGTGCCATCTACCACTGTCCCTGGGGTTCGGATGCATTCCTTATCGTTTGGCGGAGATGGCCGCTGGACATCGGCAGGCCCATCGTCGATCACTGCTGCGGGAGGCTGGATCTGGTCTTCGAGTTTTCGGATTGCTTCCATCCAGAGGGAAGCAAAGATGGCGTAGCCTGCATCGTTGGGATGTACCCCGTCGGGATGGAGGTGGTCGTTTATGTTGATGGCCGCATGCAAGTCGGCCATGCCAATACGTGGGTTGCCTCTGTAGGTATTGGTCACCAAGTCGCGATATTGTTGACTGAGATCTGCGGAACAACTGTCGTTTTTGCGTGATGGTGCCAGGGTCGAAACGACCACTGTTACCCCTGGAACGGTTGTGAAGACATCATCGATGAGAGCTTTGAGGCGGGCTCCCGCGTTGTTGGTGTCGATTTGGCGGATGCAGTCGTTCCTAAATCGACATGTTAGCACACACGGTTATTCTCTCCGTAAGAGATTGGGAGGCTGCGAAGACCTACGTCCCAGCGTTGAGAAGCACCAGATTTGGCATCAGCGCCTTGCCAGTCTTATTGAACTCCCCGCGGACTTGGTTGATGGTCAGGCCTGGGTGCCCTTCATTGTCACTGTCTTCAAAACGCCCGTTTTGTTTTGATCCCACCATGTTAACGTTCCATCCCCGTGTACGCAACTGCGCACGAAGTAGATCGCGATACCCTGCCCCGTTTCTCGAACCAATTCCTTCCGTTATGGATGCTCCAAGGGGCATCACTCGTAGGAAAAAGTCCTGTGCTGCTCTTTTGGCTAGAGAGGTGTGCCATGATGGTGTACTGTTACTTGAAATAAAACCAGGGGCGACATGGTCGGCTTGTAAAGAGAGCAGGGTGCTGATAGCCCCTATCACGGCTTCGGCAGGCCACATTGTTGTGTTTGCGGAAAAGACAGACTGAGGGTTCGCACTTTGTGACTCTCGACCGAGAGTCGAGTGGCATCGTGTGCCCTCTTATTGTCCATCTTGGTGTTGCGCCGTGCATCGTCCTCACCCCTTGGAAAGGACCCTGAAATTCGCATTGACTTGCCAAAAGTTTCCATGAAACGGCAACAGGGGCTTCAGAACCCAGCAGCATCGCAACAGTAGCACAGCCGCACCATACTTTTATTACAAGGCTCGTTGGCGGAGCCACGCGAGCTCGGAACCTTTGGTTGCAGTGTGTGGGGAAAGAGGTTTCGTAGCGTGTTGTCGGCAAGTTGAGCCGAGGGAGGTTTCTTCAGGGGGGCCTTGGCACGTCACGGATGCTAAGCTTTTGAGCCCTGCACCAACCATGGTGCGGATCGTGGATAGTTGTCGATCCGGCAATCCGATTCGATATCATAAAATAATCGTCTTTTGCCCCTCGAACCGGGTGCCTACCAGATCGCGACTTCTTGCTAGAAAGACAGGTTTTCTGAACACTCTGTCACTCAGGCTCCCCGCCCTCTGTAGCAACTACCTCGGCCCAAGATTGTCTGCCAATGATTGCTTGTGGTAGTCGCGGGGCCGGTCGACGTGCCATAACTGGCAAGACTTGAGTTGTTAGTACATCAGAATTTGGAGTCGGTGTGCTCTTGCGAGCCGGCAAGGCTCTAGCATGAGTCGATGGAGACGGGGGTGCTGGTCGCCTCTTTGCTGGTCCAGAATGCTTTCGCCTTGACGTAACAACTGTCCAACTTTCTTCCGTTTCGTCACGCAACGAGTCATGATCCTCTGCCCCTGCCGTGCCTGCTGGATTGGACTTTGGTGGCTTCCCGCGACTCAAGAGCTCGGCCATCTCAGACGGGACAGGAATAGTCGGCTTGAAATCCTCCGCAAAGTTCTTGTTTTCTTTATTGACGGAAAATCGAGTCTCGGCACTGAGCCCAGGCTGCTGATATGTTGACTGGCCTACGAGCCGTTGGGAGTTCCCATTCGAGTCAGAATGCTGATCTGCCGCCTCGATATGTTGCTTTATCGACTCTTGGGCGTCTAGATTTGTATCCTTTGGTTGAAGCCTGTTGTCTGTCACCTTGCTGGCCGCTTTGGTGATCGCTTCCTTGAATTCCCTTTTGACTACTTCTGCTGGTTTTGAGCGGGCCACGTTTCTGGGAAAGAGAGCCTTGACTCGCTTTGGCAGAACTGATCTGCGCAAAGATACTGCAGGTAACTTGTAGCCGCCACTTGACATCGTATTGATCATTGCGTTGAGATATTGAGCAGCATAGTAATTGCTAGGTGACAGAAAGTAGTAGAATGGATTGAGTGTGGAGTTGCTGTATGCATATTGTAGATAAGGGTGATATAGCTGGCCAAGTCCTGGGAGGGCAGGGTAAATCGAAGGAAGTTGAGATTCGGACTGATCTCCGAAAGAGCCTATGGCATGTGCCATGGAGTGTTTTGCGATCTCCACTGTTTGCGTCCATTTCCCAGAGACTCCCGTGATTTGATCCCCGTCTTGAGGAAGTGGGGGAGGCCACGCGGTGGCTGTTTCGTACGAGACTGCCGACCGCGACTTGATCACCAGATTTTCTACGGTTTTGATTTGCATCCAAAGGATGACCTGGGGCGCCATATATCGGATGCGCGGTGGCCGTGCGACGAAGAGGAGGATGCGCAAGCATCAATGATCGTACGAAGTGACGGGCTTCTGGACTGGCGTTGACTCGTTGGAAAGCCTGATCCGGGAATTCGATGCTGCCAGCTCGGTAATGAAAAAGAGCTGCCAGGGTTTTGAAGACTGGCTCTCCGGTCAACATTTGGTAAACCGTCTCGCCAAAACACCACATGTCGATGGGAAAAGAGTCTCTCTGCCCTGTGCTGGGATCGCAGTCCAACACTTCCGGTGCCAGAAAGCCGGGCGTGCCCCTTACAGTCGTAGAAGCGCCAGCTATGTCCTCAGCACGTTTGCTCAGGCCCAAGTCGCACACCTTGACCCACCATCTCTGCGGCGGCTTGGATTTGATGAGAATGTTCTGTGAAGAACATCATTAGAGCTCAAGCCTTCTTGAATTCAGCTTTTGCATAATGTACTCACCGCGGGCTTCACATCTCTATGAGTATACCCTGCCTCGTGCATCATTTCCAGAGCACCCAATACTTGGGAAGCAACCACCTTCACCTCGTCTTCGGGCATGGTTTTGACCGTTTGAAGATACTTCCTCAAGTCACCATGCTCGCAATACTCCATGGCGATGCAGAGGTAATTTGGGATTTCGTACCATCCAAAGAACTCAACAAAGAAATGGGCATACTTGGGGAAAAGTCAGCATGTAAAACGGTGACTAAGTAGGTGCACACGCACATCATCATCATCTAGGTACATACCTTCGGTTGAGAGAATCTTTTCAACGCTTCCAACTCACGGACGTAGCGGACGCCTTCGTTGGTGCTCTTGCTGTCAGCTACTCGAATGGCTTTCACCGCTCTCCATTTGTCTTCCTCCGCTTCGAGGATCTTTTCTTTCTTTTCTAGCCATACCAGACCGCATCCTCCGTGTCCAAGAATGTTGTTATCATGCCGCACCCATCGTTCTTGCCACCATGACGGGTTGCCTTGTCGTACTGTTGTTACGCGGTGAATGGTGACATTCGCCTCGACAGTTGCTAGAAGTCTGGTGTCATGGACTGCTTCCAGCGACATCAAAGTATGGTTCGCCATTGATTGTCAACTTGAACATGACCAGTAGGCGTGGAATGCTTGGTTAGGCAATTAATAATGAGCGTTGAATGTGTTGGGACGGAGCGTATGGAAGGTATCAAGGATAAATGAGTCAGCTGCAGTCTCAAGCGTTCACAACCATCAGAGGAAGGGGCAGTTTTGTGTTGCGGGGAAAGCTGGATGGAAGGTGGGCGGTGGCTCAGCTCCTGGTTTCATTCTGTCCAATGAGTGACCGAGGCCGTGTTTTGGCTTCTTGCTCCTTCTACATATTCTGCCACACCAGATATGCAGCCGACAAATCGTGGCGCTCAATCACAGCGTCCTCAGCCCGCGGCCTGCACGAAGTCACATGAAGTTGTGAAGAAACAACCCGGAAGTCTGCCTCGTCTGCCTTATTATTGGTTCGCATTTGGCCGCCTCGCTGCAACCACCCCTCGATCGCTCAAACCGTGTTCTTACAAGTTCTTTGGCACAGTCTATCCAGAGTTTTGCCAGTTCTTCCTCGTGTCGTGTGGGCCAGAAGAACTCTGCCAATATGGCCGAGCTTGTTGGACTGGCTCTTGCCCTACCACCGACAATTGACTTGTGTCTGAAATATGGAAGACAACTCAGGGCCCTGTGTGCGAACCTACGCCAAGCAGATGCTCAAATATCAGAGCGTGTGATCCGTCTCGACAACAACTGGATGCTATTTACCCACAAGCTCGACTTTCTGAAGCGCATCCAACATCTGATAGAAGATGACCATCGCGAGATTTGGGGCCAGACACTTCGGATTCTTTTGAGTAAGCTAGAGATTGTCACAGGTATAATCAATCGACTTGTAAGGCCCCTGCCTGTGTTTCTCGAGATCAACCACAGCCTTGAGGTTAATGCACGTAGGGGCAAATACATCTTGATAAAGAAGAGTCTAGACAAGGCCATCGAGGAGCTGGAGACCTGGCAACAAACAACGGACCAATCATGGTTTCTTCTCATGAGAATCGCCGACTCACAGGTCGACCTCGCTCTCCAAACGCCTACCAATCTTGACGCGATCGACGACAAACCACACTCCAATACAGCAACAGCCATTCCGTCCACAGTCACCATAAGAGCGAGTCGCATGCAAGACAGCACATACGGTAGTTCATCAGAAGCGGGATTGACCTTCGACGCAGCAGAGCTGTCCAAGATGTTCATTCAACAAGTAGCATTCTCGCAGATCTCAATCGCGCAACGGTTGTACGGAAATGGTCAGGTTGGGGTTTACATTCTCAACCAAATCACATGCGAGCCGGTAGCCAAGTATCAACTCATCAAGAAGGACGCAAGAGACCTGGCCAGGAAGCTTCAGCACAACGACCCTCATACATTCGGCCTTCTCGCATGCAAAGGAGTGGCCGTCCCATTATCAACACCGACAAAAGGCCGTCACGATCGTACTACAACTCCATCAATGTTGACGATGGTCTTCAGACAGCCAGTCCACACTACCGGGATTCCCAACAGCCTTCGGTATGTGCTATCCCATACAGCTCCTCCTCAAACCCTGTCACTACGATTCGACTACGCAAAACAACTCGCCAGGTCCGTCAGCTACGTCCACACGTTCGGCTTCGTTCACAAAAACGTCCGCCCGGAATCCATACTGGTATTCACCAGCACCAAATCGGGCTTGCCTTCGCAGTCACTCTTTCTTGTGGGCTTCGAGAACTTTCGACGGGAGGATGGCTCAACCCAGCGGCTTGGGGATGACACTCTAGAGCGAAATCTCTACCGGCATTCTTCCCGCCAAGGAGCTTCGCCGAATGAAGATTACATCATGCAACACGATATTTACAGTCTCGGTGTTTGTCTCCTGGAGATTGGCTTCTGGAAATCGTTCATACGATACCATCCCCAGACCGGCCAAGCACTGCCCACCGAGATCCTGCCTGTGTCGCCACACCCGGACATCAAACAGGTCAACCATTTTCTACACACCCGAGGCAAGGAGTTCCTTCTACATCTAGCGCGGAACGAGCTGCCTCAATACATGGGAACGAGGTATGCCGAGATTGTAGAGACATGTCTGACCTGTCTTGACCCGGACAATCAAGACTTTGGAGATGAGCGGGAGTTCCAGGATGAGGATGGGATCAGAGTGGGAGTAAGATACATCGAGAAGGTGGTCCTGCGGTTGAATCAGCTGTGTGTATGACGCGGACCGATGCATTGTTCCATGCGTACTTTGGCCAGCAATGGAAAATACGGCTTGCTTCCTGTACGGTTCATCATTCATGGAGTTATCTTGGCGGCGGTTTTCAAATTGAAGTTGGTTCTCTCAACATCAAAGGAGTGGACGCGAGTGCCAATGACAGTATGACCTTCTTTCCCAGATGGCAGCCCAATGCCGGTCATGGAAACATCTTGAAACAAGGATCGCGGGTTTCTTTTTTTTCTTCTTTTTCTTTTAGAAGCAAAGAACGGAAAATACCGAGTACCTTGCGTTTAGTTGAGCTCAACTCTGCGCTTGCAACTTGGTGGGGGCCGCCGGCCTGAGTCACACACCGGCCGGTAGGATCCTCGCTTATATTGTCGTTGGTGCTAAAGTTGTATAAGTCAACAGTGCACAGCCGTTGAACCTACCACTACAAATACCTACCTCAACCCAGCAGCGTCTGCTCACCACCATCAAACCTTCTCCAGACTTCAGCAACAAAAAACACATCAACTACAATGGGACGGCGCAAACGGGACACCTACCCATGGGACTGGTACGAGTGTGACTGGTGCATGATGCATTTGAATTGGGATGGACGACCGTGTTACGTCCGCCAATTCTACTATCCTCGGTCGCAGAGCCATCGCAAGGAGTATTGGAAGTCGGTCCGCGCAGAAAACGCGGCCAAGAGGAGTAAGACCTTGCCTAGAGCTTGCAGAAGGGCTATGATGGCGGCGGCGGCGGCGGCGGCGGCGACGGCAATTGAAAACGAGGACAGCAACGAGGGGGACAAACCTGATCAGAGCACCCCAGTGGAGGCCGATGCCACAACAACGCAGACAAAGACGGCGACAGAAGAGCTAGACGCACCAGCATTGCCCGCTGGATCAGAGGTCACGTCAAAGCCGAGACATCATCAGGATGAGGTGAAAAAACCATCACAAAAGCGACAGCCAAAAGCCATCACCGGACCCAAAAAAATTATCGATGAAGGCGTCACTCTTGCCTTCGACGACGACGACGACGTGGCAAGGATACACGCTGCCAACCGAAAAGCCTGGCCACGTGGTCCGATGCCCATCGCAGCTGATGCTACCGTTGAGGATTGGGAAGTCGCAGAGCTTGTCCGCCAGGGACTTATCGGTCCCGAGGACCTTCAGGTGGATTATGGCGGCTTTGGGGATGAGGCCTGCCTATATACTATTCAGGTTGTGGACACGATGAAGAAAGGGAGAAGAGGGAAAGGCCGTCGGCGACAAGGGGTTCACGTTAAGGATCTTGCGGCTTTGGACGCGGAGTCGGAGTGGTCTTATCTTGACGATGAAGTCTATGCTCAGTTCCTGAGTGATGGGGAGAGCAGTCTGGCGGACTGGAGCGAGCTGTCGTTTGTGTGTGTAGAATCTTAAAGCAAACGATAGATAATTCTGAATATCAAACACTCCGTTAAACTGCCAATCTGGAATAAGAGAACCTATACAGAGCCCCCTATTTGTCTTACCAACACCCCCCACTTAATATAGAATTTAGCTATATTACAAAGTATAATCATTTAAGGTTAAGAGGTATTGATTAAGCTCTAAAAGATAGTTAAAACGCCTTTAAAGATGATGCAAAGGCATTTAAAGATAATTTAAAGGCTATTAAAAATAATGTAAAGGTCTTTAAAGATAATTTAAAGGCTTTTTAAAATTATTCGAATACTTAATATTTTTCTTTAGAGCTTTTTATTAGATAATAGGAAGGGTAGGTACGATAGGTAAGGACGGGGATACTAATAACATAATCAAGGGGCTGGGTAAATGTTCTCTCTCAAGAATAATGCTAAGTGTTGCACTCAGTAACGTACATTATCAGTGAGTCGTGCATATCAGTGGGTCGCGCACTCCCTAGCGCGACGCGTCCTCATTGCACTTTGCATCGAATTTTTCTACAATCCAATATGCCTTCTATTTTAAAGGAAGCGAGGGTAATCTTAGCCCTCGAAGCTCTCCAAAAGGACGAAAAATTAAGCCTTAGAGCCGCAGCTATGCTTTATAATATACCACCATCAACCCTCCGCGACCGGCGCGCTAGCCGGCCTGCACGACGCGATACTACGCCCGGTACAAAGAAGCTTACTTAATCAGAAGAGGAGGTTATTGTCCAATATATTATTAAGCTATATGCACGAACTTTTCTACCTAGATTACGTAGTGTGGAAAATATGGCCAATTAATTACTACGCGTATACAATACGCCCCCTATCGGTAAACTTTAAGTATATCGATTTATTAAACGCTAGTTAAAGCTCTATACGCGTTTTATATATAGATACGATTACTAGAGAGCCAAATGCGAGGATCTAAAGGTTATTAGCGAGTGGTTCGCGTTTTGTGACGAACCCCTGTACAGAACCTCTGAAAGGGATACTAGTTGAAGGCTACTTCTAACAATTGGTTCGGTGCGGCTAAACAGCGCACAACAAAATGTCTCAATGTAAACACAAAATACCGTAAATACAAGCTGTGAATTGCATACTGCGGAACTATCTATCTACACTAGCTAGTTCCTCCGTATATATAGACCGGTTTATTACTATTATATAACGAACCTCTGTATAGAACCTTTGAAAGGGATACTGGTTAAAGGTAACTTCTAATAATTAGTTCGGTGCAGCTAAATAGTGTATAATAAAATATTTTAATATAAATATTAGTTACTGTAAATATAAGTTTAAATTATATATTACGGAACTATTTATCTATATTAGCTAGTTCCTCCGTATATATAGACCTTAGGGCCGTAAGGTGCTTGCCCTACTATAAGCCCGATTATTTTTAATATATTACATTCTATATTATACTCGTCGTGCTATACCTTTAATTACTCCTAGTATATTATATCTACATTATACTCGTCGTACTATACCTTTAATTATCCTTAGTATTTTATATCCTATAGACTACTCGTAAGCCTTAACGCTATAGTATTTTTATTTAGCCCTAATCGACTTATTCCCTAACTTCCTAAATAATTAGTTAAGAGCGACCTACGCTCTATATATAGCGCGACTTACCGTTAAGTTAATTATAATATAATACCCTTCTTTCTAGGTTAATACCCCGGTAATTATATTTCTAAAATAATTACCGATCCCCTTTTCTTTTATATTTTTATTATAAATTCCTTTCCTTTTTTATCTTAACCGTTATATTTAATCGTATAAAGAAATCGATTCGTATAAGTACCGACCATTACCGTAATTAAATATATTTTTTTAAAAAATTTAATTTTATTATACCCGAATATATTTATTATAAAGAAAATAATTTTTAATACGTAACTTCCTTTTAATATAATTAGTATTTCCTATATATTAATTTAAATTATTTTTATTATAACGTTTATAATATAAATCGTAAATTTCTTTTTTAACTTTCTTTTCCCTTTTTTAACTATCCTTATAGTCCGTTCTTTAATTAAAGAAAAAAAATATTTAAATACCGAAAAGTAGGTTACCCTAAATAAATTTCTTTATTTTCGAAGTATAATTATATACCTTTAAAGCTCGAGCTTTTATTACTTTCCGTCGCGAATTTCGGCTCTTTAAAGAGAAAAAAAAAGAGTTTTCCGCGCGGCTTACTACCCTATATAGCTCGCTAGCGGCGGATATTTCTGTTACTCCTTCCGATCTTTCCTTCTTAAATCCTTCCTTAAGTTTTAATTAACCGCTTAACCTTTCTTTAAACCCAAACGTAGCCGGTCCTTCCTTCTTAACTTCCTAAAATACTACCGTTAATACGCTTTTTACTTTTTAAAATAATTAAAGCGCGTAACACTATTTATATTTAATTCCCTTTATACTTTTTAACTTTATAGTATAATATATAATACGTCGATTATTATATTAAAGGCGTAGGTTCGATTTTTATTAAAGTTCTTTAGTCTTTTATAATTATTATTATTTAATTAGTAATTTAAAGGATTTATTTTTTTTACTTAAAGTTTTAATCGGTTTAAATATTATTAATAAAAATTCTTTTTATTTATTTAGGTAATTAAAGTATATTTATAGTTCCTATAAATTTATTTTATAATTAAATATCCTAATTAATTAATTCAAATATTTTAAATAAGTTTTTATTAAACTATAAATTTAATATTTTTTTTATATTATATTTTTTTTTATTCTCCGCTATTACCTATATATTAACTTTATTTATTAATAATATAGGTTTTAAAAGTAAAATATAAAAGGTATATAATCGTAAATATATTATATTAAATAACTTTAATTCGAATACTATTTTTAAAATCTTTTTTTTAACCTTAAATAAACTTACTCTCCTATAGTCTAGCTTTTTATTAAGTCTTTTAATATATAAATTATATATAAAAAAGAATATTATATCCCCCCCCTTAAAGTAAGGTCCCTCGAGTTTTTTAATATTATAATATTTCTATATCCTTTCCTTTATAAACTTTAATTTTTATTTAAATTTATTATAAAATATATATAGTTTATTTACTTTAACCTTAGCCCTAAATACTTTAACGTTAAGTTTTTACTATAGGTTTACTTTATATTTAAAGTTTACGAAGAACGGTATAATTTTAATCGTTTTAATTAATAATATATTATATATTAATTATATTATAAATAATAATTTAATTTAATTATTGTCACAAACCAACCATATAGCAAGGCCAGGTGGAGACTGCAGCTGGCCATGCCTGCCAATCAGAGGAAGAAGACACGGCGGCAGGGCTGCAGGGTAGGACAAGGCTCACTGCTTGGCAAAGGTGAGCCGGATCACCACGCTCACCAGGTGAGCGCGGTGAGTTCTGAGGGATCACCACGGGTCGCTGGTGAGCGAGAGTGACCCAGGTACGAAGGTACTTAGGGATTTATGGTCTATATATACGGAGGAACTAGATAGCTTGTAGATAGTTCCGCAGTATGCAATCACAGCTTGTATTCACGGTATCTTGTGTTTACATTGAGACATCTTGTTGTG